AGTAATACCATCTTACTAAAAGAAAACCTTTTTGAAGTATTCTTCAAGTTATTTATTATTTTTAAAAATCCCAGTATGACTTCCGTATTAACACCTGGAAGTTGAGTATTGAGTTATACTTTGAATAGTTTATTATTGGAAGTAAGTAGCACAAACGGTGCATGCTTTGAGAGGAAAGAATTCAGATTAAAATGCCCCTTGTATCAAAATAAACTTGACAACCTATTTTTTATGATTAAGATACAATGTATTTTTGTATCACCAACCATGATAACAGAGATATATGAATGAAACACAGAGTAAGCTTTTTATTCTTTTAGCAATATTATAATAATAAATGGCAAAACTTAAAACATTCAAATAATGTCCATTCTCATTTAATTTATTCTGAACTCATGAAATCAATATTTCAGCATTAATTTTCATGTAAGTTTTATTTTTTTTATTATTATTACTAATTATTTTTATTTGTTTAATGCAAACCATTTAAATTAATTTTTTTCCATTCGACTTTTTTTATGAATTAAAATAATCATTATCTTGTAGAATATTGAAGACCTTTTAATTTTCACTCTATGAATCTTGATGGTACACTGATAAAAGGATTTTTTTGAACGTAACATAATTAGAAGCTAATAAAAATGTTATTTGGAAAACAATCAAATAAATATTTGTTCACAGTTAAGAAATAATTTATTTGACTCAAATAAATGATTTCGTAACCGATAATTATGATTAAACTCAGGGGAAAAGGTAGAATAAATTAATGGAATGGTAAGTTATATTATCCTTATGATAATTTAGTATCAAATAAAGTAAAAAATAACTTTCATTTATTGATAATCTTAAAGTAAAAATTAAAATACAATAATGATTTTGTAATTTTTATGACGTCAGACAGCTTTGCAAGGAAGATTTATCAACTACTAATAAATCTTCATTTGACCTTACAAAATATGCATTATACACAAAATAACTTTATTTACCATTATAAAATTTATTTGGTTATAAATAATATTTATCTGTATTAAATAAATACTGAAAAAGTCTTAATAAACTTATTGATTCCAGTCAAATAAATCCTTCTATTACTGTAAATCTAATAGTTTGAATTTGTTTTTAAGTCTGCATGATTACTATATCCAGGATTATTGAGGTCAGTCTGTTCAGGTGTTAGTTAAGTCTGTCTACATATCCTGTGCCGAATATGTAGTACTATTTCTTCTTTGAATGTTCATTTCAAGGTCATTGTGAATATTTTCATTCGTAATGAACCATGGAGCATTTACTGAGACTCTAAAAGCTTTAGATCGAAATCATTGTATTACTTAGATTAAATTCATGCATACCGAGTCTTGTTTTCCATCAGTAACTAAATTAGATGAAATAAATTAATACAATAATTGTTACTGACTACGCAAATTGGTTTTCTCATTTAATGTACTTATATATTGTGAGCTTAATAAAGTTGAAATACTTTCTTTTTATTTACCTTTTTTTTTATTTCGAGAATGATAGTTTGAATAAATCATTATGTATCGATTATATTTTTCAACTGCTTCGTGACATAAAATTTTAATAGACATCGTGGTAATATTCGTTGATTTATAAGGTAATTAACAATCCATAAAGCTAGAAATATAACAATGAAAAAAAAAACAACTACTGAGTATTGTTTATGTATATTATTAATCTTCTTTCGAAGATAAAGCGATAAAACGAGTTAAGTAATCCTTTTGTTAAAGTTGGAGGGATTTTTTTCACTTCAGGAAAAATCCAATAATTCATTTAAAAGATAGAACATTAATCTCATCATCAAATGATTCGATAAAATAGAAAAAGTTTCATTCGTAATGTTTTAAAATAATTATTTATTATTTAAATTAGTCTTGTTAATATTATTTATATGTTAATTGAATCTAATTCATTTGCTTCTACGTCATGACTTAACTAATACAAACTCACGAATTCAAATTTTTATTCAAGATAAAATCTAAATCCTCAGATAACTTATCTCTTATCAAATTTCCGTTAGTCCACTTATAAAATTAGTCTATTTCTAACCTTAAAAAGCTTTCTATTCCTCCATATAAGACTTGAGATATTTTTGTTTTATTAAAGAATAATTTAAATGCATAAATTAATGAATTTTCTTTGAAACTTTTAAACAAAGAATAAGAAATCATACTTGCCTGTGTATACTCCATTGAAGAGAGGAATAATAATAGGTCTGAAGTATTTAAATCACCTTTGACAACACTCGAGATTAAAGCATGATTTTCTACTCATTCACGTACACTAATTATCTTTTGCAAACTAGATAATAATAATGATTAGAGAGGTCAACAAATTATAGATGTCGAACACCAATACCTCTTCAAACATACATGTGACATATATAAACTCCAATCCTTTCACTCTTTCACTCTATATAATTCCAAGCTCTAGGTCAATCTGATCGTGATTAAAGACATCAATTTCCATTCAGTGGTTTATGATTAATATTGTTATCCACACCTACAAGGAAATATTTTTAAAATCAGGCTAATGCGATAGAGCTGTAATAATTGAATTATTTATGCTGAATTTTTATTTTTTCCAAATTCCTTGATACTTTAATATAGTTTATAAGTAGAATAAAAGCCTCCCCTGATGCTCTAAGTATCAAATCCATTTAATTCTAGCCCTCTAGCGATCAATTAACAACCACAGTTGAGTCACAGGGGACGAACTTGGTCACTACTACATTGGAGATAAGTTTGCGTGACGAGTGTACTACCTTTCAACCACATTTCCCTCCTCATCGCGCCTATCAGACTTTACAACCACCTTACTCGTCTGAAAATTGTAAATACAGTGGTTCAGGTCACGCAATAGTCAGCCACATTAACTATCCCTTCTGAATTGATATAAAATGTACTAATTTGTTTCTTTCTCTCTTGGATATATTTTAAAAGAAAATTCCTCTGTATAATTTAATCATTTAGAACTAAATTCTATTTGAATTTCTTTCTCTTCGAAGGACAATTCCATTAGAGAATTGTAAAAGTTAGTCCATGAAATATTGAAGCTAAAGGATTTTTTCCGATTGAATGCACTTTCTTTCTCTTCATTGTCTCTAAAGAACCGCAGCTGATAATGAGTTACAAGTTAAAAAAAAAAGGTTTTATTTTATGTTTTTTTTGTACAATAATTTCTTGATTGTTAAACTTTTTTATACTTTAGTCAATGTTGCATGACCATTATTAAATTACGATTATAATCAGTACTTAATTTACGGTAATGGCAAAATTAAAATAAGATTAAAGGTCATAAGTAAAATATTCATGAATGTGCTTTTAAAAATTCCTAGTGTGAGGTACTGTTATTGTTGTTAAAAATAGTAAGCTCACTCGTCCTAGGAACAATAAGCGTTTCCCAACGCTCAGTGATGCTTTTCTTTGTATAAAGTATTCGTAATCCAGAGCTTCCCCTCATGGTTGGTCGGACACAAAACGAGCTTCTCTCAAGCACTTTACTGAAGCTCTCATAGATTAAACGACGAAAGGGAGTTTTATTACTTCTTTTTTGTAAAAATGAATTTCAAAAGTTGGCAACTAGACAAAACTTGACTCGAAGAGACATATAGTAAACTATAGACTGCTGTAAACCACTTGCATAATCAAGAAAGCATGTACTCCTATGTAAATTAATTCCCTGTCTACGTCTCACTGTTTGCAAATCAAATTGATTGTGCATTCAATCAACAGTAAATAAGTTTCTGTGGCAAATGAAGGGTTAATTCATCTTGAAAAGGAACTATTTCAATGATTATCAAATAAATGAGTATTTGATTATCAAATTTCAATAATTGGTGTTATATTTTCCAATATTTGATGTTTTTTGTTTTAAATTGAAAATAAAAATAGTATCCCAAGAATAATAAATTAAAATTATTTAGAATAACAATCATTTAACCAGAAATCAAATAAATAAATAAACATTCGTTCATAATAAATGATCAAAATAAACAATTAATGTTCAGAATTGAGCAGAACATTTCCAATACCAATAATCAATAAAATTTCAAACGAGTTTCATTGTTTTACGAATATACAAAGATTATTATTAAAGCTTAACAAATTACTTTTAGTTTCAATATAAATAGAAATACATGATTTCAATCGACAGAATTTACTTCCGGATGTTCAAAGCAATAAGACAAGTGGAACACGTGTTCAGTCGATATGTGGACTCGTATTTTATTTGACAGTTACTGCTCCATTTGCAGTAAACGAGTTTTCGATTGTCAGCGATCCGCGAAAACTCGAAAGACATGAAGAGTGTAGTAACTGACTATCCTACTGATGATCGAGTTACAAGAAAACAAAAGAATAGAAGAAAAAACAAAAAAGTATTATCGAGTACATAGATATTCTATTTATTTATTTATTTTTTCATCTAAAAATACTTGATTGGAAAATTGGAAAACTGCTGATCACAGAAATAAAGTAACTGAGTAACTAAACTTGACACCAGCTGAATCCATCGAAAGTTTTAACTTACAGAAAACTTGTGACTACATTCTCAAACTATCCCCAATCTCATTCGAGATTGTTTAAGTCATCCAATTAAATTACTTTTCATGGTCTTGTTCGTTCACAATTATTTTCTGTCAATACAGATTAGATTTACTTTCTTTACTTGAATCCCATTCATGATATTAGCTAATTTTATTTTTAGCAAAGAACACAGTCGACATTTTATTACTTTCTTTTTTAATTTGAAGAATTGAACAATCTTTAGAAAAGAAAAGTGTTATGGAGAGAAATAAAATTATTTGAAATTCAAATCAACATTGTGCAAAGTCTTAAAGAGAATGACACAGCGATGAAACGAGTAAATGAAGATTCTGTCATTAAAACATAAAATTTTATACTGACGATTAAATTTATGTTAAAATAAAATGTTTATTTAATATTTAAATTTGTTTTATCATAAAATTATTTTTTATGTTACAGAAATAAACCCAAGACATTTGCATTTGATCACTGTTTCTATTCTATTGAACCTGGAGCAGAAAACTTTGCCAGCCAAGATGTCGTCTTTGATGCACTTGGCCGCGATATCTTGGACAATGCATTCCAGGGATACAATGCTTGCATTTTTGCCTATGGACAAACTGGTAAATATATTCACCATGCTTCCATTTAAGTATATTGAAGTGAAATAGAAATGCTTTTCTAACTGTCTAGTCTGTGATGGTCTACTTTACGTTCTATTCTGTGGTTATTTTTGTTTTATTTTTCTTTCTTTTTCAATGCATCAGTCTGGGAAATGTTCCAATGGACAATAACTCAGAGAATTATTTCACCATCAAAAGTTTCATTATTTTATTTTAATCTATTGTTGAAGACTGTTGAAAGGCACTTGATTGTTTTTTATCAACAATTCTACATGTTTTATATATGCTTATTGTGCTTATAGGATCTGGGAAGTCTTACACAATGATGGGCAGTGGAGACAACAAAGGCATCATTCCAAGATTATGTGACAATCTTTTCGACATGATTGCAAAGCAACAAAGCTCTGAATTGACGTATAAAGTTGAAGTTTCGTACATGGAAATTTATAATGAAAAAGTTCATGACTTGTTGGATCCAAAGCCTAATAAGCAATCCCTCAAAGTCAGAGAGCACAATGTTTTAGGACCTTATGTTGATGGATTGAGCCAACTTGCAGTCACATCGTATCAGGTGATATATTTTTTAAATATTCGCTTATGTAACTACTGATAATAAAGAACAATAATTCTTTCGTATAAATCTCATCATCATAAATGTTTAAATTACGCAATGTTTTATGGATTTATTACAATTGGGTTTCTTTTAAAATAACATCAGTACAATTCTTTGTTAAGAAAAAATACTTTTTATCCTAAAATATTATTTGAAAGAGATAACTAAAAATACAAGCTTCACTATCGAAACCATTTCTAGTTTAAATAAAAACAAATTGAATAAATTATTCAATAGAAAATGATACTAAAAAAACTGAATAAATTAACTATTATAGACAATCTTCGTTTTTAGTTTCTCCATCAATGAATTAGATTAGATATAACTGAATATGAAACTTGGTATTCCTTATTTGTTATCTCTACAAGTATTTGTAATACATGCACATCAAGTTTTGTTTGTAAAGTTTTTAAAATCAATAATAATAAATATTTTTATTTTGATTTTTCTAGGATATTGATAATCTAATGACAGAAGGAAATAAATCCCGAACAGTAGCAGCAACAAACATGAATTCAGAAAGCTCACGTTCTCATGCTGTATTTTCTGTAGTTCTAACCCAGACTTTAACGGATTCAAAAAGCGGAGTAACTGGTGAGAAAGTGTCTCGAATGAGTCTTGTGGATTTAGCTGGAAGCGAACGGGCTGTGAAAACAGGAGCTGTTGGAGATAGGCTTAAAGAAGGAAGTAATATTAATAAGTCGCTTACGACATTGGGTCTAGTCATCTCGAAACTAGCAGATCAGAATTCAGCTGGTGGGAAGAATCGTGATAAATTTGTGCCCTATCGAGATTCAGTTCTAACATGGTTGTTAAAAGATAACCTGGGTGGTAACAGCAAGACAGTTATGGTAGCCACGATATCACCAGCAGCGGATAATTACGAAGAGACTTTATCAACATTACGCTATGCAGATAGAGCTAAGAGAATAGTTAATCATGCAGTAGTTAACGAGGATCCAAATGCAAGAATTATCCGTGAGTTACTCCAGGAAGTAGAAACATTAAAGGAAATGCTCCTTCACGCTACGGCTCAAGGATCATTGGTAGGTCAACGGCGAACGGATATTACAGAAAAAATATCCGAATCAGAACGATTAATGAAAGTAATGTCACAAACATGGGAAGAGAAGCTCGAAGAAAAAGAAAGACTGCAACATGAAAGACAACAGGCTTTGGAAAAAATGGGAATCAGTGTTCAAGCATCAGGAATTCAAGTTGAAAAAAATAAATATTATTTGGTCAACTTGAATGACGATCCTAGCCTCAATGAGCTTTTGGTTTATTATTTAAAAGTAAATTAGATGTTTATAGTATATTTAAATGATTTATTTTTAATATTAATCATTGTAATACTTGTTATTGTAGGAAAGAACTCTTGTCGGAGGCCGATCCGCAACGACGGAACAGGATATTCAGTTGCACGGACTGGGTATCTTGCCCGAGCATTGCGTGATTACCATAGAAGAGTCTGGTCTTTATATGACACCGTTGAATGGAGCGAAATGTTTTGTCAATGGAAGTCAAGTAGTTGAAAAAACACCTTTACTTCATGGTGATCGAATTGTCTGGGGAAATCATCACTTCTTCCGGGTCAATTGTCCTCGTAGTGCTACTGGTAAATATTCCTTTCTATTCTATTCTACTCTATTATATATTATTATTAAGATTCATGCCAAACTACAATACAGACTTCTAGCTATTGTGTTAGCATTGTCATTATTAAATTGAATAAACTTATGACAGCGATCAGCAGTGAACCTCAAACACCGGCACAGAATATTGACTACAACTTTGCAAAAGAGGAGCTGATGTTAAACGAACTGTCTAACGATCCCATCCAGCAAGCTATTGCGAGGCTCGAAAAACAACACGAAGAAGATAAACAGGTAAACTTAGAAATTGTGTACTTGGCTGTCGCTTATTTGAGATACAGTTTCATAATTCATTATAAAAGTTTAAAGAATTTTTTTTTTATTTTCTTATTTACTCGTAATATTATATCAAAAGTTGAGCTTAAAGAATTTTGTACAAATTTTGTCCTTGCAATTATAATGAAAAATATTATTTTAGCTTGAAATTTTGTATTTTTCTTTTAACAATAATTATATTAATCTTGAGGAAATTGAAATTCTAACGGATATTTTATTTTCTTGGAAATTTTTAGTTAATTGAAATATTACCTTAACTTTAGTCTCATCAAGATATTCAAGAAAATTTTTTACGTTTATGCATTTAATATTATTTCAGGTCGCTCTTGAGAAACAGAGGCTGGAATATGAACGACAATTTCAACAACTGCGCAACATATTATCTCCATCTACTCCCTATTCTCCTTATGTACCTTATGACCCGCTTCGTGGTAGTCACAGTGGCAAACTTCCTGCTTGTACGCCTACAACACAAATGCGTGTAGAAAAGTGGGCACAGGAACGTGATGAAATGTTTAAACGAAGTCTGGGACAACTGAAAACCGATATCCTCAAAGCAAATTCATTAGTTAAAGAAGCTAATTTTCTAGCTGAAGAAATGGGAAAACAAACAAAATTCAGTGTTACTTTACAAATTCCACCATACAATTTGAGTCCTAATCGAAAGGTAAAATTTAAAATTAAATTATTATTATTTTTATATATAGATTTTTGTTGCTTTATGTTTTGTGTTGCTTTTGTTATTTATTTTTTCGTTTTTTTGTTCACACTCTTAAACAATTAGAGTGTATTTTTTCAGCGTGGAGCGTTTGTTAGTGAGCCGGCGATACTGGTAAAACGAGCCAATATGGGTAGTCAAGTATGGACAATGGAAAAATTGGAAAATAAATTAGTCGACATGCGGGACATGTACGAAGAGAAAAAATATTACAATAATTATCAGCGATTGCCAACAGCAAAAGATGACGGATCAGAAAAAGCACAAGATCCATTTTATGAGTCTCAGGAACATCACAATCTTATTGGAGTGGCAAATATATTTTTAGAAGTGCTCTTCCATGATGTACGGTTGGATTATCATACGCCAATTATTAGCCAACAAGGAGAAGTCGCTGGTCGGCTACAAGTTGAAATTAGTCGTATTAAAGGGCAATTCCCTCAAGATAGAATATGCGAAGCTGGATCAGATTCTGGATCTTCTGAGCATGAAGAATACTCAGGATCAAGCCAAGTTACTTGTAGAGTAACGATAAAACAAGCTAGCGGTTTACCATTGTCATTAAGCCACTTTGTTTTTTGCCAATACACTTTCTGGGGCCATCCAGAACCAATAGTCGTAGCTCCATTAGTAAATGCTGACTTACCAGTCAACAATAACAATAATAGTCAAAGAGACTCTCTCGCTTTTCAGTTCAATCACACAAAAGACTTTACCGTTCCTGTTACTGAAGAATTCATGGAGCACTGCTCAGAAGGTGCATTGAGTATTGAAGTATGGGGCCACAGAAGTGCTGGATTCTCTCGTAGCAAGCCTGGCTGGGAAGTAGAACAAAAACAACTTGCTAAAGCACGTTCCCTCGCTGACCGCTGGTCGGAACTGACGAGGAAAATAGAGCTATGGGTTGAAATGCAAGAGTTAAACGAACAAGGAGAATATACTCCGGTAGAAGTGGTCACGAAAAATGACACTCTGACCGGTGGAATTTATCAATTACGTCAAGGACAGCAGAGACGGATACAGGTCCGAGTTAAGCCCGTACAAAATTCCGGCACGTTGCCAATAATTTGTCACTCAATTTTGGATATAGCCGTTGGCAGTGTGTCTGTAAGGAATCGTTTTCAAATACCCCTAGACAGCTATCAAGATGAAGATCTCAGTATATTAAGAGATAAATGGAGTGATGCATTGATGAGAAGACGACAGTACCTGGATCAACATCTTCAGAAGCTTATGAACAAACAAAATAAAACTGAACAAGACATTGAAAGAGAACAAAGTTTAGTTGACCAGTGGGTCAGTTTAACTGAGGAACGAAATGCTGTTCTCGTTCCTGCTGCAGGCTCTGGCATTCCTGGAGCTCCTGCTGACTGGAATCCACCCGCAGGCATGGAGCCACACATTCCCGTATTGTTTCTTGATCTCAATGCCGATGATCTCTCGACTCATCAATCTGGCGAAGATGTCACTGTGACTGGATTAAATTCAATTATTCCTAAGGAACATGGCAATAAATTTTTTACTCTGCCAATTATTAAACTATTTGAAAAAGATGTTTGTGCTATTGCTGCATGGGACTCAAGTATTCATGATGACGTACATTTAAATCGAGTTACTGATCCTAATGAGAGAGTATTCCTTATCCTCAAAACTACCGTCCGACTCTCTCATCCAGCACAGATGGATCTTGTCTTAAGAAAAAGATTAGCATTAAATATTTACAAGAGGCAAAGCATTGCTGATCGACTATTGAAGAGAATTGTGCGTAATGACTGTTTAACGCAAACTGGTGTGACTTACGAAGTTGTTTCTAATATACCAAAGGCTAGTGAAGAACTGGAAGACCGAGAAAGTTTAGCTCAAATTGCTGCCAGTGGTGAAGATAGTGGCTTGTGTGATGGAGAAACGTATATTGGTAAATATTTTTTATACTTTAAGAATATTGAAATATTTTCTCGTTATAATATTGCTTTTAGTGATTTTTTTAGTAAATTTATAAAGAATAACAATTTTTTACCAATTGAATTCTAATTTTAACAGAAAAATACACACGTGGTGTCTCGGCAGTGGAAAGCATTCTTACCCTAGATCGATTACGACAAAGTGTAGCTGTGAAAGAATTATTGCAAGCTCAGGGTCAACCGTTGATGCGCAAGACAGCCAGCGTACCAAACTTCTCGCAGGTACTTCTGCCACTACGACGTCTCGGACGCACTGTATGCTTCTTTCTCATTTTATTTGGAATGCAGTTTTATCATGGTTTGCATCGTGGAATGATTTTAATTTAAAAATTTTTTCCGATTTAAAACGATTTTTTTGACGATTTAAATGAAAAAAAAAAAACATTCCATTCATCAATTCTTCTTTGTTCACAATACTTTCTCTAGTATAATTTCTGATTTCTCTAGCATAATTTCTGATTTTTGTTACAACTTGCACTCTGGGCTCTTTTGGTTTGTCAACTAACACTGCTCACTTTCATTAAACGTTGCAAACGTTTAATTATCTCTGATAATTTACATAAAAATTGTATTTTATTATAAAAAATAGATCATGCGGTTCGACACGTCCATGGATTCTCTAAGTGTTACCCGCTCGGAGAGTGTTACTGATCTCAACTCCGAACTTAATGGCCTACCTCATCATCCACGACGAGCATCTGTTGGTCATGCGAGAAATGAAGATAACTTATTAAATACACCAACAAAACCATTTGGCATTGGTAAGCACTATTTAATCAAATTTTCATTTCATATTTTAATTTCAATTAATTTTAAGAAAAGTGTAGGTACAAGCTAGAATTTAATCTTATTCTTAATTTAAAAATATACAAAAATCAACAAAATATCTCTCAACCATTTAAAATAAAAAATTTGCAGTACACTGATAAAAAAATGGTAAGAATTGGACAGTGTACAATTATACATTATTGCGATCAATAATTATCAAATAAAAGTTAACAAGTGAATAATTATTGCGCATAACACATGAGATAAAGATTATTTACAATGCGTAATGCATAAATAATTTATTGATATTTTCCCTAACAATTTTTTAAAAACTCAGCGGTAGTGACACGACAACGACAAGGTAATTTTATAATAAATGAATCACTAAATAAATTGCTGCATACACTTCTGCATTGATTTCATCACGTGGCAGCGCTGCGTTAAATTCGCAGATTAATCAGAATTTTTTTTCAATAATTGCGTTCATGTTGTTAATACGCTGTGCTGCCAATAATTTTTGGTAGCTTCATCATATGATAGTTAAATTAGCTTTTTTGCAGACATTATTACAAATCACTTTGAGAGTAGATTGATGAATAAAATTCACGATATCAAGATTTTTAAGTCTGAATCACTTAAATTTGTATGCAAATTGAAATAACTTTCCCTCTTAAAATAATTACCAATCATTACCTCATTATTATTAATCTTTTATAATGATATCTACAATAATTATAGTTATTATGAAAAATTATTACTAATCTTTAAAAGTGCATTAAAAATATTTAAGATTAGGTTTAATTCATTATTCATCTATTTGATTATGCTTTTTTAAATAATTAAAAAGTATACGGCTTGTTTTTGAATTGTTGCTTATGCTGTGTTTATTATTTTAATGTCCATTTTATTACTAAAATATAAAAAAGATCCAAGGAAATTTTAATAATTATTTGAAATATGAATTTCAGAAGACTTAGGATAATCCTACATGTTATTGATAATTGAAAATTGAATTTATTTTCCAAATTGATTAATGTTATCTCGATTCTAATAAAACAAGAGAATTATTTTGTTTATCAACAAATTATTGACTCAATAGATATATATTGTGTCTACTTGTTAATGTTGTTTTATGATAAGTTGAGTGAAATTTTAAACATTATAATAATTTTTCTCTGGATCTTTCACAGCTATGTATTTGATTTTTATTTATAACCTATTACTGAAACCAATTTTTCAACGTTTATGGGATTGAAGCTATTGGTTTTGAATCTTGAACAAGCCGTGATTTTTTATTATCGATTTAATTTTTTCAATTTTTAATAATCTTTTCTATTTTTCGAAAATACATTCTTTTATTCTCTTTTACTTCATTCACTGCTTCGCAACTGAAAACTTTCTGATGTAAAGAAGTATATTCTGATGATGACTGATGAGTCATGGAACAAGAAAGACTAATATAAATAGAAGTCACGTAGATTTTCACTGATAAAATAGCTTGACAATATATTACACAGTCTTAAAATTATTTATTAAAATATGAAGATTATTTGATTGTAATATTTTTTATTATCCATTGGATATTACAGCTTTAATCACTTTTTTTGTTATTGTGCTATGTTCAACTTAGTATCTTGCTTCAAGTGTCAAGAAAAGAAATGAGTTGATAAAAAGAATTACTTCCACTTTACAATATTTTCTTACATACAATTATCTGAGGTACATGAATAAAATGTATCTATTTTCATATTTTTAATGGAAGAATTCCAAGTTGAGCATAGCTATCATTTTAATCAGAATGAGCTCTAGTTTTATTGGCAATAGGACAATTAAGCTCTACCACTTGAATAAACGGCCTAAAAATAATAAATAATATCTTTAATTGATGATTGAGAAATATAAAAAAAATTTATTAATTTATTTGAATAAACTAATAAATTGATCCAACTTATTTGTTCCTATGTTTTAACTCTACGTCTCTTCTACTACTACTATTTTGGCCCATCCAAGGCTCCATTCTCAGCTCAGGTAAAATGGAGTCTTGATTTGATATTTAATTGATAAAGTTAAAGTGACGGCGACTATAACGATTAAAACTCATTAGTAAATCTGTATCGTGAGTGGTTGAGTTGTTGTTTTGCCTCTCTTACATTTAAATTGCACAATAATAATCATTCATTCACAAATGTCTGAATTTGCATGAAAATATCTTAATCACTAGTAGCTTATAGCTATCAAGTAGATATATACATATTATTAATTAATTTATAATTAGTTACAAATTCATTACTGATCATGATTATTTGTGGCTTATTGATGATCTAGTAATTCATATGTGCTGTCATAAATGTGCTTTTAACGGTATTGGCAGCTTCGAAAAGAAAAACTAATTAACGAAACGTTAATTATTTTTATTGTTGTAATAATTTTTATACATATTAAGTGATTATGTGAAGCCTCTGGAACTGCATTTTCTAAGGGGATTTGGTTGGTAGAACTAATAGTAATATTTTAGAAAAAATAGTCAATGTAATTTTAAGTATTTGTTCAAAGTCAAATAGAAAATACATTGATGTATTTAACAATAAAAAAAAAAAAAATAGCTGGAATGTGCATGACATGTCTAGAAGTATGACCTAATAGAGTAGATATATCGCATGAGTATTGGAGATTTAGATCGCAGTGTTGTGATCATTGTTATAAAAAAAATACATTGATGAGAACATCATACATACTCTTTGACTTTGAACTGACGTGAGATAATACCAATAAAATAAATGTCCGATACATGATAACTAGTGAATAGATTAGAAATTGATAACTATGTAAATAAATGATGACATTTATTTTGTAAATAATTAACGAAAACTAATTAAAATTCGCTTGAATTTAAGTGTTATAACCGAAATGTTTGTCTCCTTTCAGCGAGACCAACTTTTCTGAATCTCAACCCAAACAACTCACTGACACGTGTGCAACAAACCACCTCTTCCAAGTGTAGGTGACACTTGCTTGGTGTTGTAGACTATTCTTCTCTATTGCTTTTGTTTATTTATGTTTTGTTTTTTAGTTATCATTATTTAATGTATTTCAGTTTATGTTTATGTATTATACAATATTATTATGTACAAAAACAAGCTTTACTAATATATTAATATAAACAATGAAGCTTATAGCAATCCACGTTTATATTTTAGTTTTTACTCGGTTTTGTTTAATAATTTATATAGTTAAAAATTTTTATTTTATTTCAGCCATTTTATTTTTCAGAGAATATTCTTTTATGTTTATTATTTAAGTTGATTAGTTTTTAGAATAGTTTTAAATAATAATTATTTATAACCCAGTTTTAATAGATTGATTAATATTGAACTATTATTTTTAAGCGTCTCCAAATATGGGAGGTAAACTTGGTCTTCGAATGACAACTCTACATGAAGAAACTTCGCACAGTGGTAATCATTCATCGTCCTTGCTTGAAGATGATGATGAAGATAAAAGTGATATTGATTATTCTGAATATGAAGCGTACAAGGTAAAAATAGAGTAGCTTTTAAAAAATCCTTTAAAAAGTTTGGTGACAATGAAAATCTTTAAATAAATTTTATTGGAAAAATAAAATTCAAAACTTTAGAATTTTATTATTATTTATTTCTACAGTAGATATATTTATAAGATAATTATGTAGAAAGGCCCAAATTCTAAAATTTTATTAAAACTTTTTAAAACTTATTTTAAATTAATTGTAATCGTTGAGTAAACTGTTGAACTTCCTTTAATCGTCAATTAAAATATTTCATGGATGTTCAACAGAAAAAATATTATTGATATGAATCGTTAATATAACCTTTCAAATTCTAGGCACCTGCAAAATTGGTAAAACCATTAACAACATCTCGAACCCTCGACTCTCTCGCAGAGCTTCAATCGACCAAAATTAATACTCCAAGTATGAGTAGCAGTGGATATGGATCTCAAGCGGTTTCAACAACAAATTTAACGTCGGATGATTCGATTTCGATAAAATCTATTAGCGTGGATGAAACTCCTGATGTAGAGTACCGAAATTTAATCGATAGTAAAAAACCGGAAAAGATGGATAGTTCTCTAGTAGAAGAAACTCCAGAGGAATATTTAGGTGAAATCAGTACTGATTTAGAGAATTTATCAGTATCGCAGCATAATGCTGAAAATGCAAAAGAAAATATCGAACGACGAGAACGAGAAAATCCAATTCACTCTTTCAAAAGCGATCTAAGAGAGGAGTTAACTTTGAGAAATGAAATTGAACCACGGAATAAAGAAATTTATGTAGAGCAAAATGTCGACAAAAGAAATGAGATGGAAATAAGTCAAATTTCAGGTTCTAGTGACGATAGTCCTTTGGAAGGAAATGCAGTTATCCATACAAAATTGACACCAGGAAAAGTAGTACGACGACGTAAGTTATCTGGCAATTCATCAAGAATTCAAAACAGTCAACACAGAGCTTCATTTCCAATGGTCCGTCCACATTTCTCTGAAAGTAAAGTTGCTGCCAGATTAGAGCAATCTTTAACGTCAGATATGGGCTACGAAAATGGTGACAATAGTTCATCTGAACGTATTGATGATGATGTAAGTGACAAAAGCTCGGCTTTTGGTTCGCGACATGATTTGACGAGAATCGAGCCACCACTACCTGACTGGGTGGTTGTTGGAGAGTCAGTGATGGTACGGCCTTATACTTATTGTGGGGTAATTGCCTATATTGGACCTACAGAATTTGCTTCTGGAACTTGGATAGGAGTGGAACTTGATGCTCCAACTGGTAAGTTTATTTATTGCGTTCATGAAAATGTTTATTTTTAATTTAGAAAAAATATTGCTACATTTACAATAATGATAAATTCAAAATTCAGTAAAATTCAGACATTATGATAAAAACAATTAATAATACTTTAGGGAAAAATGATGGTGCTGTAAATGGTCATCGCTATTTTACATGTCGACCTAAATGTGGAATATTCGTTAAAGTGGATAAATTGATTCAAGATAGGAGGGGTAGAGCTTTAAGGACTTTCACCAAACAGGAAACTTTACCACCACCATCAGCAATGCGTCGAAGTGCCAGTCGAGGTACACATTAATTAATCAATAAGTTAATTCACCTGTTGAATATTTCTTTTTGAAAATATTTCATAATTGATTATATATCTATTGTAAATTTCAGGTGAAGGATTGCATTCATTGCATCGAAGTCGAAGTCGTGGAGAAGGCCTCTCAACAACTGGTACCCGATATCCACCTCGTGGCAAATGAGCGGGATTATATTATCGGGTTCGACCTAATTTGAAAAAAGTAATATCCTAGTTGCTACATGCCTACAATATATGTAGCGGCGATGTTTTCAGTCCTTTAGAAATTAGGGCAGCTAATTGATAATCAATAAAATACCCAAAATATTTGGAGCATTAGTACATTCATTTTGAGAAGGATCATTCAAAAGAAATGGAAAAAAAAGCAAAAAAAAAAATTATCAAAAAATTAATTAAAAAAAATTTCAAAGAGATAAAGCCGAAAAGGCATATTTATCTATTCACATATTTTAGAAGTAGACTCAGTACATTGAATAAAAAAACAATGGAAAAATTATACTAGTTATTAATAAATAATTTTTAAGCATTCCATAGCATTTATTTTAATTTATTAACTTCAGTTTTTTTAAAATTGTACTCATACGAATCATTGTTATATAATAGAAATAAATCTACGTGATTTTATTGATTTCATTTATTATTATATAAATAATTTGAACCACAATTTAGATGCTCCGCGCCTAAATATGACATTTAAGATGTGTAAAATTCATTATACTACGTATTAAAGACACGTCGAATTTAGAAAAGTAAATTTCGACACATTTTCCAATACGAATACTTTCCAAAATTGTTATGCAATTTATAATAATGGAAAAGTGTCGTGTATTAATTCAACATAAAAAACATACCCAATAAACTCAGAATTATCTACCATGTTGTGTAGACTGTTTAAAGATTTTATATATATACAATTGTTTCATATATTGTATTTTTTTAGCGCAATCTGTTAATTAAGTTTTTTTTATCGTAAATTGTACCATAAATCATTTCTTCTCTATTATTTTTTTATGTTATTACATGAGTACGAAAATTATTTATAATTATTGCTATTATTTTTATGTTCATTATAATTATTATAATAATAATTATTTGTATCATTATTACTTTTATGAAATAATAGGACTTTGATAAGCCCTTTTTATAAATTATTGTTTTTCGAAAAAACAATTAGAATTTTAGTGATTTATGTGCAGTAGAGATGCAATATTAGTGAAATAAGTTAAGCCATTGGGGAGTAAATAATGAGCTTATTTGATTATATCAATTGTTTATTATTTAATATTAATTTAATTGTAAATTTTTGTAAACTGTGACTGGTCAATTAGTGTTATAATTTGTCGTTTGGATTTAAAATTTAACTAACATGTAATAAATCCTCGATATATTTATCACACAAGATCAGAAATTAATTGATTTGGCTCATGGAAACCTAGTCTTCTAAGTAATGGATCCTTTTACAAAGCAAAATCAAATTGTAATGGACTATAATATTTTTCGAAAACCTTCCTTGTGAAGTGAGTGAAATAATAAATAACAATACAAATAAGATAAAATACAAAAACAAGTAAAGACCGTACATTTAAGATTTAAATGAAATTTGTCCATATTGTGAAAAAAGCTATTCCTGTCCATTTAGAACAATACTAATATTATCACTAAATGTATTATTACATGTAATATTTATTGAATAAAATAATTATCTTAATTGTAACGTTTGCTTCTCGTATTAATAATTAAATTTATTTGAATATTCATTAAAATATTTCCGTTCGTAATAATAACAATAAAAAAAATATTAATAATAAAATTGAATACGATAAGTAAACGTTATGATTAAAAGCACCTGTCCATTTTTGGTAATTGAAATTGTTAAAAGAAAAATAAAACACAATTAATGAAAAAAAGTACTCATGTCACAGCAACGCCAATAAAGATACATATTTTGGCAACTATCATTATAAATAAAACTATAATTTCATTCTCATTTGATTTATTATACTTTTTAATGTTAATAATACATTCAAACACATAACTTGCAATATGAATTATTTTCACGAGTATTTCAGCTATTTCCCTGCCCTTTACTGCCTATTATGGCAATTGAAATACATAATTAAACTTACGCACAGTTATAAAATGTATGTAAATAAATTCATTACTCGAATTTTGTCCGCGTAGAAAAGCTCATTTGAAAAACAATAATAAATCAATAACTTGAAAAAATATGTAGATATTGCAGAGAAAAAAATACATGTGCAAAAATGTGTGCAACAAATCACAATCATTAACATCATTATTCTACACTCGTGAGCACGAGTTTTTTGTGTTTTCAGAATGTTTTATTGAATCTCTGAAGACTTGGCTAAAAAGTATCTTAGCTTTAGAAAGGTGAAAAACACGAGTGCTAATGTCATAATTCGTGAGAGAATAAATAAAGAAGAATATATTGTTGTAATTGTATTATTTTTCAAGCAGTCAATAATAATAAGGATATAATAAAATAAGAGAAATAAATGAACAGTAATAACAATATCAGTCCTCAATTCACGTATATTATATACTTATTCCATCAATTTTTGTCTTATTTCCAAGTATCATTAATCTATAATTATAATTATATTTAATACAAAATAATTGATTCATAAATCTATTATTGATTAATGAAAAATCCAAATTACTTTAAGAGCTAATGAAATACAAACATCAAAGTATATGTATACTTTCATTTTTATTGATAAAATAAATATTTAATTTAATCGTCTATTCATCACTTGATTGTTTTTATCAAAATATTGTTTTAATTAAAACAAGGCAAATGTAACGCAGTCATTGGTGTCCTGCTGAATCATATTGTACTGTCTGACTGATTTAAATTGAATGGGATGAGTCCTGGGCTTCAATGTCATTGACTTAGACCAAGGTTTTCTTTCTCTTGCCAAAAGTTGACCGCTGAATAGACCTTTGGTCACGCTAAATTATTCCTTCTGATAAAAAGAAACAATGACTCGTTTTTCTCTTTATTTAAACCAATCGATATTCAACCTGATTCCCTATCTAACTACAAGTAGAAAGTGTTTGAATTTAGTCAGACTTTTTTTTCTTTCTCCATAAACCCTTTATGCAAATTTAGCCCTCTAATCCTAAATAGATCCAACTTATGCATATAAATTGCTGCAAAGAATTTACTCACCTTTTTCTGCTTTTTTTTCTTAAGGTCAAAGAACTAACAGATCAATCATTTATGAAAATACTTCCACGAAGCCACTCGTAAATTCTTTGCAAAACGGAACTCACAGGAAATTGGAGTTTATTGACTTTAACGAGTAGCTTTAGAGCTTTTTTTTAGTGTCATAGTAAGTAGAAGTATTTATTTTGGAGAGCTTTAAAAAAGTTATTTAGCTACATAAATATTTCAGTTAAAAGAGTATTTTATTCAGAATTCTTTTATGCAAAGTTTATTCCGATTTTTTAATTTTATTTAATTTCAAAGGTTTTTTCTTTGGTAATTGAAATAATAAATAGTAGTTATTGAATTTTTTTAATGGTTTCTTTATTATATTTTCAATAACTATTGAGCACTAGAGATGCGATTAATTTTTTATAACTATGATCATGCAATGAAAGGCTAATATCTATTAATAGACCAAATTCTAAATATTTAAATAGTAAAGATTTAATCTATATTCAACATTTACAATAAAATCGCTTGAATATAAGCAATAAGAATAAAAGATGAAAAGTTAATGATTTGATTATTATATCATAATGTTGCAATAAAATTTCAGAAATGCTCATTGCGGTAAACAATTGTTAGAATGATAAATAAAAACAATTTAATGGGAAATCACTGAAGTACGTCATCATCTAGAATTTGACAAATTTCACAAACCAAAACGGGATAAATATTTATCGAATTAAATTTATGAAAAATTTTTTCAATTTTTATTCCAGATATTTTGTTTATCAAACATCTTTAATCATGCGCCTCGTCGAAAGTATTTTTCATTCAACAATCCTGATCATCTAGCTTCCAGAGGGTATTATTCATCAGAAAACTCTGACTGTTCAATCTTGGAATGGATTGTCTGTTAGACAGTTGGATGGACCGTAGAATATTTTTTAAGAATCTTTTCAAAAGACCGAAAACACGTGTGATGCATATAGAACAAAAAAATATTATATAAATATTAAAATCAGCCAGATGATAAATTTTTCAATAGATTCATAAATAAATGATCTTTGAGACAAGTATAACAATGACTTTAAATGAATATTCAATCTAATGTGATCATTATCATCAAGATAGCCCTCTTCATTTCTTCTTATTTAGATTATTAATTAGGCATCTTAATATCAATTAAAGGATCTTGAGAGTTGATCCTTCTATTCACCGATTTAGAATACAATAGTTTTGATACGTGATTCAATTAATCGAAGGTGATATGCGTACCCGGAAAACTATCGTCTTCCTCGATTTATTTGAGTGCATATTCACTCTTTGTTTTTTTTCCAACTTTGATTCATTCAATGAAACATCATCATTCTGACAATAATAATTTAATTAAAGAATTAAATGATAGAATCGTTCAGAAACGTAGCTATTGCATTGTCATCATGGAAGATTTTATCATTAAAAAATAAAATGTAATATTCACTGCTCATTTTTTTTTTAGTTTCTTGTATATCACAAGGACTTTTTCGAGAGCTTAAAATAATATTAAAGTGTGAATGACGTATGGAATTGGTTCAGTAACACACCAGAAATTAGAATAGAGTTTAATTAGGAAAACGTCGAGTTTAAATAACAACTCGACCTCTTTTAAGCTTCATAACTATAACTCTATTGCTTCTATTCATGCATATGATCCAGCCATGAGTGCAGCAGAACTATCGACAATTTGGCTTGCTAATGAGTTAACATCATACATAACACACTGTCAAGGGATCTTATTGTAGTACATGATTTATACACCGTTGGAATATCTGATGATCGAGGGACCTTTAAATTTGATTAATTGAATTCAAATTCAATCTCATTATGATTTACCTTATAATATAGTTTTAAAATCACTGATCAGTTACACACAGTAAAGGCTTTAATGAGAATTTTTATTCATCATCAAATCAACTTTCTACATATAGACATTGTATACATTTAATTAATAGTAACAACTAATTTCTCAAAATAATAAATTATTATTATTAATGCTTATTCATCTGAAAAAACGATGACTTATTTCAATATATTACACAACATAGAATTATTATAAATAAGGAATTATCAAAAATATTGATAGCTTTTCATTGAGAATCGTGATGTATTCATTTCTTATAAGTATTGTAAAATGTCTTCTAATCTCAAAACTCAGATATTCTTAATGAATAATACTTCAGTTTAACAATTACTAATCAAAAATACTATTGTTTTAATGGAAATTTCTTCCTCAAGTTTATCATTTTTCTCTTTTACTTATTATGATAATCGTTAACAAAAATCATGACCATCAGCAGTACCACACAACTTGATTGAATTATTGCAATAACCAATTTTAAATACCTTTTGATTTCAAGCTGTCTAAACGAAAGACTTTAGCAATAATTAATTCCAGTTCAATGTGGAACATGAAATAATTGTAAATGAAAAGTTATTGAAATAATTCTGATGATTTTCATTTTATGAACAATTTATCAATTAAACGAATTTCCGGTTTATTTAAGATCAGGGTAAGAGATGTAATTTTACGAACTAGGTATATAATGTAATATCAAGACATGCCAGTTCTCCAGTAATAAAACTCATACTGCAGTAAGCAGTATAGTGACACCAATCATATTACACGAATAAATTACAATGAACCTTTTTTACTAGAATTTTAAGATTTGTTTTAAATAATTTTTTTATTCAATCACTCATCATCCAACAATTTGTATTGAATTAACATAAACACCAACTTGTCATCTGCTACCAGTTTGTTCTGCTCATTCTGGTAAAAAATGTGATGCACGCTCAGATAATGCTTGACAATTCTATAAGAATAAAACAATATGAATGATTATCCATATATTTTTTTCCAGCAGATAATTATTAAAAAAGTATTATTTTATGTATTTAATAGATAGCTGGTATTTAGATCAATATTTTTTAATGGAACATAATGGATATAAATTCAGCAAATGCTTTGTAGTAGATTAAATTTGATACTACGTTAGAAAAACGTTATTTCAACGTTACTTCAACGAATAATATAGAAAATTTTAGAAATAACAACTATGTTATGTAAAAAAATAGTATTATTAATAATTCAATGTCAACTCATTTATCAGTTGATCGTAATGACAATTATGAGATGTTTTCATATCTTTTTTTTTTTTGAGTAAAATGTATTTACTAACATCTATCACATTGCATTATAATATATTAAATTATTTGGAAGAAGAAATAGCAATCTGACTCTAAAGTCTGAATTGCACGAGTATGAGTCACTTGTCGAGCACGACGATGAGTTGTTTCCTACTCTGTACTTTCGTCTCTTTCTTACTCTCTATCTCCACTTCATTCCCAGTGAGCGTGACTATATTTTTTTTTATATACATCAGATAGAATCTCAGATAATGGACCAACTCTACATGTATATCGTGAAATAAAATCAAGTGACATTGATTTTTACCATTTGAAATGACAAAGAGTAAAAATAAAAAAGTATGGAAAGAATTATAATGAAATTTTCGATGTTTGGTGATCAAGTTGAGTCAGAATGACTGAAGTACAATGAATAGAGTAGGATATCGAAGAAAGAAACACTAATAAAATAAAAGTGAAATGATTATTCTCCCGATGAATTTATTTTCAAGATGATGGACTGTTTAATACAGTATGATACTTGTACTGCATTCTTAGAAAATAAAATAAAAGCTCCCTGAATTTGAAATCATCAGACGATGCAAGGCGGCGTCGCGGCGCCCATACTTTGGAATCTGTGACTCATTCTTCTGCTGTAAGAAAAAATCCAAGAGAAAGAGTGATTTTAAATAACTCAATTCTAACAAATATAATTTTTCAATTTTCTTCTATGCTACCTTGATAATAAGTTCCCGAAAAAAATGATTCACTACAGCGTCCTCAAATTATGAAATCGTGATTACTTCTAGGAATAAATAATAAAGAATAAGCAACAAAGAAAAATTAAAAAGTAAGGTTTTTTAAAAAACTATATAATAATAAGTTAAATGATAATAATAATACAATAATTTCATATTGTTGTGACGCATTTAAATAAACAAATTTGTTGCTAAACAAACAAGTAAATACAGTGTTGCTAATATTAAGAACGAATTATTTATTATGTAACAGTGATAAGAAAACATAGAAAAAAACTTATGTTAAATAACAATGCTTTGCAATCGAATCAATTTTTCATGAGTTTTGCTTTTTTATTGGAATAAATAATGTCAAATTATTTATAAAATATTTCTTTCTTACTTTGATGGAGAAAGTTACTTCTTTGGTTTAAAGAGGGATGAAAGGGAAGGTATAATTATAAAGACCGTGAAAAAATGATCTATTGTCTGATAAAGAGGTTTTGGATGCTTTCGATTTCTAGGTGTGGCAGACTGAGACTTCGATCAGGGTCATCCTCTTGATTTCGCTTCATTCTTTTCTCTTTCTTTTAACTGAATAAGAACTTATTGATAATAAAAGCTAATAAAAAAATATTGAAACTATTCTTCTTTTTTTTTTTCATTGTCTTTTTCGTTTATAAAGCTTATTGTAATGAGTGATTAACTTTTGTAAATTAAAAAATTTATACAAATTTTAACATTCGATGTATGACCAAAAAAAGACAGAAAAATTTCATGATTCATTGCGGGTATATAACACTTTTTTATCTATGAGAAAACCAAAAGCGCGGATCTTCCTTGATCTTTTGATGAGGCAGGAAACCACCAAGATATAAACGAGTCGGCGTGGCGACGAGATTTAAGTCAGAAGAGCGTTTGAAGAATATTAAATACATTTCATTATAAATACAAGGGTCAATGGCAAAAAAAACCGAATTAATTTTATTTTAACTTCCACTTCCAGTTTTTATAAACCTTTTTTTTACCTATCATATATCAACAAGATATTCTCTACAAATATACGAAGTAAGAAATGATGTTAAAATTGAAGCATTTACGTTACGCTGAATCATAAATACAAAGAAAATATTATAACAAAGCCATCGAATTAATCAACTGATAGAGGTTTAATTAGAATTTAATTGTTCGTTATTACTTCACATCGATGTGATTATTTTAAAAAGTGTATAATGGCTGTAATTATTTTTTAAACGTAAATGAACTAAAGCGTAAAAATAAGACGCAAAACCTATCGAATGTATAATTTAAAACATTTTTAAATTTTAAGTAAACAGCTTTTTTAACTGAATGCTTTATGAAGTTGTACATTAATCAAAAATTAATTAACAACAATAAATTTTCTGTCAAAGATGTTTATCGATTTCATTTAATAGAAAAAAGGATTTATTTAAAATAAATTATTCTGTATTTAATCGTCTGTTCTTAACATTTTTCTAGATTGTATCTATTACAATAGCTACTAAAATTTTAATTTTATCAGATCAATCAATACTTATCAATGATGAGTTGATTGATAGATTCTTCAACTGTATTTATTTTATTTTATGATTTCATAGAGAATAAATTTTAATTCATTAATAAACTTCTTTTGTTCAAAATTTTTCTGCCACTGAAATAAAATTATCTTATTTCATTTTACAAGTAAGAATCACTTCATGAAAAATTTTATCAATATATGGATTAATATCACGTTAAAAAAAAAGTTGATGTTTACAAGCTATTAGTATTGACAAAAACAAACTGAATTAATTTTTTATGAAGCCATTGACCCAACGACCACCCATGAAATTTCATAACTTAACAAGCATTAGCCAAAGGTTTTAGATAAGCTCACAGAGCAAATGAGAAACCCAGCAGGACAGCAGTAGCCCAATGGAAGTAATTCTTCATGAGTAAATTGATGGACCAACGCCCTACAAATATAAAATATTATAAATTACAACACAATAATATTTGTCATCAGTAATTATTTGGCCAAAATATATATCAACACTTGAACAAACTATTTTGAGCAAATAAATATCATAAAACTCGTGAGATTAATGGAATAAATTTTGTGATTAAAATGAATAAAGTGAATGCAAAATCGGAAATAAATGTCCTATGACTGGATGTTCAATATGATTCTATCAGATTTAATCAAGGACTTTAAGAGGGAAGATGACTTGAATATTTGCTGAAAAATATAATAATACAAATAGCAAATTGGCTGTCAAATCACGGAATAGAATCAACAATGAAAGGATAAAATTTTCCGGAAATAATGCGATGCACTGATAAACCTTGTAATCAAGGATTTTAATGACAATTTTTTACTCAGAAAATAAATGGAAAATCTAGTGATAATTAAGAGCAAAATTTATTTCTAACTCATAATAAAAAATTTATTGAATAACTGAAGCTAATGTTTCTAGAAATTTTCTAGAATTTATTTTTTACAATTAATTAACAGAATACTTGCTAACATAAATACAATAAAATGTTTGGAAAATTAAAGAATAAAATTAATGAGAAAGCATGGAATATTTCTGAATAAGATTAAAACTATGTTAATAGTGCATAGGACATTGATAATGGTGCAGTCGGTTAGTTGGAACTCGCGTCTTGATCGAGGAGTTGGTGAACGCGCGGTCTTGTGGATCGAGTAGTGGGAGTGCTCGATAAAAGACTCGGTTGCGTACTGATAGTATTTCAGAGTAACGCTTGACTCCGGGCACAGAGCGCGTGGGCCCGCTCTACTTTCTGTTCTGTGTTTACTTCGCATTTTACACTCGGTTATATTTTTATTAAAAAATTTTATATTGTTTATTGCCTTTAGTTAAATAATTTGTTCAAGCTTGATAAGTCTTAGTTGTAAATCTAGTATTTAATAATAAGATTAATCAAGCGAGATTCTTGAACAAATCTTATCGCAAACTGGATATAAGAATAAGAAAAGTCATTGGAAATATATCCAGACAATCGCGCGCTCTGAAGAAATTCAAATCGATAGTGTCGTGGCAACGATGTTGTCCTGACCTGACAGGCCAGGAAGAATTGTGTACATTACGAGAAAAAAACTGGTTTTTTCCATCAAAGAAAAGCCAGATTAGCTAAAAAAAACCCGAGAGTTAAGCAAAAAGACTGTTAGAAAAAAATAGAATAATTTATCTAAAACGAGAAAACGTGAGTGTTTGGTGCGAAGAGTTCACAATTCGTTTATTTTTATCGGATTGTTCAAAAACGATTAAAAGAAGACGATGGAGAACCAGAGAACAGAAAGAAGAAAAGAAGCAAGTTGGCGACATAGTTTTTATATAGTAGTTTTAATAACTCTAATGTGTATTAAAACTCAAGAGGCAGCTCCATCAATGTCTGACACTGCTGCAATGGTGAGTCTGACATAAATATTAAACATTTCTAACAAATGCACGAGTAAATAAATTCACATCTCAAGCTAACAGATAACTGAGTAAAGTAATTAATTGACAAAAATAAACAGAGATAAAATTTATATATTCATTCTGAAAAAATTAAATTTAAAAATGAATTATTTCATTCGCGTTTAGTCAACAATCCTTTGATATTAAACAATTAAATTATACATTGATTGATTAATTTATGAATTAAATAATAAATAAGAAAAAAAAAGCATTGAACAAATGAATTATTAATCATCATAATATTTAACGACAATACAATTTAAATCAACTAATAATTTAATTTTGTAACCTTCAATTGATTTAATGATACGTAACCATCAACCGCTACAATAAAATAGAATGTTAAAAAAAATAATAAAAATGACAGATATAAATATTACAGCTTAATCATACACGACTGATTCAGAAGGATTGAGTGACAAAAATGAATAAATTTTTAAATTCTAAATTTACAGTGTATGTAAAAGAATGCAATTCAAGTCAATTGTCTAAATAAGATAATTCCGGGAATGTTGAAAAGTGTCGGAAGATATAGATAAGATAGTGTGAACAAGTGGAAGAATAGAAGAAGCTGCAGTGCGGACTATTTAAGTGGTAACGAACTCGAGAATGTCGTGGTCAGACGATGCCCAGTAGAAGTAACGTTACGCAGTCGGACTTGTACTGCAGTGTCTGACCTTTAATTCAAGTTGATCATCACTACTGCAGTACCAAAACTTTATTTAAACAAAATGATCTTTGTTTAACGACTAATTAGATTGTTAACGTCAACTGATTGTTTTTTCTGACATTTTTCATGATTTTTTTATAATTGGCCTTCAATAATGTCTCTTTGTCTGTTGATCTTTTACGTCATTCCAATAAATCAACAAAAGTCTTTGTCGTTGCAGTTAAAAAGTTGATAAAAGCGCGTAATTGTCTCGGCATACAGCCAAGAGCTGGAACACTCCTCTAAGGATCATGTACTAGGAAATAGTAAATAATGTATATATGTATATGGTTGATGCGGAAATAATCGACGAACCGCAAGTTACCTGGCCTTTGTCATAATAGCTTCGTAGTCAAGACACGAATTTAACGTCACCAGAATAGAATATTAAATATCAAGATACAATAGTTGATAATAGTATAGACTTGTCTATCAAATAGAAAAAAATCTTAGCTTCTTCATAATCTAATCCCCCACGTGCCTTACTAACGTTGCTGATGCATTTTCTTTAATGAGCACGTGTTCTTTAATGATTTACATTTTAGCTGCATACATCTTGTAATTTAATTACAGCTGTTTCTTTATTTGCTATTATTCATAAGTAGTCTTGCTATTTCTTTGCGTTAATTTTACTAATATCATCGTTTGTAACATTTTTTTTTCCATTTAAAAATAGAAAAATTGTCTGAAACAAAAAATTTATTTAGTAAATAATTTGTTTCTTAAATTATAATTTTTAAAAAAATTAAATTATTTTCGTAGTCATTCAGTTGTTTATAATTTCAATAAGTATTGGAATAAAATTTTAATAATTATGAGAAAAGTTATTATTATTCACTTAAATTCCTTTAAAATTTTTTAATGTCTCTCGTTGTCTTTCTGTTTTTTTTCATGTAATTTTTACCAGAAATTTCTATATAATCTGTACAATAATTGCAAATACACTTATAATATTTATCATCAATCTTTTACAAAATAATAAATAAAATGTTAAGTAAAAATATTAACTAAACTTCAAGAAAGATAAGTCGTGTAAAATGAATAAATGAATATATTTATCGTATATCAGTGATAAAGATAGATTGTTTACGTTTTTGTTCATCACGTACTCTAATTAAAATTCACAATTTTTTGCAAGAAAAAAAATAAATAATGTACTTATGACGTCGTTTCTTGACAATTTTCTACTTTTTGTTTCAATCTGAATAGGAATATAAAAAAAAAAAAAATAAAGAACGTTGGAGAGTATCATTTTAAAAATTCATGACTTTTATAAATCCAAATGAAAATGAAATACTTGTTTTACTCATTTTATAGATAAAAATAATTATATACATACGTATATCATTATCCAATTTTGTGTACATTTGATGAATAAAAAAGTAAATAAAATAGTTCACATATTAATACTCACAATCATATTAAAAACATCTAAATCCTATGCGTCGATGAATCACACTGTGCATTTCAGTGGATTAAATTCATATCCATAGAGTACACTAACTTCCGGCGTTGAATCAGCGTTTTTCGCGCCAATGAGTGACTCATTAAAAGCGTGCTGGTGACCTTTCATCTTGCGTACGACACGTTTGGTGTTAAAAATCCCACCCTCATTTTTTCTTCGATACAAAAATCTAATCACAAAAAAATATCTGCTAAAATAATAATTGATTGAAAAATTGAATTGATCCATAGATTATAGAAGTATATAAATTTAAATAACTTTTTTTATTACAAATAATTACTTAGATAAATGGATGATAGAAATAAAAAATGATGATTACAGTTAGAAATAATTATTAGATTAATTATTCAAGTACTACAGATGATCTAATGGAAACGAATTTTTATAATTCCAATCCATATTCATGAGTCATATAATTTTTTTTTTTTTTTGTTAACACTCGATTAAACTGAACATCAATGAAAATATTTATTAGCATTAATGGCCTCATTTTTTATTCTCATTTTGTAAAGAAAAAACATAAAAAAAATAATACCTCAATTCCAAAATATTTAGAAGATGCATGCGTGCAGTAGTGCACTGAACGACCAAGTTTCAACCTCGACCTTGAAGAGGTCTTTGTCGAAGCAAATCCATCAGTATTCCACCCCTGAATATCTTCTCAAAGACGTACTTTGAATACAAAGAACGTGCCATGTTTCTTTATGCTTTGTGTCTACAAGTAAATTTACAGGCATCCAAATGGAGTTGCTTCCAGTTTGTTAGTTGGACAGAAAATAAAATTTGTCCATCTCTTATAAGAGTATTTTTACTTTTATTTTTAAACGGAAGAGATAAAAAAATTTGTTAGATACAATCCCATGATGTAACTAACATCCAGATACCTGAAAAATTTAATTTGCTAGAAAGGCTTTATCAACATCTTATCATAGTCGTGATAAAATTTTTAGATAAAAAAGAACGACAAACTCACCTCTGAATAAAGAATATCTCAATAGTATCTTTAATTGTAAATGCAACTTTAAAGTGTTTACACAAAAATTATAATAAACATTACTGACACTAAAAAAAAAGAGAGAGTGTTGGTTTTTTGTTCAAAAATTGACGTAACATAAAAAACTCAAACTCGTGTAATATCCGGTTCATGTTTGTAATATATTTTTCAATGAACACTACAATGAATGCTTTTAAGATACTCAATACGTATATTTCTTAGTTGTCTTCACCTAATCCAGGTCAAGGAAGTCATGGGAACGTCAGGTTGGCGTGGCTCGAAGAAGAAGAGTCTATCGATCACTTGGGATTCGGCTCCAATGCGACAAAGTGATAAACGATCATTTATCCATTACAATCAATAATCTGCAACTTCTTTTGAATGGCAAAATATAAAACAATTAAATCGTTGTAACAAAAACAAAAAATTACTCATCATCATTCAAACGGACACATAAATTTAACTTACTTATTTTCTAATGAATTCTTATTAATTGTGCTCGAGAATTTTTTTTCTCATAATGATATAATTAATCCATTACGTGTAAAATTTTTATTGTAATAATCCTTGAGTTGCAATTAAATTTCTGCAATTTATTATAGTAGTTGGTAATCAAGCTTTACATATTATTATCGAAACCATAAAAAACAAATCATGAAGAGCTGTTATCTTAAATAGAAGAAATAGTTTAATATTAAGTTGAAACATATTATTAACATTTTAAATGAGTTTCTAAATTTTGTTTATTTCTTTATTTAAAAGAACGAAAAAATAAATGATGGATTTTAAATCGATGCATAATTGACTGATAATAATAACTGTCAAAACATCTGACGACGGTAAACTTTTGTAGAATCTATAAAAAAATGAAATTTGAATTCACTAATTAACGGGCGACCATATAAATCGAATTAATTAATCTAACGTGTTCTCTCATTTCTCATCTTGAAGCTTCCTTTTAAACTGTCAAAACTCGTCCTGAATAACTAAAAAATGCGTCCTCCACCTAAAATCGATTAGATGAAGTAAAATGGGTTCTAGGAAGTCCTTATACATGACATGAATCACCAAAAGCCTCTGAGATGTAGACAAATAAATGAATGAGACCCCCACGAGTGAAAGAAGCAGGTGTTTTGCCATCTGGACCTCTTTTATCCTAAACATTAAATCATCAAATTAACAACTGGTTTCCCTTTCTAGTTGTCGATACACAAAAAAATGTTAAAAAAACGTCTTTAACTTTGAATAAAAATTTAAAAAATATTTTATAATCAGAAGAAAAATCTTGGCGTTGAATTAGGCAAAAGTTGTTTATAAATGCTTGTCACTCGATCAGAGATAGTCCAGGCGTCTGTTTTAAAGCTTCACAGTGGAATATTAATAATGCTTTCTTGGATATATGCACAAATAACAGTACTCTCACTGTTGGAGAGGTCAGTAACCCTTTTTCTGAATTTCTTTGGTCCATTAACATCGAGTGACTCAGTTGCCCTTCACTCTCATAAGAATTTGAGAGCTTGACAATAATTTCCTGTGCAGGTCCCTGACACGATGATCAGGTCTTAGTAAAAAGAACCGGTTTTGATGACCATCATTGATTCAATTAGCATCTGTGAGTCACTTGATTAAAAGAATAAAAAAAATAAAAGCTATAAAAAATGTGTATTATCATTTGTGTATGGTCAGGAAGCTTCCCTCTATCCGGTTGTTACGTAGAATAATCCCACACCTTCTAAAAAATATTTTATTTTATTTCACCAAGACAGAAATTTGACTCATAAGTATTATGACACATTCATAAACATAAAGGTTTGAATTTAGTCACTGATAACTAATAATCTTAAATATTATCGTTAATTAAATAATTATGCTAGTGATAAAAATCAATAAATAAATTACTGACATTTTTGAAAATTTTGTTTACAGAGATACTTGTCTCAATATGGATATTTACCTCCAGTAAATCCTACAAGTAGTGGATTGATCGATGAAACTAAAATGCATCAAGCAATCGCAGACTTCCAATCATTTGCTGGGTTAAATATCACAGGTAAGCTTCTACTTGTCTTGTTGATTCATTTGATTCATATGATTTACCGAAAAAATAGATTTTTAAATCTCATAATCCTCAGTTAGTTCATTAGTTAGTCATTGCATTGTAAAGATAATGCAAATCGCCTGTAACAATACAAGTATAATAAAAGTATAATCATGATATGTACTTGTAAATCATTCATAAAGCAACGGATGCATTCATCCAAAGCCTACAAGTGACGCGTGCTTGAAGGTCACTAAAAATCGAATTTTTAACTCAAGTTGTATTACGAATTCATAAAAAAATAGTTATTCATCTAACATTCAAATAAATGAGAAAAAATTTCCCGATGATTCGACGAGTGAAATATTTAGTAAATACAGGAAAAAAGCTGTAATACATCACAACTGGAAAGATAAAAAATTAGTTTTGATGATAGAATTTATTGAAACCATAAGAGAAAAATCAATGAACGCCCCCTGAAGAATGAATAAGTAATTATAGTTAATAACAATTTAAAATATAAATCAAACAAAACAACAGTTTTCGCATTGAAAAGAACTTTACAAACTACAATTATGTGACTTTTAAATAGGAAATTATTATTAGAAGAATGCTGAGTAAACTTTTAAACATTTAAAAGCAAAAAGGATAGCTACCAAGAGAATAGTTTCTTCTTAGTCAATGTTAAGGCCGCCTTGTTTATAAAGAGCAGCAAGAAACTCGTTTTACGAGACACTACAACCAGTAATCTTGATCATAGTCAGAGTTCACAACTACTTGAGAAGAAAATGTATGTGATAATTGATAACTACAACAAACGATAAACCAGAAGAATCTTCACGTAATGACAACATAAATTTTGACTAATCGGCATGTAATAGTAGGTTCACCTAACCTAAATAACGAAGAATAAAGAGAAGCAAATAGAGATGAAAATTATCGGAAGTTATTTGTATGAATCTAATAACCCATTAAAATTAATTTTGATAATATCTAGAATATAATATTACAGGAGAGAATGAGTGATAATCAACTTGTTCCCTTTTAGATCTTACTGGGTGATTCATGTGAGTGATACTCAGTGACATTTATATGAATCACTTTCGATGCTAGACAGGCGAATGAAGGATAATTATTATGATATTAAATATTAAAAGAAGAACATATATTCATCAAAACATTATATCAATGACCTTTAGCAAGATTATTTAATAGAGTTTATCAACATACTTGTTACTTTTGCAATATTAACATATATTTTATCATTATTTTGATTATATATTCATTAAAAGTCGATTAATGAAATATTTATCTATTCTAAATTCGATTACTTAAACACATCTAATATGTGGTAATTAAAAACCAAAAAAAAAAAATATCCAACCAAAATTTTTTTAAAAGCGTTTGTGCGTAATGTCACTGTCTAGTGGTCAGCGAAAGTATTAGAAAAAATATGAAAATGAACTCGTCGGCCTAGACAAAGTAAAAAAATACAAAGGATTTTATGCCAAGGTGATTTGAGTATTTTTTTTAAGTATGTGAGTAAAGGGAATTACTTTGTTCATGGAGCATAACAAGGAACAAGAAGATCTGGCGCCATAAACAGTTTATTGATGAAGCGGAAGACGCAGTGGGGGACGTACCACACTCAATAAAAATTAAATATACGAAGAGATCACAATTAGCAGAAATTATTGAAGAGAATGGATGAATTATCCAATGCTACACCCCCACTGCTTCAGGGTGAACATTACATGATGACGAATGTAATTGTTATTTAGTTAGATGATGTGACTATACTCAATCCGGATAAGTTGTTAATTAACTCAACTCGGATGCAAATAAGGAAGTATGAGTACTCAAGTACTTTGGTATTTTTCTAGCAGTATTACTACAATATCCTTCATAGAATAATTATTTGCAATAGACAAAAATTGCAATGTAAAAAAAATACAATTCTATAATTTCAAAGTTTTTAATAGATGATTCATTATGAAGAAAACAATTATAATCTAAAAGAATGAATAACTTCTTTAAGGATGTGGTAGAAAAGTGTAAAAGATAAATCAATACAATGGAAAAAGATCGCAGACTTTTGCGTGACCTGCCTTTGAACCTGAACTCGTTAGTGATGAGTAAGACTACATTATGTGACCTGATGAAAGAATTTGCGTGTTATTCCATCAAGATTTTACACATAAAACATCATTCATTCTAATTCTAACGGTTGTTAGAAAATTATTACTGCATCAGACACACCCTCACTTGAAGAGAAAAGTGAAAAAAATGGCAAACGTTCAGAAAACATTCATAAGGCATTTAAAAATCAATACCATTTTTTTTTACCGTTTTAACATTAAGTAATTATGTGTAAGTTGATACTGAAAATAAAAAAACTAATAATCATCAAATAAATTATATAATAAAAAAGTTATAATTTTAATTTCTATTTTATTTTAGGTACTTTAGATAATGACACCATATCTATGATGCAGTTACGGAGGTGTGGAGTCAAGGACAAAGTGGGACCGAGTTCAGATGGAAGATCGAAACGTTATGCACTTCAAGGTAAAATAAATTTCTCTACTACTCTAAATTCTAAATATTCTCTAAAAATTACTGAATAATTCAAAAGATTTAAAATACATTTTGAGTAAAAGGAAAATTTGAAATCAGATAAGCAATTTAATTAAACAATTGTAAGTAAGTCATATAATTAAATAGTTATCTAAAAAAATTACGAGGAAATTAACAAGTATATTCTGCATTTTATTAACGTGTCAAATGAATAACATTTTATAAAAAAGACGTTTCACTTCAATAAGAAAAAATTAGAGAAAAAATGATTAGTAACAGCAAGAGCAATTCGCTATCCCGTTTTTCCAACGACCTCACGTTTTGTCATTCACGTGATTTCTGGTACAATTCATTGGTCAATTGCGTTTCTGGTATGACACAACCTGAGTTCGGTGAAGCGTTTCGATGGTCTATTGGCGTTTGTATACCGTTGATTGATTCATCAGATACAGGTAGTTTTTCGAATGCTGACTGCGTACAACCCACGTTCTTTTGTACTACTACGGACTGGGCCAACACTTTTAACTTCCTGTTTTATTGCTGTTGCCGAGTAACGTGTCAATCTATCACCTCTGATAATAATCATCCATTTGACTGGACATGTAACCCATTAATATAGCTCGAACAATGAATGTATAATGATTCAGTTTCTTTGAATGATAAGAAAGTGACAAACTGAGTTGATTCGATGTGAAAATTCTCAAAGAGTTTTTCTCACCAAAAGCTAATGTCAAGCTTACGCAACGAATAATGTTAGAAAATGCTATGAGCACGTATCCAATAATTACTGATGGTCTATAGTAAACGTAGAATGATCTGTCATTGCATAAATATGCCTGTTTTCATATGACACGCGAACAAATTAGAATTCTTTATTGCGGAAAATACGATAAAAATGTCAACACATCACAATGTCAGATATAGTTATCATGAAAAGTTATTGAATAGTTGTATTTTGCTTTTATCTTTCACCAAAATCATTTTTAAATTCATTTCTCTAACCAATAATCATTGATTTACAAAATTTTCCATCATAAAACCTCTAGTTTCAAGTTATATCTAATCTTTTCATCACAATTAAGCCATTACTTTTTTTAAAACTTACTCTAGATTGTATCAAAAACTTTACATTCGTGTGGTTTTTCCAACTTGTGAACACGAATTATCGAATTTTATATTTACATATAATATTAAAAATAGAAATCGACATCTAATATCTTTGAAACAATCATAACTTTTTCTACTATTGATGATTCAATAATTGCTCATCTGTAACCAATGAGAAAATTGTGTTGATGTTTATTATGGTTATATATGTAGATAATAAATAGAGTTTGCGTGCAACACAACTGCAATTTATCATAATTCCGAATAAGATTGATCTCACTGATAGCTATTTCAAGGTTTTATTCTGTCCTTGACGTAGGTTCTAGATGGAGGGTGAAAAAACTCACTTACAAGATCAGCAAATATCCAAGAGCTTTAGATAAAGCTTCTGTTGATAAAGACATCGCTCGTGCTTTCGGAGTTTGGTCTGAATATACAGATTTGACATTCACCCAAAAGAAGTCCGGTCAAGTGCATATTGACATCAGATTCGAGCGTGGAGAGCATGGAGATGGTGATCCTTTCGATGGACCAGGTGGGACTCTAGCTCACGCATATTTTCCAGTTTATGGTGGAGATGCCCATTTTGATGATGCTGAAAGATGGACTGTTAATAGTTACCGAGGGACCAACCTTTTTCAAGTGGCAGCTCATGAGTTTGGACATTCTCTTGGGCTTAGTCACAGTGATATTAAAGCAGCTCTCATGGCTCCATTCTATAGAGGATATGAACCTAATTTTGTTTTAGACAATGACGATATTTATGGTATTCAGGTAATTTATTAATTTCAAAAAATATAATATTTATTAAATGTCTTAGATGTATTTAAAATAGTTTTATGTTTTAAATTAGAAATGATGAACAACAAGATTTTCAACGTGTTGTAGTTATGAGCTATAAATACTTAACAAATTTAATCCTAAATCTTCCTAATTTAATTTCTTAATTTTAGGCTCTTTATGGAACAAAATCAACTAACGGAGGCAATGTTTATCGTTCGTCAACAACACCGACAGGAGAAGAAGATGCACAACTTTGTACAGATCCAAAAGTAGACACAATGTTTAACTCAGCTGAGGGTCAAATCTATGTATTTAAAGGTAAATAGACTTCCTTGAATCGTCATTCCGTGGATATTTTTACATAAACTGCAGCAACTAACAATTTTCCATGACAATTCATTGAATAATTACATAGAGCTAACAGGAAATAATTTTCAGGCGATTACTACTGGAGACTAACGGACGATGGTGTTGCCAGTGGGTATCCTAAGCTCATTGGTTCATCTTGGAAAGGATTACCCGGTAACATTGATGCTGCTTTCACTTATAAAAATGGAAAAACGTATTTCTTCAAGGTAAATATTGCAGCCATTAAAAAAAAAAATTACATAATGTTAAATTAATCAAGCATGTAATCAAACAAAATTGCTTAATCAATAGGGATCCAAATACTGGAGGTTCGTTGGCAAAAGGATGGACGGTGATTACCCTAAAGAAATTAGCGAAGGTTTTACCGGAATTCCAGACAATATAGATGCGGTAACAGTTTGGACTGGTAATGGAAAAATTTATTTCTACAAAGGAACCAAGTTCTGGAGATTCGATCCAGCTCAGAGACCTCCAGTAAAGAGCACTTATCCAAAGCTTATCTCGAACTGGGAAGGTCTTCCTGATAATTTAGACGCAGCTATTACATATAATAGATATACGTTTTTCTTCAAGGACAACGCATATTATCGGTTTAATGACCGAACATTCTCCGTAAGTTATTACGAATTTTATTAACAATCGCTACATTTTTAAATCAATTACAATTCTCAGTAATTATATCGTTTTTAATCTTTAATGTTCCTGTCAACACTTTAGATAAAAAGCATTACTATCCATTAGTTCAAGACAGATAATTTTTTTTAAAAGTGCTAATATCTAATTTGTATGATTCAGGTCGATGTCGCAGATCCAGCGTTTCCAAGGGCAACTGCCTACTGGTGGTTCGGCTGTAGATCAGCAAGCCGAGGGACACTAGGTAATGTCGCTTGGAGTAATAATTATGCAGACAGTTCCTTGTCTGGAAACTTGGAGAAGGTTGACGGTGATCACTTAGGCACTGATAATGATCAAGACGATGTTGGTGACATCATTTTTGATGCAGGTACTTGATGATGAACTTCATTGAGATGAAGGAGTCATAAAATTAATTTAGCTATGTGATGATTTAATTAAGCGAGACATTATCAATCGCTTGCTTTGTATTTTTATTGTATACCTGGCTAGTGTGTATTTATGGGGCTTTTGAATTTGCTGCCTAAATCGTCTCGTGCGCTTCTAACTAAGAAAATATTTTTTTAAATTTTATCGCTCATTTAAAAATGAGTATAAATAAAACGTTTATAGTAGCTAATTTTAATTTAAAGATTATTTAAAATTAAACAATGAAATGTTAAATTCAGTAAACCTATAATTTAAAAAAAAATTCGCGGATGTGATGCAACAATCATATTACAAGAGCAACGTTATATACACGTGTACTGTGATAAGTAGCTCATCCTGTACATCTGATCAAGCCGCCACTATTTCCGGTAATATGTATTTGTAATAATATTTTATCTGTCTGCCATATTTTTTTATTGTCAAACAATGACAATGCGCTACAAAGTCATAAAATGATAATAATAATGCAACGAAGCGTACGGGTGGATTTGTAGACGTAAGTAAAGAAAAATTACATGTGGTGACGGTACTAACATTGTATGTTTTACTTATAAGAATCTGATTTTTTAAAACTTTTAATCATTTTTTATCGAAACAAGCTAAAAAATAAATATTTCAACCTTATTAACAATGAGCATAGAAAAAATAATTAAATAATAAATAGTTAAAAAATTAAAACACTGTTTTCTATATCTTTGGATAGCAAAGATGTTCTTAAATCTATTTTTCCAAATAATTCACTGTTTTTAGCCCAAATTATTCATTAGCCAGGCGTTAATAAAAATAGCAATCTTTTGTTGTACAAAAATAATGAGAAAATGACTTGATGAAGTGATAAATATATGTAGAATAGTATTATTTAATTAGCAAGTAGCCACAGTATCGCCGTCACCGAATCCACAGTTGAAGAGTAAATATTTTAGAGCAATAATTACGTAAATATTAAATACTTTAAATTACTGCATCTCTGCATTATTCTCAACTCGGTGCTTTATGTTGGGTTTTCTTACTATTTTCTTTTTTCTTCTTTACCATAAAATTATATTTCTATTACTCATTTTGGTATTAACTAATATTTCTATTAATTTTGGTATAATATTTTTTAAGGGATAATTTAATCATTAATCAATCACTTATTAAAATATTTCTATATAGAAAATGTCTTATTTGTCTCATTTCTCCCAGCATGATTTTTTGGCATATCCATACACTCATTGCGGTGAAATATCGCACAAGGAAGTGAGAGAAGAAAGAATAAGATACAAATGAAGATTGAACAGCCCTAAAAAGGTGCATGGTTGAAAAAAACTATGAATAAAACTCAACGCTTGATGGTTGCGTTGATTTGGAACTAAACCTACTATTCAAAATGTTACTTGTTACTTGCTTTAACTATGATTATTACAATTGAGCACTTTGATTTTTTATTGCCAAAAAGTGAACACATCCACAAAAATCTCACCACTTTTTTTTATCTAAGTAGTATTTTGAAGCACGTTTACTGTTTTTCGTTTATTTGTTTTGATGCACGTGTTTTTTTTACTTTCAATGCACGAGCGCACTGAGCTGATTACATGACGCACAATTATTAATTCAGTTTAGTATAATTAATTTTTTTTTGGTTTTTTTTTTGTTAAAATTTAAGAATATTAGCATGTGTTTTTTTAAGTTTATCCTTCCTCACAATCCTAACATAAAAAACAAAAATCCTAATGTGTTCAAGCCTTCCTTGGAAATTCAAGACAGTCCTTCAGTTGCCAGAAATAATATTTAAAGATCTTACAATACGAATATTGATTGCTTAATCGGTCTCCACATCACGAAATCATGTGATATAAAGGTGATTGAACTTAAAATAAGATTGTTTTTCATTATTGTAAAGTACTTCATATTAATTCAGACCACGTTCAAGAAATTCATTTTTCTAGTTTTTTATCGGTCTTATAAATTATTTTTAACGAAAACATCAAATATTTGATCAAGTTTATATTGAATATATTAATTTTTTTTTTCATTTTAAAAATAACTTCATACTTTCTGTATTCTGCTTTCAAACTGTATTAAATATATTTAAAAGACAACCACAGAATAATTCCAAATTAGTAAAAATTTGTAAGGAATATTCTTATTAACTATTGATATTACAATACTCACAATATTTAATGAGTTTACTAGTGAATTTGATGATCAAATATTAGCATAAACTAAAGCTGACTGAATGACGAATACTCTTGAATACTTCATATTTACTACCTAAATCAACTCCACGATATCCTAATTAGAATTTTTTGCAGCACAAGTATTATATTAACACGTGTAAAACACTCGTATTTACAGAGGAGCTAAATCATGGGTCTCATGGATTCAGTAATAAATGAAGAAAAAATTTAATGGCCTACAGTCATTAAAAAACAGTGTGCCACATATTATCAAAGTTAATGAAAATAATAAAGATAAAAAAAGTTCCAAAACAACCAGCTTATAGCCACGAGTTAAAAAATGTTTCATTACTCTACTGCAAATACAAAGGCAGAATATAAATGTGATCATTATTCAACAAACAAGTTGGATCCTTAACTAAGAAGCTTCCACGTGCGATACTTCATTATATCACGTGCAAAAAATTTTGTTAGACTAGAAACGAAAAGAATTGATAAAATAAACAGAAGATTTTCTTGGAATTTCATCAAATTCAATATTAAAATGCAGTTTTGTAAATATAGGAGATACTGATGAACTTGTCACCACGGCAAATAAAGAGAATGGAGCTTCATCAATCGTTAACTCAAGGAATCAACAAGTCTTGAGGCTATCAGTCATTACTGCAATTTTAAGTTTTAGTATAAGGTTTATTTTAAATACGTAAAGATATTATTAAATTTTATTATTAAATTTGCTTTAAAAAGTTGACTTGTTGTCTAGGGTTTGAATGAACGGAGCATAGTGAAGATTAAAATGGATGAAAGATAGATGTTCGTACAGAGAATGAAAAGTGAATGTGAAAGCAAATTCAATTAATTTTCTTATTAATGATAAAGGCTATTCTCTTCAATTGTAAATGATTGTTAAATTAATTTTGTTGTATTACGGTAATATTAATGTTAAGGTAGTAATTAATATCAAGAAACCTATAAAACCCGTCTTTCTATAGAAAAAATCAAAAATTTATTTATGAATTTAAAAAATTATTTTTACAGTGAGGAATTTTCATACTTTTTGAAATTGTTTTTTTACTTTTCTTAACTGTGAAATACTTTTCATTTTACATCAACAGAAAAAGAAAATTTCAGAACTTCGAGCCTGTCACTGCCGACGAATATGAAGTTCGAACATCAATGATGTTAATAATAAACATTAACTTCGTAAATCAATAAATGAGACGGGTTTCAAAGATACAATCATTAAAATAAGTAATTGATGAAAAGTATCATTAAAAAATCTATATAAAATACCAGTGTTTGTAGAATATTTTTGTAATTCGAGTAAATAAGAATTATCAGAAAATTCAATTAGGATTGGTGAAAACTATTACGTAAACTAGAAAATTACTGCTTGTGTTCGACTGTTTATTTTGCATCTAATCATTATAATGAAAAAAATTCAAGGATACTATTTTTTTATATAATAACTCTTGAGTTGAAATTTTTTTTCATGCTAGTATTTATCCTGAAGTATTAACTGTTTTATCTTTGTAATTATCATTTAATTATTTTCTATATTATTAGAATATCATGCAATGATTTTTATTGAAAAATACATTTTTTTGAATGAAAATATTTTATTAATATAATTTCATCAGATTATTAAATCATTTTAAATTACTTCAAGTTTGGAAAGTTATTCAAAACTTATAACAATAAAAAAAAAAATTTTAAATGAATTAATAAATTTTCAATAACATTGCATTAATCTAATAATATGAATTCGAAATTGTAAACTATCAATAATTGACAGGTACTTAATAATTGTACTATATTTCGAATATTAGAAAAATTAAGAATTTTTGAAATGCCTTACATATAAAAATGCGATGTGATTACTGTTTACGATTTTTATTTACAAGATTTGTTTTAAAAAATTAACAAAAAAAAACAAAAACTGTGCCTTATGAATCATAAAATGATAAGATATACCTATTAATTGGAATTTTAGATTTACTTTTTAATGGAACTTGCCAATCTGTGGTAAATACGTTCCCGACTATTTATATACTGACATGCATTGTAATATATTCCCATATAGTCACTTAATTACATATCAATAAATTTACTTGCATTTTAAATAGTCAGCTTATTTGTTTATTGAAATCCAAAAACCCAACTATTAGGCTTTTATAAATATAGTTTACAAAAAATCCATTGTAAAAATAAATTAAATTAATTAAAATACCCCTTCACTTTTCTTTTATGATTTTCAAATTGTCTCTTAATACTGGTTCATATTTTAATAGTTTCGAATACGAATTAAGTAAATGTTTCCAATAGCAATTAATATCAGCCATTTTTAATTTATCCCAAATGAAATCTCGACCACGTTGAGCAATTTTTTTTGCAATTTCTTCATTATCTTCAGCAAACTTTATCAAATTTCTAGAAAAATTATTATGTCAACATGTTTATGTTAAACTCTTTTGATAAAAAAATGTTATAAGAAATCCATCATACTCTAAATCTTCCTGACTAGCATCTTTAGATACTGGAATGTAATGAATCCATGGTTTCATAGAAAAATAGTAGAACTCCATCCATTCATCTCCAACATGAAAAACCAATGAGTTACATAAAAATAAATGTTTGTGTCTAAATGACGCAGCTACACCTCGATAGTTGAATAGATATTTAAATTTACAATGTTCTTCTAAAGAAACTTCCGGAGCTGGAGGTTGATACAATGTGTCCTAAAAAAATTTATTTTAATCATTAATTCAAATATATTACTAAAAATGCAACCAAATCTTACAGCATCAGATTTCCAGGCTTGATTTTTAGTGTACTGAGCATCAACTAGATGTGGTTTTTTTCGACTTAATAAAATTAAATTATCTCGTTCAGAACTTGTTCTTGACCCACGGAAAAAAGCTTGATTTTTTTTCTTCTCCCATGGAATATCTTTACTTGCTTTATCTAAAGATTTACGATGTTGGTCCCATCTTCCCAAACCACGTGGATACAAGGAAATAGCGGGACCTCCTTCCCAAAATGACCAGGCTGGATACATAATGTCATAGAATTCAGAAGTCTAAACATTCAGAATTTTATCAAATAAATTCTCGAAGAAATGATAATTAAACATTGCTGTGTAATATGATCAAGCATACGAATAAATATACTCACCTTACTGAAAGAAAATATTGGCAACATTGGCCCGAAATGTTTACTAGATTGTGGATAATCTCGCGTATTGATAACCATTTCTATATTACTCATATTTCCAACGAGTTTCAAAATAAAATGCTCAATTCCCGCACATCTCGATGGAAACATGCAATCTTTTTGTCGATATAATTTACCATCGATTATTTGGTAAACCGTTCCTTTATTTATGGAATTTTCTATGAAACTTTTACTTATACCACTTTCTTTGAATGGTTGTAGATCTTTTTTGATGACTTTTTTATAGCAAGCACAATTTTTCGAACTACATTCTTGATAATTACGCTCTGCTTCTTCAATTGCTGCATAATATTTTCGATATTTATTATCTAAATCTGTAATAATTAAAAGTTATCTTTATTCACACTCCAACATGAGCTAATAATTTTTATAAACTCTTATAACTTCATTTACCTGTTAGTTTTTGAGCATCATTATTATCAGAACATGATTCTTTTTCGTCGATCGGACAAAATTCCTGCTCTGATAAAGTACTTGTAAATGTAAGTATTGTTAAAATACACAAAATAAACATATTAACCGGTTTCAAACAATTAAAATATGTAAACAAGTGTCAGTCCCATCCCAACCTTGAAATGTAAAATGTTATGACACTACTCCTAAATCCAAGAAAACATTTGTTACGAAATAATGGATATAATTCTTGCAAGCAGTATAATAACATTAATTTTTTAATGAAAAAGAATCATTATTTCTTATTTGCAAAGTTTTTTTATAAATAATACAAGCAAATTTAAAAAATATTAATAGTATTCTATACTTTAGTTGAGTATCTGCGCCACTTTCGTTTTCTGCGGCGCGATCTTTAATTTCAGCTTAGAATATCTGTCAAATAAACAATTCTAAAGTAATTATTCTGAGTTTTTTTATTACATAGAATGAAAATTTATAAATTGCTTGAAATCATAAATTTTACTCTATCTTTGAGATTAATAGTGATGATAAATGAACTTTGGAAAATAATTAGTTCATATTTTCCGCCCGCTATTCAAAAAGTATAGAGGTCATGACGATACTATAGTCAAAATATTTTATGAAAATTGAATGAAAATTTTTATTATTTCCAATAATAACTTTCATAGTAACGGAATTTTGAGTTTATTATAAATATCTACATGATTTTTTATACGTTTTTAATATTTAGCTTGAATTGCAATCGTTCATATTTGTATTTACTTTTCATAATATTTTCTAACCTCCTCCTTTACAAAAATTTTTTTTTCTTCAAGTTTGTACGCCTTTCAGCAATTATCGACTATTATTGCCAAAATGGTAGATAATATTTTGCATCTTGACGTGGTTCAGTAATACGAATTACATCAAATTAAATATATTTTACTTTATGTTGATAAATAAAAGTTAAAAATTGTAATTACAAAAAGACTTATAATTAAAGTGATTATTGTGAATTGTATATAAATAACTTTTAAAATAATCAATATAGAAAAAATGGGCAGGTCTAGATCGCGAAGTAAATCACCAAGCAGACGGCGTCACAAGAGTAAGCACTCCCGTAAACGTTCTAAATCTCGAGAAAAACGTTCCAATAGTAAATATACAGAAAAATCTAAGGAGCGTAGTTCAAAGTCCAGGTAATTATTTTTTATGTCCTTTTCATGATGTTGTTGTAATCTAATTTTGCCATTTGATTTTGCATTTTTTCATTCTGCGAACAACTGCACTGTATTAATTATTCTTAAAATAAATATCTTCTGTATGTACTATAAATTCTATTAGAGTATATAAATTCTATCTTGTGTTTTATACTTTGAAACTTTCTACAGTTTGTTAATAATGATTTTAATTAGAATTACTTAAATATCATTAACATTCTTGAGTCATTAGAATATATAAACATTTATAAAACAATAATTGACATCACGTATGTTAAATAAAGTATTTTTTGAATGAAAATCTATTTATTTAAACTAATATTATTTTTCATTTTTACAGAAAACGATCACATTCTCCATCATCTAGTACTGATTCAGATGGATCAGATGATGTCCACATTGTAAGTCATAAAAAGCGATTATACAGAGATCGTGATAGAAAAATGGATGAAGTGGAACGATTAGCGGAAATGGAACGTCAAAGGTATAATAAATTTGGCCTTATAAATTGATAAACAGATTTTTCAAATAATACTCGATCGTGTTTTCTTTTAAAAAATACGGAGAGTAATCATCGTGATTTTATATTTAATTTATAATTGATACCTATCGTTCATTTTTATACTTGTGTTATCAGGAAAAAGAAAGAATTAGCGAACAATTCCCTCGCCACGAGTGCAATCCGGTAAGATTTAGAATCCATGTGCCATGGTGGCGGTTGTCTTGTAATTTTTTCATTGGAAATGCACGGGCAAAATATTTTCATTAATTACAATTTCTGTAAGCAGTTGAGGCATGGCAGTGATAGTTGATAAACAATCAGCCAACACAATTTCTTGAATTTTATTTTCTCACTTAAACTACAACCGTAATTATATAACAAAAGGTCAGGAAGCCTATATTATATTCTTTTTAGTAAGATAATCTTTTAAATTGAATTTAAAAATATTTAAATTAATCAACCTTCTGTAATATAAGCTTCTAGACTAAATATAACAATTTAACATTTATATTTACTTTAATACTTATTTATCATACTAAGAAAAAAATAATTTAAAAAACACATGGACATAACAATATAACTTCAGGCGTCAACGAGAGTCTGAGCAGAAAATGGTGGAAGAAGAGGCTGCTAAAAGAATCGAGGAGTTGGTCCAAAAACGAGTGGAAGAAGAACTTGAAAAACGAAAAGAAGAGATTGAAGCTGAGGTTCATAGGCGAGTAGAAGAGGCTAAGAGAGCCATTGAGCGTCAAATGATGGAGGAAATGGAATGGCGCCAGGCTAAACTCCGCGAGGAGGAAAAACGCAGAGAGGTAAGACCAATCCAAAGAAACATAGGACAACGTTAGCACGAACGCTAAATAAAAGCATTAGTAATTTCGTTACCTTTATTGTCCTAATTGTCTTGACGATAATTGAAAGGCAATGTTATGCATTCGGCAATGAAACAGAAGCTATTAACGATTTCATTGAAAATCTTGTTTAGTTTGGAATTTGTCGAATAAGTGATAATTTATTTTCTACCAAATCGTCAATGACCTATTTGACATTTAGGATTCGATTTTACATCTGCCACGGCGTTCGGGTGTCTAAGTTTTGCGGTTTTTTTTTGAGTGGCATCCAAAAAAACTCAATTGACTCAAAAAACCACACTACTTTGATTTCCCAATGTATCCACTTGAAATTTAGCAAAACAAAATATCGATTGAGTTAATTTAACAACGTATAGTTTAAACGATTACTTAATATGAGACTTAAGGTGCTAAGAAACATATCGTATGTTCGCATCAGTTTCATCAATGCGGACTATATCAACAATATATACATATATATATATATATATTTCTCCTTGTGTGCCATCTGTATATATATTACTTATCTCTCTACCTTAAAAACCGTCTTAAAAAATAAGATTTTACGTTAATAGACTTTGTTAATCGCTGTTTAAATATTTACGCGTGTTTTCGTTTATTTATTTCTATATAGAAAAATTTTATCAACAAATACGTCAATAATTTTATGGACTCTAGTGAATTAAATTAATTTAAATTTTGAATATTGTGCAATACATTGATTGGTGATGAAAAAAATTTGTACTAAATAAATTAACTGAATAAGGTATTTTATTTATAATCATTTAATGATTTATTTATTGAACGCGTTTAACGTAATGTTTTGTTATCCATGTAATTTTTTTGTAATTTATAATAATTTAGCGAAAATCAGCTTATAATACAATCCAAAAATATGTTTAAAATTATAATTATTTAAATAATTAATATATCTAACAAAAGCGCGTTAAAGATTTTCTAAATTATAATCGATTTATTTATATCCATAAATCTAAATTATATTAATGAAAGTAATGAAACGAGTCACTATCGTTGTAGCAACTTAAAAAATCGCATAAAGTAGTTTATCAAATGAATTATCACTAATAATTAGAGATTATTTATTGTTGGAAAATATAAAATAAATAACGATCGTACAAATAAACCAGTACAAATGAAGAACATTTATTGGAATAATTTTTAAAAATATTTCTAAAATAAAAAATATATTTGTAAAAAGCGATTGTTAGTCTTATTTACCATCGAAAAACATATCTATTCGTGCGGAAAATAGCGTCAATAGATCATGGAATAGTAGTTGTACAAAAAATTTAAAAAGTAGCAGTATAAAAAAATTAGAGAGAAAAACCGAAGAAAATAGCAACAAAGCACGACCAATAGCAAAATATATAGGTCGGCTTCCTAAACTGACTACCAACGGAAGATGCCGGTTTTATACTCACTGCCGAGTGATTGTTGATGAAGAAGGCATCCCCTACGTGCTGGTGTGAGCTACATTCAGGTATTATCCAATTTATATATATTCATAATTTCATTATATACAAAATATTAATTATTATTATATTGTTGTTAATTATTGAAATAAATAAATCAGAAATAATCATGTACACATGAATATTCTCCGTGACGTCATCTGCTCATAACGAGTAGCTTCTGTCGCTGCGGGGAAGACAATCAAAAAGGCCCGAATTTTGAATAAATTTTATGAACTCACACTTTGTGGCAGTAGCTTTTTTATTTATGCTGGTAATTGTATATCACGATATCATTTATATAATATAATTTTTTTTTTCCTACTTACATTTGTTCCCAATTATCCGGGCCCTATCATTTTACTCCTATAAACAAGGTCTTCTATATTCTATAGGACATTTTATTCTTAAATTAGAAGATACTATATAGGCTTTTAATACCACGTCACTGCGACTTTTTACAAGCAAAAGAATGGTGTGACGACTGCAGTCAGGGCAATCACATTTGTTTCTTGGTGTAAAAGGATATTATTGTCGTTGTAGGAGGAAGAGCGGAAAAAGCGTGAGGAGCTCGAAAGGATCATGGAGGAAAACAACAGGAAAATTGAAGAGGCTCAAAAGAAATTGGTAAGATTAATATTGTTTATTTAATTCATCTTTATTATTCAATTTTAATATTCATTAACTTCATTTATAATTATAGGCCGAGGAAAGACTGGCAATGGTTGAAGAACAACGTCTGATGGAAGAAGAGCGGCAAAGGATGAGAAAAGAACAAGAAAAACGAGTCAAAGAAGAGCAGAAGAAAATTCTTGGAAAGAATAATTCAAGACCTAAGCTCTCTTTTACTCTTAAGCCAGTTACGTGAGTGTCTAGACTTATTTCGTGCAGTTAATCTTGTGATATCAAGACTTTTTTTTTTTTAAGATAAAATTCATAATACGTACGTAAATAATGATTTACCAGAGTCAGTAGATAATTTCACTAATAATAATTTTAATGACTTAACTGTTTATACAAATGAAAGTAATTATTCAACTCTTGTGAATCATTTAATACATACGTAGAATACCAATTTTCATTCAATTTGTATGAATGATGCCAATAATGTACATATTCACAGTCTACATAACGGATAACTTCAATTAATTAATGATAATATGACTATTGATTATTTAAATTAATTAATTTTTTTATTCATATCAATTTGATTTAGCGCCAAAAAATCGTTAATCACGTTAATTATCCGTGAATATCATTGTTTCAATCAATCAATGTGTAACAATCAATTGATTGTTAATATTACTTAGTCATGAAATATGAAATGATCTATTGTGTTTATTTTTTACTTGTCACTTCAAATTTTTAGTGAAGTTTATTCAAGATTGTGTCAAATTATCTGCGGTAATGACTTTATTAAAGTTATTATTTAACAGTAATTCAATAAGGATTGTATAAATAACGATCGATTTAAATCCAGCGAGATAAAGTATTGTTTAATCAATAACACTGTTACTTGTAACATAAACAATTTTTTATAATTCTGTGTTTTCATTTTATCTTCAATCAATAATTAATTCCTTATTATTATTTATTACTAATTTTTATTAGCTATCTATTTGTAATTATGAGCAGAATTTATAATTTTATGTACAGAAAAGAGGTTGTTAATTAAAATCACTTCACTTAGTTAATCCAAGACCTATAGCATACATATCTGTCATTTCTGTTTCATCCTCTCGCTTCTTCTGATTACTTACAGCACTTTTCAACTTATTATTGACAGCTGTCCTGATAACACGTGTTCCTGGTCTCCCTGGGATTACTAAGGATGGCAGTGTTGTAATATCCAATGGAATAGATCCATATTTTTTGTATTTATTCATTGCATTCCTCATTGCTTTGCCAATCGACTAAAAAAAATTTCCAATTTATTTATAATTTATTTATAAATGATTATATTAATTTTAATTACTTTATCTTCATTATGAATCTTTTTTTTTGTAGATTTTTCTGTTCGAAATTCTCCGGCAGTTTTTGCCAACTCTCTTTGATTTTTTATAACCTTAGACGTACTATTTTGCTTTGCTGATGCTGTTTCTGCATTTTTTAATTTTTCCTTTACAACTTTTTTCAATTTTACCGGAGCTTTATGAGGAGAATTTTTAATCGGTTTGCTTTTAATTTCAATCTGTATTAAAAGTTATATGATTTATTTATTTATCTCATTTTCGAAAACATTATTAAATAATTAGACTTACTGGTACAGGTGATTTTGGTGTGGGATAAATCCTAGAGCTACCAGAAGTAGTTTTTATTGAGTTAGGACTATCAGTAGAAAGAGAAGGTACAGGAATAGGAGCTAAAAGGTTTGGTGAAGATGGAGCAATGGGCGTGGTTGCAATTGGTGAAGGATAATTGGACTCATCCGAAGAATTTCCTTTGTAATAAGTATATAATTCACGGTCTAATTGAATCTCTAATTCTTCAATGAGGTCAACTATGACTGGTCCAATATATGTATTCGCTGTAGACTTCTTCCTTGATGGACAGTTCTATGAAAACATTTATTAATTTATTATCTTATTGAACTATTAAAATAATACTAGTTGATTATATTATCAATGAAGTTTATTTAATAGACATACTAGTGGTAGTTTGGGTATAAATTTAGCATCAGGACTATGTTTCTTTTCACTGGTATTTATTCGTGTTCCCTGAATAGCAAGTGCAGTGCCACAATAAGGCTGACAACTTGGCATTCTCTGTTTATAAACCAATTCAAATAATCCAGTACTAGCATTTTTATCTTCTCGAAAATCTATAACAACTGCAATAAAGAAAAAATAGATAAATAATTTATTTCTATGAAATAAATGATATGAAATTTCTGTACCCTTGACTGTATCTTCCATAACTTGTTTACAAAGACGAGTTGTTACACTCGTGCTGTTACTCATGTCTGGATGGCTGTTAATTTCAATTAACCATACAGAAAAATCTTCCATCACCATGAAATCAGCTCCGTAGAGCTCAAAGCTATTTTTTCTACGATCCATTGCTTCCTGGCTAGCTAACAATGATCCAACCAATCCTTGCTTCATTCCCGGATAAATTAATTCTTCCCAAACGTCACTGTGGCCTTGAGATCTTGTTAATAATTATAAAACAATTTTACAAGTTGGTCAATTTAAAAATTCATCCATGTATTTAAATTAATAATTAATAGTACTTTAAAAATTGCTTGAAAGTCGTAGCATCCCACATATTTTCAACAGGAAGTGCTGGATCACGATCGGGACTATTTTTATACTTGCATTGTACTGCATGATTGCTCAAATGAATAGATTCATGTAAATCATCAAGTCGAAATTCCTGAGAGCAAAATCTTAGGTAACTTTCCCTGAAAAAGAGCAATACCAACAAAAAAATAATTCAGGTCAATTGAACCATAAAGTAGAGCAAATTAAAGTATTGTTGAAGTTGTGCAAATTCATTCGTGTTGATTGTAAAGAATAAAGTTTAAAAATAGAAAACAGCTCGACCTGAATTTTCATTTTTGAAAGACAGAAAAAACGTAAAAACTTTTGATTGGCCGTGTATACAATTTGAACACGTAATGGTTAAAACAAGCATATCTGCATAAGAGATCCGAAAGATGTAATTCTATTGTGAATTCATTAGCATACTATTTTTAGAATTGTCTAACACGCGACAGTACCAAACGCACCTGTACATCCATAATGTCAGGGGCTGAGCGCAAGTCACGATGAACCATTGTCTGATGTCAAACTTTGTACTGTATATTAATAATGGCTTCTCTATCATTACAAAGTATAAATAATTATTAAACAATTACTGACTTACATAAAAAAATCACATTACCAATATACTTTTGAACGACATAACGAGTGTCGGACTTATTTGCTGGATTAACTTTTGCCACGACATCTTCGAGTTTGTTCATTAAAACAATACCACGTCCTCGACTTTTATTACCAGGTTTTAGGATCCATATATTTAGGACTCCATCCATGTCGAATTGATGCCAATATTTTCTTATTTTTTTTAGAATATGCTTTGCGGCAATTGTGTACTTCTAGAACAGCGAATAATATTCCTTTTTAATTTTCAAGTTTAAAAAATATCTCTAAAGTTTGCATGTTTATCCCTCTAAACAGCAATTGAATGAATACTAGAAAAAATTTTTTCCATACATACTGATAGTTTTAACAATAGTGTTGATAGAAGAATTAAATTAATTTATACTAGAAAATACAGGAATTGGTATCAAAAAAATTATACATAAATACAAACTATTTTATCATTTTACATAATATCATTCAGTTATTCAGGAAAAAGTTTCATTGTAAAAAAAATTAAATTCCAGATTTGCATGATTTTTAGGTATTTAAATATTAATTTCATAAAAAAATAAAATTTATAAAGGTAAATACTAACTTGTAGAGATGTATTAACACCAAGAAAGACGGTTTCATTATGAATGATTTTATAATACCAGCAGATAAACTGATCCCATTGATGAGACCAGACTCTTTCACCTTCTTTATCAATATCTTCATGAGCTTGAGCAGCAATAAAATCACTGCATCGCCTAATTGCAAAATCAAGCGCTTTCAGAGGTACTAATCCCGTTGATGATATAATTGAATTTTCACCCTCAGTATCTGTTTTCTCCATAAACCACTTTAGAAGGCTTACACATGCAGTGAGTCTATTTAAATCCATTATAAAAATTGATTAATTAATTATTTATTGCAACTCAATATTAGCTATTTTAAAAGTACCTAAAATCATCAATGAAAGCATGCAAGTGATCGGGTTGGCAAATATTGTAACATCGAGGGAAAAGTGTATTGGCAACCCCTGGTTCATAATACCAATGCATCTGTCTGACGTTTGAACATAATCCAACCTGAAAATATAATGTGATTAGTTTAAACTTTTTAACAAAACAATCTTATCAGTATAAAGTGAAAAGAAGTTGTCAAGATACCTTAGAAGTAAATCCAGCTCTTGAAAATCGATTAAAAATAGTCGATTTATTTTCTTGAGATGGCCATCCAGGCCAATCTGATCCAGAATTCCATAGAAAATTGACAGTATGATTGGCAAGCATTTTAGACATCAATAATCTTTGGCTCTGCTCATCCTTGAGATCTCCAATACCCGAAAGAAGAACCACAGGACTAGAATCAACACCTACATGCTGCTGAGCTTGAGGAACGGATTGCTGCTGTTGTTGCTGCTGGAGATGGGTTTGTTGATGATTCTGCAGGAGCTGATCAGTAGCTAAAACATTCCGAGGTCGTGAACGACGAGACGTTCGCGCAATCAATTGTCGATGTTTCGTTTGTTCACCATTACTGTTCCTTCGATAAAATTTCTCGATCCATCCTCTCTTTAGTAGACAGTCACGAATTACCTTGGCACGGCCGTAGATCATGAAAGTATGGTTTGCTGCAATAGCATCCTTGACAATTTGCTTTATTTGTAGAAAACGTTCATGAAGAGTAGATGAAAGAGCTAGAGGTACTGGAACTTGTATCAAAATAAAACATACATAAATTTCATGTTTTAAAAGTTTCTAAATTTTATTTTATTTGTTGGATAATGATTTGTTTATGTCTACTATAAATATAAATAAGTATTTTTAAATTCAAATAATTCATGCAAATATTAAAAGATAATAAAAATAATACTTTCATCAGTATTTTTAAGCTTCGCTATCAAGAAAACGTGTTGTAAGTGGCAATGAAATAATTTTAAATGTTCTTAGAACATGAATATCTATACTCGTGATCTACATGCATATAACATTCCATTTTATTTGATAAAATTTTAATTGCTCTTTTAAATTTTATAATTATATGAAATTATGTAATTAAAAAAAAAATAAATTCATTCATTGAAAAAAAAAAGCTACCAACCTTCCACAGAAGTGTCATTATTTTCATTCAATTCTGTTAAATCTTGATTTTCTTGAACTTCTTCCACCGTTTCCTTTTTTTCTTCAACATCGGAAACTTCATCTTTGGTACTCATGTGTTTTCAATAACTCCACAAAACTTAATAATTTTAATTCATTCATCTAGAATCTTAAAAAATATCATAATCTACCTGTTGCCGTTTTCGTTACCTCCCCTTTTTTTTCTTTTCTTTTTCCCCCTTTTTTTCTTTAAGCTTCTTAAAAAAAATCGACCTCATAATGTAACGAATAGCACATCATCATCTTAAGATCCTCCAATCTCACTAGACTTATGATAAGCTCGTAGTTGCTCAATGGAAGCAGCAATCTAGACTGGAATGAAAGAGCTAAGCAATTGGATCGGTAAAAGCAGAAGTAAAATTCTCAAAGAAAGTTCTGACATTTAGTGGACTCGTGTAAGTGAATGTGTGGCATGAGGTTGCGGAATTCCGCAGGCGCGAGTAGACAAACGGGTTAAGGATAAGATCAACGAGGGAGGAAAGCACAGGTAAGAATACAACAATGTGGGTGTCGATAGAAATAGTAAAAGAGGGGATACAAACATCAGCGTACCAGGCAGCACCCTGATGAACGTGAATGAATGTAGGTAAAGAAAGGTAACTAGCCGAAAACAGTTCAACTTCTCTGAGTAGCTTGACTCATGGTTATCAGATTTTTCATATTCTAATCCTGATAGACTCTTCTAGTAATCTAAAGATTGAGCAATTAATCGTTTACCTTTGGCCTCTTTAGATCATGCACTTAAATCTTAAATTTCCTCGGTTTCATTCAGATATATTTAGAATCAAAGCGGCCTATTGACCTCGAATGGTAGTCGATACCATCTTTGATACGTGTTAAATTTAATCAGCCGTCAAAAATGGAAATTTCTAATCCGATTGTAGCTTACTGTAAACTTTCAATTTATTTAATAGATTGTTCTAAAATCATATCAAGTTAATTCAGTATTGACTACCTGTAATTTTTCTGCTTGGAAAAGTTAAAATAATACTTTTTTCTCATCAAACAAAATAAAAAAAATATATTTTCCACTATATCTTAATTAAATAGCTTCATTTTTTAGACTATTACTTAGAATATCTTTCAATAATATTGCTTATTGAAAATAATACGAAAATTTTGATTATCAAAAAAAGTCTAATTATTTGACGTTAAAAAAATTTTATGGTTATAAATTTGAAATTAACTTTTTTTTATAAATAACTGTATCAGGAAAAACAAAAAAGTCACATTTATTTACAATTGTGTTGTTTTAAATTAATAAATTTAACGCTTTATTATAATATAATAATTATTATTACTAGGCGATAATGGTTTATAATAAATCATTGAGGAAGTGGAGTATAAAAGAATACATGAAATATATATTAAATATTTTATAAAATTTTCATTAACCGAAACTTTTTCGTAAAGTCTAGGTACAAAATAAAATATTGCATAAAAGAAGTCGAGTCTTAGATGAAAATATTAATAATTAATTAATAATTATTAATTAATTCGCAACTTTTTTTGTATGTATATAACAGTCGACACCGATAAACGATGAATTCTAAAAGGCTTAAAAATACTTATATGATCTAAATGTACTGGTATGTACAACTAAATAAAAGTAAAATCACATTATCACAATAATATAAATATATTATGATCTATACCTTTCCCAACAGGTTTTGTATTTGTAATTTCTTTTTGGAAGAACGTTTAACGACAAATTTTATACAGACGAGAACGAGAATAGTTGCTGAAAGAATATAAATAATTACACAAATACTTATATCAAAAACTGTAAAGTCCCATCCTACTTTATGTTGATCTGTAACATTTCTGCTACGTGTAAATTCATCTCTATCAAGATGTAATTCGGCTACAGAAGTATCTGACTGAATCGTTGTATACTTTTTCTTAAGATAATTAAATACTTGAACTTCATTCCAAGTACCATCGTCATTTCTACACTGTGGGCAATCTTTCTTCGATGGATATTGAATTTTCGGAAACTCAGGATCTTCAGTAATATCACCAGAGAGGCGTGAATTAACTTGATTGTGTGCTCTCCAAAGCCAGAGCACAGCTTCATCAGTACTTTCAACTTCAAATAATTTCTGCTTCTCTGCCATCTCAACAAAATGTTCAGCACAATCAGAACAGCCAAAAAAATTCTTTATATATCCATACATTACTGCTAAAATTCTTTCTGGAGTATCAACTGGAGTATCTTCTTCATCAGCAGCCGCATAATTGACCGTCAGAGTATGGAATAAACTCCAAAGTCCACAAGGATAACCTCGTCGATTAGAAATGCTTCCTTTGCAGCTGATCCACTGTTCTTTTCCGGAATAAACTGGATGCATTTTTTTTTCAGCTGATTCAACTAATTCTCGAAAATCGCCTCCACTAATCATCGTTTTGTTTTCAATTGCATCACGAATGAATGGAAGATAAGCGGGATTACCATGCTTCATTGGAAAATATAAGGCTAAAGCTCTCAAATAATCTTTCAAGGCTTTCATTTTCAATCCATCAATTGTTTTCACCAGTGGAATTTCTCTTTCTAATGAATATTTTAATGCTAAATCTAAATCTGCTTGATAGAGTACATCTCCAATAAATTTAAATGAAGTATTTGTTTGATTTCTTCTCACTATTTGTGTTTTTTCATGTATTATCGGCTCATTTATTTCTTTTGCATTAATTATCAATCCTTTAGACTTCAAATAATCTTCAACTACTTGTGCAACACCCAGCCTTGTTGGCACAGATATTTTTAATCTACTGTGGTTTCCATCTCGACTGTAAACCACTAGTGCTGGAAAATTTGTTATTTTATGCATCATACAAAGCCACTGGCCATTACAAATTATACGGCGAATTTGAATATTAGTTATATTACGTAAATCTAAAATTACTTCTGATCCTAAAAAGGAATCACTCTCTTCAAATAGATAAAATTTATATAAAACTGTATCAGGAACCCCTTTCCATGTATCATGTGGTTCTGAGCTCCTAGAAGATGATTATTTAATACATTATTATTTACGTAACGAAGTGGTAAATTAGCTGATAATATATTATTTTCAAACAATAATTCTGAGTCATTATATTTAATTAATGTTATTAAATGATATTAAATCAAGTTATTTAAAAATAACATTTTTACCTATAAGGTGTTATATTGGGCCATGAAACACCTTTTTCTTCAATCTGTTCTTTTTGCAATTGTGCAATTATTTTATGCCTCATGGTTTCTTCACTGTCTCCTTTTTCTACATTTTCTCCTACCATTTCGGGCTTAGAATAAGGAGGAAAGTATCTTATTGTAGGATAATGTATTACTTTATGATCTCTACACAAAGCATTGTTATCATAATCGGCACAATCTACAGCTGCTACTTCAATTATGTCTTTCCAGCCTGAAAAATAAACAAATAAATTATGAATAAAGATATAACTATCATACAACTAAGGATGTTATCAACTAGCTATCGTTGATCTCGTATTTATACTTGAAGTAAAATATAACCTCTTTAATTCTATAATTGAACAGAATTATCACATCAGCGTTAATCTTTTCAGAAACAATTAATTCAACATATTATGATTTATCTCTTTCAGAATTTATTGTGTGTTTAATGAAGTTGATTCAACACAACAGTCAAATTGACGACCAATTTAACAGTCATAGAAACAAAATAACATCACTTATTATTACCTACTATTCCTCGTGCTACAGCTTTCCATATCGGAGCAAACTTTTGACAGTGTCCACAATATGCATTGTAAAATTCAACTATCCAAGCATTTTTACTTCCATAAATAGTATTTTTAAAATTAGTAACATTTAAAATTGTAATATCATCATTAGAATCATACAATCCTTGATCAGAAATCCAACTATTATATGCTCCTGGTTTTTTGTTAATAACATTTGGAGTAACTGTTTTTATAACAATTATATAAATTAACAAAGCATTTAAAACAACTTTACTATAAAAGTCAAACATTTCGATTTCAAAACACACTATTGTTTGTTTGTAAATAACTGTAGTCAAATGATTAAATTTCAAACACAATTCACATTAAATAAAAATGATAAACACCGCATAACCATTAGACTTTTGTCAAGAAATGTCATAAAAAACACGATTAGCTCGTTTCGAGTTTTACAACCGACCAATTGCTATTTATTGTACTGGTGAAGCGTAAGAAGCTATTGGAGCTCATGCACGCAATGAAAAATGGTGGTGGAGAGATAGAATAGAAAGCATGGCGGGGGTTTCATGAAGATGCACTGTACGTGTGTCAGTGTCTCACCGACAAAATAACTGTTCTTTCCAGCTTTAACAAAACTATGATCCGTTATGGCTTGGTTGTTTTCAGTGAAAACTCATTAAATCATTAAAATTTCACGTGGCAAAATCCAAATGTTCTTTTTATTATATTTATTATGGATTTAAGGAATAGAAAAGGTAAAAACCATGATAATAATAAACAAATTAATCAAGATAGAGCAAATTTTGAAAGTCTGAATTCTACACAAATGAATAGTCAACAAATTCCACAAGATGAGGTAAGGACAATTAATTTTAATTAAATAAGTATATTTTATATATTGTTGATGTTTATTATTAATTGTGATGTTTTTTCAAATTTAGAACAGTGATCAGTTAGACACGACAACTGAAACACGTAAATCATGGCATGAAATTCTTATTCCTCCAAAAAGAATTGTTATTAGTTTAGAATTTGATGTCGTGGCTGTTATTTTATTAATTTTTGGAGTTTTAACAAGACTTTATAGGTTAGAAGAACCAAAGAGTATTGTGTAAGTAATTGTCAATCATTAAAAGTAGTCTATTTATTCTATAATGCACGTTATGAGATTTTATTCTATTATCTTCAATCACTCACTTTCTATTTTACTTTCCAGTTTCGATGAACTCCACTATGGGAAATATGTTGGACTATACATGAAGAATACATTCTTTTTTGATTCTCATCCACCTTTAGGCAAACAGTTGGTAGCGGCTGCTGCTTATCTTGCCGGATTTGATGGAGAATTTAAATTTGATAGAATAGGAAGTCCTTATATGGATTCTGTACCTTTGTTTGCACTTAGAATCATTCCAGCATTATTTGGAAGCTTCATTTTACCAACAGCTTATCATTTAGCTCTAGAAATAGGATTAAAACCATGGAGTGCAGCAATTGCTGGCTTAATGTTACTTTTCGACAATGCTTTATTAACTCAATCACGTTTTATTTTAATGGAAAGTATTTTGATAGAATTTTCACTATTTGGATTACTCTGTATCATGAAATTTAGAAAAATTATGGATAACCCACAATCAATAGCATGGTGGATCTGGCTAACTGCTGGAATAACTAGTTTAACTTGTGCTCTTTGTGTAAAATATGTTGGTTTTTATTCACTATTTTTGGCTCTCTTTATTATAAGTCGTGATTATTGGAGTCTTCTTGCCAGAAAAGCCCTGTCCAATGTTGTCTTATGGAGCCATTTAATTGCTAGACTGTTAGTTATCACATTGTCATTTAGTTTTATCTATCTTGGAGTCTTCTATGTTCATCTATCCATCTTGACAAAAGCTGGACCTCACGATGCAGTTATGACTAGTGCTTTCCAAGCCAGTTTAGAAGGCGGCCTTGCCAGTATCACCAAAGGACAACCTATGGAAGTAACACATGGATCACAAATCACTTTAAGACATACATTTGGTCGAGCTTGTTGGCTTCATAGTCATAACCATCTATACCCATTAAGATATCCTGATGGAAGAGGTAGTTCTCATCAACAACAAGTAACTTGTTACTCTTTCAAAGACGTCAACAATTGGTGGATTATAAAAAGACCTGACATCAATGACCTGGTCGTCACTAGACCTATTGTTCCACTTAAACATGGTGATGTTATACAATTAGTTCATGGAATTACTAGCAGAGCCTTAAATTCCCATGATGTAGCAGCTCCAATGACTCCCCAGAGTCAAGAAATCTCGTGCTATATTGATTACAACGTTTCCATGCCTACTCAAAATCTATGGAGAGTAGAGATAGTCAATCGAGATCAACTTGGAGATGTTTGGTATGCGATTCAGAGTCAAGTACGATTGATTCATGTTGGTACAGAATATGCATTAAAATTCAGTGGAAGACAATTACCTGAATGGGGCTTCAATCAGCATGAAGTGGTTGCTGATAAAATAGTTGAACAAGCTGATGCTGTTTGGAATGTTGAAGAACATCGCTATACCAAAAGTGAAGATCAAAAACAAAGAGAACGTGAATTAATTAACGCAGAAATGATACCTTTGAAAGCAACTCATTTAACATTTTGGCAAAAATTCATAGAACTTCAACTGAAAATGTTGTTTGGCGGTCAGGAAAGTCAAAATAGTCATATGTATTCTAGTAGTCCAATAGAATGGCCTTTAATGACCCGAGGAATAGCTTATTGGGTTGCTAATGATAGTAATGTAAGTATTTAAAATTTTATCTATGCTCTCATTATTTTAATAGTTAAAAAAAACTAACCCTAACTATTCTTCAATTATCGAAATAATGAGTATATATAAAAAGTGATTTTAAAATTTTTTTTTAGGCTCAAGTTCATCTTTTAGGAAATATTGTCGTGTGGTACTCTGGAACAATGTCAGTTTTCATTTACTCCATGCTTCTAGTAATTTATTTAATGAGAAGAAGAAGACGTTGCTTTGATATCCCTGAAACTGAATGGAATAGATTTACTGTCGTGGGAGAAGTTCTCCTAGCTGGTTATGCTCTTCATTATCTTCCTTTCATCTTCGTAGAACGAACATTATTCTTGCATCATTACATGCCTGCTTTAATTTTCAAGATATTACTCTGTGCTGCAACAATCGATCACTTATATTATTTAATCAAGTAAGTATTCTCATTTTTAAGGTTGATCATTTTTCTTTAACTGGTACCGAAAATCTTTATCACAATTTTTTTTTTTATAGTACGTATTGTCAATGGAATTTTGTGATTTCGTTAGTAAGACTGAGTATAATATTGTGGGTGGCATTAATCTTTTATATTTTCCGCAAGTTCATTGTTCTAAGTTACGGAATGACTCCATTAACTGCTAAAGATTTAATGAAATTAAGATGGAGTGAAACTTGGGATTTTATAGTACACAAGCACTGAGGGTAAGTCTGAGTAAGAGTAATTAAATGAATGAGATGGTCGTTTAATGATTATATATTAATAAACACATAGAATTATTTTGAGATCGATATTTTTGTAATATTTTTTATACATTTGTCTGTTACAATTCTATTCATAAAAGGAAATACATATCATATAGCAATAATTGTATTGTTTTAATTGTGCACTATACTTAATTAGTTAATCAATTAATAATTATACATTACTCATAAAATTTTACAATTATTGCCGTAAATTATGTACATAAAATATGTATCCGTGATAAAATATTTATGATTAATAACGGATTTTATTTTACACATCAATTGTTAAAACTTGTTTTCAAGATAATTTTTTTAAACATTTAAGAATTATTTTAATTAATCTTATAGACATCTTAAATTTGAGAATATCCTTTTAATACTCATGCGATTATAATTTCAAAGCCATTTATATCGTAGACATATTTGTTATATTAAAAAAAAATATTGAACCTATTTTATTATTTGCTAGAATATGAAATATAAAATAACCAATAACTTTGTAAAATAAATATAAAAAAGCATATATTGTTATAAATAAAATATAGCAATAATTTAAATATGATTTATAATTATGATTTATACAATTAACTTGTAAATTTGTTAAATTTTTATGAATTTACATAAATAAATTTTTTTTTATTTCATGATTCGATGTAAATTCATCAATTGTACCATAATTTATTAATGATTTTGCTTTTGTAAAAGTTAGTGGACGTATTATGTTTGAGAAAATTATATTTATAATATGTTAATTAATTAATTTGTACATTTTATAGATAATTTATTTGTTTTTCATATCATTTTGTCGCATTAAAATTTTAAAAATTTTATAGATGTATTAGTACGATTTTTATAGTACATTGTAAAAAAAAATAAAATATTGATCAAGTTCAATTTTTAGATAGCAAAAAAGGTAGGTTCGGGTTTAATATCACAATTTTGTAAATACGTGATTTTTTCTAAGTATTTTTTCATCCGTTGTGTTTGTTTTTTAAACTTTAACTATCATTATTGATGATAAGTAAAAACTATAGATCGTATTAAACCATCTCGAATGCTGTCAGTTGCATTTCCAACTCCAAAAGAGAAAAAGACAGTGTCACAAGTCATCCTTTGTACACAATCACCAATTGGATACCAGCCAGCTTTATTAAAAACTACTCCTACACGATAAACCTAAAAAAAATTTGTATATGAAAAAATTAATTAACAATGGTTTAAAGTAAAAAAATAATGATGAATAAATAATCACCTTATTTTTTTGAATATAGACAGGCCTATTAAATCCAATTTCTACTAGAGTTCCAGCTGTAGCTTTTGTCGTAAAATGAGTATAAGTTAAACGAGATCCCTCAGAATCAAGTAAATGTGCATATAAAATTTCTGTATAGGTTCCATCGAGGGATCCTATCATTCTACTAGCCTGTTAATAGAATGAACAGTAATGCAGTATACAAATTTAAATAATTATTTTCTATTGTTAATAATAAAAGATTTACCTCACAACCTACTTGCGTAGGTACTTGTACTCCAATTACACAAATATTTTTATCAACACTAAATGTCACAGAACAGTCCAACACTCCAGCATTTAAATACTCTGCTTGTTGTCCCATTGAACGTAGGCAATAATATTTAGGTCCATCTCTTATTCCTCCTTCAATTAAGACAGAAATATTATCATTAGAAGAAGAACTAGCAAGGCCTTTCCTGACATTGTTAACAATTGTTTGATAAGATATCCAGCAACCGCTTTTTTCAGGACGTTCTAGATGCTTATCACCACTGCTACTGTAAGGAGCTGGATTAAATGAAGTAGATGGAGGCATTTGCCAAAAATCTGAAGGATTCATCTCACTGAATTGACCAAAAATCCGTTCATTGAACTTCTGGAAGAAATTTTACTGATTAATAATCGAATATAAAAATAAAAAATACTCATTTGTAATTATTGCAATTATTTTACCTGAGCACGTCGAATTCCGGGCCTTCGAGTTTTTCCTCTATGAAGAGGATTAGTAGAAAAATCTTCAGGCATAGGAATATTACTTCCACTTGAAGAAACATTCATAAGAATGGCGAAAGCTTCATCTTTTGTTAATAATAAAGATCTACCAGTTCCTTCAGCAAATTGCTGAGGAGTTAATGTTAAGAATCTTATCTTTGACAATGCATTTCCAATTACTGATCTTAAACATTTAGTGTCTGATGGATTCAATGATTTTCTGGTGCATTCTGCTTTTGCCCATCGCTCTGTAGCAGCAAATAATTCAATTTCTGAATCAATTTGGAGTTCATTTTTTTCAAAAATTGTCAATAATGTATCCAATTCTACTTCTTCCCAACTAGGCTCATTTAAAACTTCAGTTGTCTTAGTACAAATTATGTTCAAACATTTTTCCATTAAAACAGGCTCTTCAAAAAGCTTTGCAAACTCGTAAGCTCTGCATGCTTTATTTGGAGAGAGATCAGACCATAGATATTTTGTACATTCTTCAACTAAATATGGTAGCATATATTTTTTGGCACAATAACACAGCTCACATGCTAATTCAAAGGATCCCAAGTCCACCTTATCGGTATAAATGTATTCTAAAAGAGTTTTAAATGCTTCAGGTTGAACATCACGAATTGGAATAAGATCAGTTTTCTCTGCCATACTTCCATAAAACATTGCTTCAAAAACTGGACTAGACATGGCCAAAAATAGTTTGTGGCCCTCAAGTACTTGCTGTTGAGGTTCTTGACCAACAATAAATTTACAATCAGACCATTGTCCAGACTCTAACAAATACCGTCCTCGTTGAGCAACTTTGTGTTTGGATATCTGCCAATCACAAGGTGGACCCATCCTCAGAATCACTTTAGATAATATAAATTTTAATCCAAACTTACTTATACGTGATATAACCTTTATTTCTACGTTCTCTACTTGTTCAACTTATGCTTCAGCTATTAATACTTGCACTCATGTATAAACAAATGCCAAAAAAAGATTGTGTGGGATGTTGTTGGCATATAGCAGCCAACTTGAAGTTAAGAATAACAAAGATAGAGAAATAATAATAATTTTAACAGTATCTCACTTTCATGACAAAGAGAAATTTATCATTTTTGACATTAACTCAAGTTTTACTTCCTAAAACATTTGTTATAAATAATGATTTAAAGTTGTTGGAATTATTATTTTACAAAAAAAAAACAAATTTTATTTTTGTTATTACAAGCTAAATACTTTTATTGCTCGATCACTTGCGCACTAAACTATCTTCTGCGCGCCATCTTAGATTTTTTCCAAACACTTTCTTGAACAATTTTTCCGAGGTCGTTGACGTTTTATATTTATTTTCGTGAAAAATTATTATTCCTAAATTAAAATAATACAATAATTCGCCAAACTAATAAATTTATTAATTTTACAAAAATATTAATAATTAAATTTGTTGAATGAATTAAATGATACCTCAATATTGTATTTTCATTCACCTGCAAAAAACAGTAGTTTAATAAAAATCTTGACTACAGCAGTGGTTTTCCGAATGGTGCATACACGGCTCAGCTGTGTGTAATCAGAGCCAGTTTGTGCCGAGTTATAATGCATTTTATTGTGCTTTTAGTTAATTAATCAAGTGCTAGACACTCTTTCCTTCATAATAGGCAAGTAATAATTTACATTAATAAAGTAGTCTATAGCAATATCTTATAAACGTCATTAAATATGTATTCTTTTGTCAAGGGCTCAGGGCACCTGCTATGAGACCCACCTAGCTTGCTACTATTGCTGTCAGGATCTCTCGATCTGTCAATTTTTGAAGCTTTTTTATTCCAAAAATTATCATGTTCAATAATAATTGAGAAAAAAATCATTTAATTAATTTATTGATTAACTTAATATATTTATTTTTTTAATATTTTTTCATTTTTTAGGAAAATGGATGTTGCTACACTCGCACTGGATGCCAAATTTTCTTTATCTCATTGCACATAGTGTTAAAAAAGATCCCTGAGGTTTGATGATCGATCCAGGATAATATTTGTTAATATTCAGAGGTTAATTTATTTAAGAAATGGAAATGATACGTGACGAAGATCGCCGAAAACGCTTAAAAGCGTTAGAAGAAAAAATTAAAGATCCTAGAAGTATTTCCAATATTGATTGTCTCTTGGACACTGTCCAGGCACTAGTGGCTGACTGTGATCATCCAAGTATTAAACGCATGAAAAACATTGAGGCTTATATGAATAGATGTAAGTATAAACTAAAAAAAAAACATTGATTTTTTTAAATCTTTTTTTTTATCTATTTATGAAATATATAAATTATATACATATACTCTATTACTTGTTTAATATTACAGATGACTCAGTGGCTCAAGAAATAAATAAAATGCGAATGCGTACAGATGACTTTACGCTTATTAAAGTTATTGGACGCGGAGCATTTGGTGAGGTGCAACTAGTTAGACATAATTCTACACAAAAGGTTTATGCAATGAAGTTATTGAGTAAATTTGAAATGGTGGGTATCATAATTAATTAACCACAATTGTCTTTTTTTTTTAAATTATTAACACTTTTATATAAAAAAAATCATAATAGTACGATTGATTTATAATCATTTATAAAATAATTTCATCTTGAAATTTCAGATAAAAAGATCAGATTCAGCATTTTTCTGGGAAGAAAGAGACATAATGGCTCATGCAAATTCAGAATGGATTGTTCAGTTACATTTTGCTTTTCAAGATCACAAATATCTCTACATGGTTATGGATTATATGCCTGGCGGTGATTTAGTGAATCTAATGTCTAATTATGATGTTCCTGAAAAATGGGCTAAGTTTTATTGTGCAGAAGTGGTATTAGCTCTGGATGCAATTCACCGAATGGGATTTGTACACAGAGATGTAAAACCAGACAATATGTTGTTAGATAAATATGGTCATTTAAAATTGGCTGATTTTGGAACTTGTATGAGAATGAATGCAGTAAGAGATATTTATATTCTATTATATTTTGATTTTTATAATTGTTTCGTCTTATTCATTTCTGAAAATTATTGCTTTAGGATGGATTAGTGAGATCAGATACTGCTGTAGGAACACCAGATTACATTTCCCCAGAAGTTCTCCAGTCTCAGGGAGGAGAAGGTGTTTATGGTCGTGAATGTGATTGGTGGTCAGTTGGTGTTTTTCTATATGAAATGTTGGTTGGTGAAACACCTTTTTATGCAGATTCTCTTGTTGGAACATATTCAAATATTATGGATCATCGCAATTCGTTAGTTTTTCCTCCAGAAATAGATATATCTCAATCAGCAAAAAGTTTAATTTGCGGATTTCTCACTGACCGAACCAATCGTTTAGGACGAAATGGTGTTGAAGAAATAAAAAAGCATCCATTTTTTGAAAATGACCAATGGACTTTTGATAATTTAAGAGAATGTGTTCCACCTGTCGTACCTGAGTTATCAGGCGATGATGATACTAGTAATTTCGATGATTTAGAAAAAGAAGACACCCCAGAAGAGAGTTTTCCTGTGCCAAAAGCTTTTTCCGGTAATCATTTACCTTTTATTGGATTCACATATTCAGGAGACTTTCAATTTCTTGTCCCTTCTGGTAAAGAATCTGTTGATGGAATTGAAAATCATATAAACAATGGAATAAGCGATGAAGCAAAAATTTCACAACTCGAAAGTTTGCTTGAGCGAGAGAGAAGACAAGTAGAAACATTGGAAGCACGTCATCGTGCTCTGACTGCTCAATTAGAAGCGATTACTCAAAAAGAATCTGAATTAAGAGAAGAAGCTGGTAGAGCTGATAAAGAATTGACCATTCTAAGACATAATTATAAAGAAGTTCAACGTCGTATTGAACATGAAACTGAAGCAAGGAGAAAAGCAGAGAATTTACTAGCAGAATTAAAGAAGAAATTTGATGAAGAACAAAGTAAAAGAGTACGAGATGCTTCTAACTCACAGCAAACTTCGGAACGTGTTTTAACTTTAGAGAAGCAAATCAAGGAAATGCAAAGTAAATTAGAAAGAGAAACAGAATCAGCTACGAGGATGAGAAAACAAGCAACTGAAGTTACTGTCGCTAAACAAACTGCTAAACAAATGGCTAATGAATTACAACAAGCTAGAGCTCAACTACAAGCACAAACTGATTCTCTACAACAAGAAGTAGCGAGCTTACAAGGTCAATTATCTAAAGAACGAAGTTCAAGAACTCAAGCTTTTAATTTAACTGCAGAACTAGAGTCAAGGCTTGCTTCTTTGTATGTTGAACTCGAACGGAGCAGAGAAAAAGAAGAAAAAGCTATCTTGGATAATAGACAACTTAACGAAAGAGTTTCTGCATTAGAAAAAGAGACAGCCAGTTTAACTTTGGAACTTAAAGCTGCTCAAGCAAGGTATAACCAGGAAGTTTTGGCTCATCAGGAGACAGAAAGATCTCGGATGTTATCAAAAGAAGAAGCTAATATGGAAGTTGTGAAAGGTAAGCCTGACTTGATAATTTTTTCTTGCGTCTCGTATGATATTTTCGAGTCTCAAATTTTTCAGTTGCATACACAAAATTAAGAAAGGTATTAAAAAACATGAAAACAAAAATTCAATCAATTATTATGTATTTGACATTTATGGAATGACAGTTACATTATATGGGTCGTGAAATATTATGCAGAAAATTATGATTAAAGTTTATCGATAAAATATTATCTCCTACTGTCCGGAAATCTTTTGATTGTTCATCTCATTTCCTCAACAAAATACTCTACTTTGATAAAAATATGAGCGAAAAAAAAAATTTGGTGAATAATCATTATGTATCACTATCACTATTTAACAATTATTTAGCAATCTTAAATCAAATAAATTAAAAAATACTTCTCGATTCATTTAAGAAAATTAATAATCTCAATAATATTTTGATTTCAAATTAGAGTTATTCCTCATCAGTTTGTATGTAAGCCTCTGGTTCAACTTCATATGTTTCTAAGTCTTGAAATTCTTCAGGAGAACGACGGAATCTGAATGTTGCTCCGATTCCTGCATGAGGTTCAACTCGGTGTCCAGGTATCTTCATGGCACCACCTCCAGCAGTGATTTCACCATATTTATTTTGGAAAATTTTATGTTGATAATCTAGAGTCATAGTTGGTCTACGTTCTGGACCACTCATAGGTTTAGTTCCTTGAAAAACAATTGATCCTTGAGGTTCAGGTTCAGGAGAACGACGGAATCTGAATGTTGCTCCAATTCCTGCATGAGGTTCAACTCGGTGTCCAGGTATCTTCATGGCACCGCCTCCAGCAGTGATTTCACCATATTTATTTTGGAAAATTTTATGTTGATAATCTAGAGTCATAGTTGGTCTACGTTCTGGACCACTCATAGGTTTAGTTCCTTGAAAAACAATTGATCCTTGAGGTTCAGGTTCAGGAGAACGACGGAATCTGAATGTTGCTCCAATTCCTGCATGAGGTTCAACTCGGTGTCCAGGTATCTTCATGGCACCGCCTCCAGCAGTGATTTCACCATATTTATTTTGGAAAATTTTATGTTGATAATCTAGAGTCATAGTTGGTCTACGTTCTGGACCACTCATAGGTTTAGTTCCTTGGAAAACAATTGATCCTTGAGGTTCAGGTTCAGGGGAGCGACGGAATCTGAATGTTGCTCCAATTCCTGCATGAGGTTCAACTCGGTGTCCAGGTATCTTCATGGCACCGCCTCCAGCAGTGATTTCACCATATTTATTTTGGAAAATTTTATGTTGATAATCTAGAGTCATAGTTGGTCTACGTTCTGGACCACTCATGGGTTTAGTTCCTTGGAAAACAATTGATCCTTGAGGTTCAGGTTCAGGGGAACGACGAAAACGTGTATTATCTGGTAGTTTTGGACGGTTCTGTAAACATTATTAGTTAATTTCATTCAATATTTTCTGACTTATTTGAGTATCAGCTATTTTCTAATAAATAACTTACTATCAATGGCGGTGGTCCAATTCGTCCACGAGGATTTTGTCCAATACCTGGTTCTCCAGATACGACAACAAAACTGAAGATGAATAAAGGCACGAAAAACTTCATTGTGGCACTTCTTCAATTATTACCAATTGTTTGATATAAAATAATATTATTTATTTAATATTGATATGTTTTGTAGAGCTGCTTTGAACTGTTTCGAATAAGCTCGAGACACTGTGAATGAAATTGACAACATGTCCCTTTATATATCTTCGGAAATATCCTCAATCCATAAAATGATCGGGGATTCACCCACCAGTTCAGTAACAAAAGTTTCAGGGAAGTCCGTAAAACATTCAGTTGAAATAAATTGCATTAACTCGAATAAGCTGCACAGGAATCCCCTACTTTTGCTTATTTGCATTTCTTGAATGATTGTGAGCAAACAGCACCCCGGGTCACCAACATTTATGCCTTTCTTTATGACTCACATCTACTCACAATTCACACATGCATATGTAATAAAAAACATTGAGTAATAAATTAATGATGCTTCGTTTTGTTTTGGTTTTCAATATCGATGATTAAAAAATCATTTTATCAGTTTGATTAGAATGAGAATTGCTATTGTTTTATAATTCATCTATTTGATGAATAAACAAATAAGAATTTTTTATTTCAATACTCCATTATCATCTTTTTTTTAATAATCTTTTTGTTAATTCTACAAAAGATAACGAGTTATAAAATAATTAAAAAAAAATAATAAAATTGTTTTCATGTTTTTTAAAATACCAAATTAATTATTATATATTCATTCTTTCACTTTAATTATTATATAAATTTTCTTTCATGCGGCAGGACGAATAAATAATGGTATCAAAGGTAAAATAGTTAAGATTATCTCTATCAATAACACCATATTTACTATAAAGTACATAGAAAATTTTATTATTATAATTATTATTTATCAATAATAACTAATTATTGTTTGTTTCTTTTTCTAAACATTACTGCTGCTCACTGAAATTCTCTTTCTATTAACGTACGTAGTAATTTTTTAAATTAATCAAAAAAGTTATAAAAATGTTCACAAGTTTATTTATTTGCTTAATTGACAGCTTTACAAGTCAAGCTGAACGAGGAAAAAAGTGGAAGACAAAAAGCTGAATTACTTGCTCAAGAGAAAGAACGACAAACGTCGATGCTTTCTGTCGATTATCGGCAAATACAACAGCGTCTTCAAAAATTGGAAGGAGAACATAGACAAGAAGTTGAAAAAGTCAAAGTATTGCAGGGCCAAGTCGAACAAGAACAGCAAAAAAGAAGTGTTTTACAAACAGAATTGGGGCAGCAAACATCAGAAGCAGGTAGATTGCGAGCACGAGAACAACAATTGATGAATGAAGTTAGTCAGTTACGTGAAGCTAAACGTCAAATTGATGAGGAACTACATAGTCTTAAGACACAAAGAAATGTTGATTTGTTACAAACAAAAGAGCTTCAAGAACAATTAGAAGCTGAAGCTTATTTTTCGGTAAGTTTGTAATTATATTTTTTGATTTATTTTATTATGTTTATGTGGTGTTTATTCAAGTGAAAAAGTTTTAATATATTAACCAATTCAATAAATCAATTCTTATTTTTCTTAATGTAATTTATCAAAAAAAAAAGGAATGCATGAAAAAATTAATTAAAAAAAGCTTCTATTTGAGTGATCATTTTTCTTTATTTGTTAAATGAAATCATGGATAGATGAGAATTTTGCGAATATTTTATTGAAGTAAAATATAATACAATTATCTGAAATAGTATATATTTAGGAATACTTATTACTAGATAATGAGGTAAAACATCAAACGTTTTGCTTATAAGCAAATTTATTTTAAAACTAAATCTAATAATTATGATGTACAGACACTTTACAAAACGCAAACTCAAGAACTTCGAGAAGAGCTAGATGAGAAGACAAGACTTCAGCAAGAACTGGAGGAAGAAAGGAGTTCGTTAGTGCACCAATTACAATTGTCATTAGCTCGAGGCGATAGTGAAGCGTTAGCAAGATCAATAGCAGAAGAAACAGTAGCCGACTTGGAAAAAGAACGAACAATGAAAGAATTGGAGTATAAAGATGGTTTAGTCAAGCATCATCATGAACTCACAGCAAAAGAGCAACTATTAAATCGACTGAAAGACAGCGAAGCTGAGCTTAAAAAGACTGTAGAACAATATCAAAAAGAGAAAGATGATGCTTTGAAAAAAATGAAAGATCTTCAAGAGCAGCTTGTTAAAGCGCAGTCTAATGCTGACGAAATTGAAAGACTCAGTAGTAAATTAAAGACCGAAACGTTATTGAAACAGCAAGCTATCAATAAATTAACGCAAATTGTAGTAAGAAAAGACTTTTCTGCTGGTGGAAAAACTAAAAATAAACCTTCTTCAGCAGATTTGCGTAAGAAAGAAAGAGATTGTAGACGGTTACAACAAGAGCTGACACAAGAAAGGGAAAAATATGGACAATTGGCAGCTAAATGGCAAAAAGATTTGCAAGATTTACAAGTAAATAATTTTTTTATTATCTTAATAATTAATCAATAAATAACTTCATTATTTCATATATGGTGTTATTGATTCTAGGCGCAGCTAGTTGAAGAAAATCAATCAAAACTACGGCTACAAATGGAATTAGATTCAAAAGATTCAGAAATAGAAACCCTTCAGATGAAGATATCTTCGATGAATTCAGAGACTGCAAGTGTGTCGTCAGTAGAAAATGATGGTGACGATTCAGTTTTACCGGAACATGGTGCCATGAGACTTGAAGGCTGGTTAAATGTGCCGAATAAACAAAATATTAAAAGACATGGATGGAAGAAACAATATGTTGTTGTTTCGTCTAAAAAGATTATTTTTTATAATAGTGAACATGAAAAAATGAATGCTGATCCTGTGTTAATATTGGACTTGAGTAAAGTTTTTCATGTGAGATCCGTCACTCAGGGAGATGTTATTAGAGCAGACGCCAAAGATATTCCTAGGATATTTCAGGTAATTTATAGAACTTTTTTTAAATATTTAATATTTTTTTATTTTTATTTGAGATACATTTTTTTTATTACCCTCGTAGTTACTTTATGCTGGTGAAGGCGAAGCACGCCGGCCTGGTGACGAAGGAAATGCATTACCAGGACCAGATTTAAATCAATTGGCTGATAAACCAGGCATGCAACCAGTTAAAGGTCATGAATTTATCTCGATATCTTATCACATGCCTACTACGTGTGAAGTCTGTTCAAAACAACTATGGCACATGTTTCGACCTCCACCTGCTCTTGAATGTCGAAGTAATTTTTTTTTTCTAAATAACTTATAATTTATTTCTTTCAATTGTTCATATAAATAATGGTAAGAAACATATTTAACCATGTATTTTTGTTTAGGATGTCATATAAAGGTGCATAAAGAACATTTAGATAAGAAGGAAGATGCGATAGCTCCATGTAAGCTCCACTATGATCCTACAAGTGCTCGAGAGTTACTTTTACTTGCAAGCAGCCCAGAGGATCAAAAATATTGGGTGGCACGTTTATCTCGACGCATTCAAAAATGTGGTTATAAAGCTAACTCACATGTAGATGGTACTGGACAACGAGTATCGCCAAGGTAGCGTAATTGGACTGAACAACTGCAAGGGAGACTTGGTAGCTCTTATATTTTGGCATCGCATGATTGGGTATTGTGAGGTCAGCGATTGATGTTTTGTTTTCGTAGTATTCGTACCCTGAACTTCCATTTTTTGTTCATTTAAATCGATGCAATGTAAAAAATTCGTAATAATTTTGAATTTTTATTATTAATTTTAGTACTCGAATAAAAGGCTTGGTTTCGAGTGTTTATGCTTTTAAACTGAATTATTTACTGTGTTCTGTATCAAGCCTTTTAATTTATTATTGATTTTTCGAATTTTGAAGAGGTCAGTAAATTGCATGGTAGTATTTTCGTTTATTGTATTGTTGTACTGTTTTTTGGCACACTTGTTTTTGTTAATAATTTGTTGCAAATGATTTGCTTTGGGAACAGTTTATACAGCTTGATGCATCATTTATTTAATTTTGATATACATATTCACTTAATTCTGCCCTAAATATTCTTAAAGTTGTATTGAATAATAATTATTTTAATGAGAAAAAGTTGAAGAATATTTTGTTCAATAAAAATCATAAAAAACTATTTATGGCAGAATTAATAAATAAAACAAATTTAGAGAAACAATAATAAAATAAAACAATATAAAATTACAGAGAATCTACGAGGTCGACATTAAAGCCATACCTTTCAGTTCAACAAAGATCTGCCACTCTGCCAGCAAATGCGAGCATGGGAAAATGATCTTTAATAATAAAAAATAATCATTTGTGATCTCTAGCCATTACGTCACAGGACCAATATTTAGTTTTAATAACTACCATTTGTTTGTCATCATATTTTTCTCTGTGACTTGACGCTCAGAGAATCTTAATCGCCAAAGTAGCGTTGTTATAAAATTAATACATCATAGAAATCCTGGCAGCGGTATATATTTATAAAACATATATATACATAGTGACTAGATGTTTTTTCTTGTACATGAACTATTAATTATTGAAAATTGCCATTATTCTCATGTGAGTCAGTAAATCGATAACCGTAAAATCGAATTACTTCTCCTTGCCAACGACAAAATATGAAAATTTCCACTTAATCAATTTATATATTAATCTAAGTTTCGTTTTTGTACTAATTGATAAACTAATAACAATGGATTTTTCTAGTTTTTCTTGATTATGAATGTAAATAGCGGGAAAATTATGACACCCGTCGATAGATTGTTTTTCTCTATTAATCTTTTGAGATAAAAAATTTTCAAATTGGATCATATAGTATTATTACTTTTATATATAACTAAATACCTACTGAGATGGAAAAATGAATCTTTTTAACAAGTAACAAAATTCATAAATTAAAACTTTACATCATTTTTTAAAATGATGATAGTTGTAAACATTTTTTTATAAAAACAATTTTTCATCTCAGTAATAATGGGAAAATATGATGGATTGTACGACTCTGATAATTTTTTTTAAATATGGAAGATAGCAAATAATCGTGCATCCATATAAAATTGTATAGTAAAAGTTTATAAAATCATTAATAAATGAATATTTGTAGGGATTTGAAAACATTTTTTTGAACCGATTTATTAAAGATATCGTTGTAGTAAAATCGATCGATTGTACGTTAAATAAATGACAAAGACAAATAATGTAATTAATAAAAATCAGATAGTTATTGATAAGCGTTTTTATGTCAATAAGATAAAAGACCGAAAACAAACTTTTAACATAGAAAAAAAAATTAAAATAAGACTTTATGTATGAACATGAATTTTTGTAAAAATCAAATCACTTTTTTGATCTTTTTATTATGCACACAAGTGTCCCAATCTGGTGCTACATTAATGTAGGTGATTGAAACTAAATTTCGGAAATGAATTTAATTAAGTAAGATAAAAAAAAATAATAAACGCTCGAAACTGCCCTGTGCCTTCTTCCCTGTTTGACTTTCTGAATCCAATAATTCAGAAAGTTGAAAAATTATTTACTTATTTTACCAATAAATTTACAGGGAATGGAAAAGAAACAATTACAATCATACGAAAAACTTGTTACACGATATTTTATTAATATTAATATTATTATCATTATTAATATTATAATAGTTATTACTATTATTATTATATAATTATTGTTTAGTTATTTACAATCTGTATAATATGAATTATTATTGCGATTAAAACTATTTTGTAGATAATATGCAAATTTGGGTGTGTTGACTGTATTTTTAAAATGATGTTAAATGCTTGTTGAATGTTAAAATTTATTTTCAATTGAATTTAAACATCAGACCAGCACTTATTAAGTTCACACGAATCAATACGTGTTTTGCGACTAGGATTAGTTATTGAGTTGATCAATTTTACAAATATCGCTCCAATAACGCAAAAAATGTTTATTTAAATACTATTATTAATTTTTTTTTATTAATGATATATACAACATCGAAATTCTATTGCATCTATCCTAATATTGTTTTCGGAGGCAGATTATCATCGAGAAAACATGCATAATGATGGAATAAATTTTGGAATAATCATTTGTGATAATTATAAATTACTTTAATTATATCTATGCATTTAAATAACTGTTAACGTTCATGATAAAGCTGTAAAAATGTTTGGAAATCGTGGAAAATCATTGGGCTCTTTTTTCCTAAATTAGAAAATTTTGTCCTGTTATTAATTCGAACGTTTGCTCATGATATTGTAGCAAATAAATTTTATTTATCTCTTCGATTGTTCAAATTCCGTAGCGATTTCGAACGAGGACGTAAAATAAGCAATTTAACCAACTTGAATCAATTAAATTCCGTGGAAAATAATGTTTTACTTTTTCACCAATCCAACAAGACTACGACTACTGAACTTTGTCCTGATGATCGGCATTACTAGTGAATGAAACTGCTGGCGATGTTGTTGATTACTTCTGTTATTTTCTTGGATAGTTGCTTGCTCTTTGATACTTGCTTGACGCTTCTTGAATGACTCCTGTTTTGCTCCACTGTAAAAATAAAAACTCACCTCACGAACCGTCTACTTATTTCTAACAGACGGAGAGGGAGAGGAAAAAAGCGATAGAAAAAAATAATAAGCTTGTGTAATGGATTGTTTTGAACTTAAAGGTGTGTTTAACATGATGCAAGTGAAATTATGATCGCCAAATAAAATAGATACGACCACTAAAGATTTATGCTTCACATTCCATTTGGTTTTTTTTGTGTTTCTATTGAAAGAAAAAAGATATAATACTTACAGATATCGAGTTAAATCTTCTACATCAACCAGCATAGAGTCTTGTTCCATATGGAGATCATCTCTTCTAAGCAATCCTTCGACTAAAGCTTCATTTAATACTGCAATTCTTGCATGGAGATCATTTGCTACTACTTGAAGCTGTGCTACATTTAATTCCGTAAGAAGTACTCGAGAAAGTCGACGTCTATCTTCACCTAATTGGACTCCAACCTGTTGAAAATTTATCTAGATTGATTATTTCACTACGGTAAATTAAACATGAAATATAAAAATTCATCTAGTTAAAAGCGTTATAAATAATAATGCAAAAAAAATTTTTTTTTAATATCAATAAATGTAATAAAAATAAACAATGACCTTTTCTAAACTTGATCGAACCATCTCAGTAATAGGACTCTGCTTGAGTCGTTGTCTCTCAACTTCCATTTGCATATGAGCCATTTCTTTAGCTTGAGCCAATGCCATTCTTGCTTCAGTTTGTAATCTTGCTTGACGAGCAAAGAAATCAGCCTCGTCTAAAGGTGCACTTGAAATATCTGTTTCGAGTCTTAAAGGTGGAAGACTAAGCACCTGTGGTCTAGCAGCAATACTGTGTTGTTGGTAAGATTGTGATGGTGGTTTTGGACCTGATGGTGTATCTTCCGAACCAGGAGATTCTGTATCTGAAGGAGATTCATTCATAAAACATATCTGGAGATTCATTCCTACAAAAATGAAATGAAAAAATTACTAAAAAATTAAGGATAGTCTATTTTCAAATATTTACTATGTAAATGAAAGAAAAGGAAAGTCATTTAATTAAAAAACTCAAAATTACTAATTCAATAAATAAAAAATATATTTACCACTTTGAAGACGAGATTGTAAACTTGGCTTTCTACCTCTTTCAGATCGGATATCATCGGCATCTGGACCCATAGCAAGTCTTCTTCGAATTTCTTCTCGATCATTTCGGCGCTAAAATTAATAATAATGTATAAAAACTTGTAATAAATTTTTTTTAAATAAAACAACATTGAAAATAGTCTACAATTAAAACCGATTATTTAAAATGATTATGAATTTAAATGTCTTATTCAAACTTAAAAAAAAAGATTTATTCATGTTAGTATTGATCACCATTAAATCTACCCTTTTAAATATAAAAAAACCACCTCATCACTTTCCCCTCGTATAATCCGATCGAATCGAGCTATAACATCTTCCTGATCCTTTTGATTAGATTCGAGATCACATCCTGATGCCACTGTCTCAATTAGTGGAGCAGGTTGTTCATTTTTTCTAACTGTTTCTGCATCATCATCATCATCATTCAGCTGATCATCAATAAAAGGAAGTAAAAATAAAAATCACAAAGAAAAGATTTCAAATAATAATCAAAGAAAAGTAATAACAAATGGATGATTTATGAACTAACTCACTGATTCCAAATCTTTATCATAGGTAAAAGTATAAAGATCAGACACAAATCTAGAATCCTTTTTGTAATGCCTGTACCACTTGCGAGTATAACCACTGCTGCTATCCATCTTGATCTATACGATTAGAAACTGAATGAACGACTAAATTCACCATGGAGGATGTAGAAGAATGATAATAGAGCTACAGTTGAGTGAAAGTATACTTGTTTTTCTCTTTAAGAATTGCCCGAGAATCATGTAAGAACACTATATACATATACTTTCTTTATGACATTTAGACCAATCATAATTTTTTGCAATTCTTTCTAACTGTAATCACCAAAAGAGAAGATTAATTGATGGTATTGTATGTTTTCATTAAAAATATCATAGTTGACAATTATATCCAGCATTTATTCAATCTCTGTAATTTTGTGAGTTAGTTCAAGATCTAGTAAACTTCCTTTACAATCAAGACACGCTTGATTGATCAACCGAGACGTCCACCGCTGTTCTTTACTTTCAGAGTGTTATCATTAACCTTCTCCGTCTTTAGAGCAGTTTATTTTTACTTCAGTGTATCATTCAATAATCGAAAGGATGAAAGCTCTCTTTTAATAATAAAACCGTAAACAATATTAGGTAATTAAGGAAAAAGTGGATAAGTGGTTTCAGAGAATATCAGAAAATTGGGTTTTTGCAGTGATTGTGAATCATTCAGTAAATTTATTAAAACTAGTTTTAGAATAAATAAATAAATGTGTAATAACAGATTTAAAACTTGTAATGAGCGATAAACAACTTGAAAATTTAGTTTATCTATGTTTGAAAGGTGGTTTCAAAAGAATAATTATTCATCATATTTATGTGTTCGAGAGTTTAAACTAAAACCTTGTATTCTGAATAAATGAAATACTAAAAAAAAATTCCATTTTTATCAATTTATGATAAAAATAAGAGATAAAATATTCAAGCATAAAGTTAATTATGTATAAGAGAATTGATTGTTAAAAAAACTTCATTGAAAAAAAAATCGAATAATTGAAAACATTATTTATAATTTAAAAAGATGGTTGAAAAAAACGATTACAAGTAAATAAAGTGCTGTTAAAAAATGATATTTGTTTTAAATCTACAATGTTGCACAGTAATCCAAAATAAAAAATTAATTAATTTTTACCTGAATATAACTTCCATAGCAACTAGATAGATCAAGACTTTGGGGTCTACTTGCGAGCCGATGATTTGCAAGACTTTGATGCATGCTTAGTAATATTTGTCACTGACTCAACAGTTAGGACATTCCGCGAATATCATAGTCTACCGCGTGTCAACTTGATCATCACTTTACTCTCATTAAATCCCTCCCTCCTTTCGCGTACATTTTCCCTCTATCTCCTTCTTATCTTCTTTCCTGCTCTCCCGTACATGGTCTGGCTCTATATCTCTACAAACCACAGCCTGCACTCCTACTCGAACAAAATATTAATAGCTTCTGAATGTCAGAGAAGCTCCTACGACGTGCGACAGAACACTGGAATACTCTCCTAGCTCTCTTCTATATTTGCATCCCCCCTTTTATTAAACCCCAAACTCCAGAAACCAGAGCCCTAAAACCCTCAATAACTATCAAAGGGAACTTTTTCATTCTCCACAGACACACACTCTAACTCATTCTATCGATTTTAGAATTATACTAGACTCATATGAGTCTACGACTACATTCATAAGGTATCTCATAGAACATAACTAGCTTTTTTTATCAAGTGAACACCGTGTGGGCATCCACCTCCGTTAAATATCCATGTCAACAAGACTTACCCGTCGTTCTTCCTCACGTGCTGCACGTAAGTGTGACTCAATTGCATCCAAGTCAATTTTTGGCATTGCGGTTTCAATGTTATACACATCAAAGCTTCCAGTTTTATCTCCGTGTTCTCTTCGTTTATCAGGACGGCGTCCAGCAAATGATTGTTGACGGCGACGTGCTTGGTTCCTTGCCATTTTTTCTTTCTTTCTCATATCAGCACTGCAAGATTCTAAATCAGCTTCTACTAACTTATTCGTGTCTTCCCTAGTCACATCTTTAACTAAACCAGAAAAAGGACGGGAATGAACATCAACTGATTCCATTGCAACGACGTCTGGAACTGGCTGGACGTATTTTTCGAGATTAACTCCAATATCTCGTCCTATGCTTGATAACAAATCAATTTCTTCAAGCTTTGTGTAAGGTTGTTCCTCTGAAAGACCCTCTGAATCTGTAGTTGTCTCAGAATCGTCAGACAGCTTGGAACTAGTATTTTCTTCTTTCACCTCGGGCTTTAATACGTCATTAGGTAATCTTGTAACTTCAGAAATAAGGTCAATATGCCCGATGGTAATTTCTTCAGATTCACTGTCTTGTTCATAAGTTTTACTAGATTCTGATGGAATCTCTTCAATCTCAGCAAATTGAGGACGTTCTGTTGATGTTGATTGAAGCTCTGCTACCTCTATTTCTACAGGAAGATGATGATGCCAATGAGGAAGATTTTCTTTGGATATATCTAATAAGTCTTCGTTTGAGTCCTCAATACTTTTCACATAGTTTAAACACTTTTCTGATGATGATACAACGTCTTCATAGAAAGATGTTACGGTCTGCTAGAAAATAAGTCATCATATAATTTAAATATATAAGTGTCATATAATAATAAAAACAGGGAAGGAATTGTACTTCAGGGAATCGTTATCTGTTTAAAAAAAACTACAGAGAACCTTATATCTCTGAAAATATTTCTTTAAATCTTTAGGGGAGCTATTTTGCCCTCATTTCCCCAATATTTAAATAGAAAAGCTATTGAGTTCAAGTTAAAAGTTCTATAATAAATAGAAAATTAACAGTTAATTAAAACGAACCTGAATATTCAGCTTGGATTTGTCATAGAAAAATTTATTCTCTTCTTTCCGTATATCCAGACGATTAACAGAAACAGGTTCTGGTTCAATTTGTTTTTCTAATTCAGCTTCTTCTTTTTCTTCGTCTTTATTATTGTGGTTATTATTAATATTATTGTTGTTATTAAGGTTGTTGTTATTATTATTGTTATTATTACAACAATCGTTTATTTTATTTTCAGATTCTTGATCATTAATTCTCACAGAAGAGTCTCTGCTATCTGATTGTTCTTCTTCACTGAAAACAGATAAGAATGCTGGTGCAAGATGTTGGAAGCCTGGATAATTAGGATTGATTATTCCTCGGCAGACTCTTGGTAAACTGCCATCGTCTGAGTTATCAGAACACTCTGATCCAGCAGATAGTTCATGACCTAGAAATAATTGACATCAATCAATCTGCTAAGTATATTTTTAAACTAACTTGTAACATATTCTAATCACTTTAAATCCTTTTTAATATTATAAGAAAGAAATATTTATTTCAGTGATTATACAAATTTTAATTAAAAATTTTTTTGGTAAAAATGATAAGTAGAACAAACCATCATAATCAGACAAGCTCTCAGTTGAACTGTTTAGAGATAATTTGGAGAGTGAAAGGTTGTTATTGATAATGTTGTTGACCCTTTTAGGATGATTATTAACATTTGTTCTTGCTATAGCCACTGAAGACCATGTCGTGGTATCTTCAGCCACTCGAAACCCTTGGCTCTCGTATTTTTGAGACTGGTCTCTATTATAATTTACGGTTTTCTCAGAAGCCGACTCGTTGAGATTTTCAATAGCTTCAGAGCCTGAAGCCACTCCCAGGCTCTCCTGATTTAGTTGGCTATAAAATAAATGGTATCTTCATGAATAAAATAATCTACAGACATTATCATGGCAACTACTTACTTATTATTTAACGCAGAGTGGTTGACAGACGGCATGAGAGCGTCCTTGATTCGCATGACGTTTGCTTTCCTGAAATCAATTGAGCCGTGATCATTCATTTAATTTAATAAGATGATTTTTGCAGTTCACGCACTCAATGGTTTTCGATTAGCACCGGCGGCCATTCGATACAACTCGAACGCTTTTTTTATAACACACGACTAAAATCCGATCCAATTAACAGTATCGTCAGATCTAGAAATCTAAATCCAGGGTTTGAAACCACTATCAAGTAAAATCGGAAACAATTCCCTACTCACCAACTAGAACCATGATGAAGCCGCGCGCAGACGGCATCAGCTCGATGTCCATCGTAGTTTATCGACTCGAAACCACGTAACCAACACCCTCGCATTTCTCTCTCATTCTCTCTTTCATGCAATTCGTGTATGTATTACCATTCCTTGTCACTCCTTTGTGATTCTAGCGCGGGCGCACATGACCAACCATTCCCACTTCTCTCATACCTTTGCTTACTTATACACTTCGTCTCTTTCTTTCAACTTCAATATCACATCTCTTGACTTTACGCCACCTTTGTTATTGAAAAATCCAATATTCTACCTACTATACTACGCTTTTTAATAATTGTATTTTTTGTTTGAGTTTACTCACAAAAGATATTTTCTGAAAGTAATCTTTATTTTTAAACCTTTTTCTTTCACTACAAATCAATACTGTCATATTCTTTGTGACGTCACATTTTTTCGAGTATTTTTTTCATTACAAATTGTTTGAGGAATATTTTTTTTATTTAAAAATATTTAATAAAAGTTATTGAAACTTAGAAATCTAATAAATATTGATGAGGATAATAATTGAAATAAAAAATGAGGAAAACTCTGATAACAACAGAAATATAAAGAATTGACTAAAACAATCTCAAATTTCTTTTGAGAAGATATTTTCTAGCCATTTAAGTAGTTCAAAAAATAGTTCATTTAACTTCTCATTTAGCACAAAGATGTAAAATGAGTTTTAAACTAATGTTGATATACATATAGAATAAAACAGAGGTCGTTGACTTACCTATTCCTTCCTCAAAATCGTGAATAAGATTGCTGTCTTTTTTTACGTTGATTTTCGTTTGTAAATTTCAATTTCCAATAGCACTTTAAACATTAAAATTATTATATTATGTTGATTATATAAGTGTAATAATATTTGAATAAAATAAAATAATTTTTCCACGCTTGTATGATCTTTTGTTGCTTTGAGAATTAATATTACTCGACTTCTCGTGTCGGCTTTTCCGGAAAGTGTCCAACCCTCCTTACTTGTAATCAACCCCCTTCATTTTATATCACGCATGCGCTGAAATACAATCCAACCCTATTTTTGTTTCCTTCAATATTTTCAAACGTCACATTTTTTCTGTTATGTCACCTTCTTTAGTTTTTAATCTCTAAATATCATTAATCACATTAACTAATTGATTATTAATCATAATGATTAGATTAGACTAATATAATGACTCAATATTACAGTTCAGCCTTTTCGAATAATTATTCTGCTAAACAATAGGGAAATACTTTCAGAAAGCAGTTCGAAATACTTTTGCAATAATGTAGGTCATTTTAGTTATGATTCGTATGAGGAAATAGAAATGCCAATTTGGAAATTTTTGAATCGTTTTTTAAATTTAAAAACATTTTAAATATGAGCGGTTAGCGCCAGAAATTAAGAAATTGTACACAGCGCTAAAAATACTAGAATTTTCACACGCAAGCGTGTTGATAAGAAAAGAAATAGAAAATATTTTTCTTCTCGCTCTGTTGTGTTATTGAACAGTGTAAAGCGCAATTATTTCGATTTTACCATCAGTCTTAAAGTGAAACGTCTAGAAAACAAAAGTAAATTGCGTCATGTAAGTTAACATATTTATATAATATTTCAATTATTTTTTACGTTGTTTTTCGATCATTTTCACAAATTATTCATCAAAAACTACTTTTCTTCTGATATTAATTTTATACAAAATTTAATTTTGCTAACGATTGATCAACGTTGGATTTTCATCAAAGTTATAATAACCTAAAAACTTTTTGGATATTTTTGTGCAGAAAAAACAGTAATAATGTTGTTGGCAAAAGTTTGCCGAGCTTCAATTTCACCTCAAGTGACTTCTTTGCTTAAAACACCCGTTGTACCAAGAGCCACCAAATTCCAAGTAACTAGGTTATATGCGTCTGATGGAAGAACGTTTGCAAGATCTGGAAGGATTAGAGCAAAAATTATTGAAGATGTAACTAAAGTACCAGGAGAAACAGGTAAACAGAAATTTCTTCTCATAATAGATATTTGAAGATTATTTCTACTAAATTTTTACAAATAGCTATTATTTTAAAACGTTAAATTTTTCAATAGCATTCAACGTTGGAAAGGGATTTGCTGCTGGTGGTGCTGTACTTGGATTAGGAGCTTTGTGTTATTATGGAGCAGGTCTTTCTTCAGCCACTGGTGCCATAGACCATGCAAAGTACGTATTTCATCATTATGATGAATAATTGCAAAAACTCATGCAATAAGTAATTACAAAAATTTTCACTATTTAAAAAGTTCGATTGCATGAATTGCATCAACTAAAAATAATGAATCACAAAAATAAAAATGAATTCAATAATTTTGATATTAATAATGTATTTTTTACAGATTTTGGCCTGAATATGTTAAAGATCGAGTTCACACTACTTATATGTACTTTGGAGGATCTATTGCTGCTAGCGCAGCAACAGCAGCAGCATGCTTGAGATCTCCAGCTGTAATGAGAATGGTAACACAAGGAGGATGGGTAGCGATGGGCGTTAGTTTAGTAGCCATGATCGGATCGGGAATGTTAGTACGAAGTATACCATACCAAGAGGGTTTTGGAGCTAAGCAAATGGCATGGCTCGTTCATTCAGGAGTTATTGGAGCTGTTATTGCTCCTCTTTCACTTCTTGGAGGACCAATTATGCTCAGAGCAGCCATGTATACTGCTGGAATTGTTGGTGGATTGTCTGCAGTTGCTGTTTGTGCTCCAAGTGATAAATTTCTCAACATGGGTGGACCTCTTGCCATTGGTTTGGGAGTTGTTTTTGCTAGCTCTATCGGAAGTATGTTTCTTCCGCCCACTACAGCAGTAGGAGCTGGACTGCATTCTATGGTGCTTTACGGAGGTCTTGTACTCTTTTCAATGTTCTTACTTTATGATACTCAAAGAATCATAAAACAAGCTGAGACTCATCCCGTTCCCTATCGACAGTTTGCAAATTCCGTTGGAGTTTATGATCCAGTCAATAAGTAAATATTTTCACCATTTTTATTATAATCATTATATTATAAATACTTCTAAGTTGCTATAATAATTAATTAATTTTTTCAGTGCAATCTCCATTTACCTGGACACAATCAATATCTTTGTGAGAATAGTTTCTATTCTATCTGGAGGTGGTTCGAGGCGCAAGTAAATTTCTCTACAAAATTTAGTATTTTCTCAATATAATTAATAATACTTTATTTGATTTATTTTTAAATATGTAATAAGTAAATTATTTAATGGTTATTAATTAATAGAAATATGAATTCCAAATAGTAAGATAAATTCTTTTCAACAGTCACAATATTCTTTACAGCTTTTAAATATGGATAAAAAATTGTAAAATATACAAAAAATAATAAATAAAATTTAATAAAACTAACACATTTTATTGTCTAATTAATAAGCGAATAAATTGATAATTGTTAAACTTTTTTGAATGTTTTATAGTATAAGAAAAAAGTTTAGTTATTTTTAAGAATAAGATTAAATTTTATGAATAATAATCATTAATAACATTATCATCAATTTATTAATTTATTATTAATAATAATAAGAATATTCGTTTTTGTGAGTACTTGATACGTTTTTATTTCAATACTCAATAAATCGAGCAATTATTTAAATTTTCATACATTTTTTTAAACACTAATGTAATCAGGTCGCCCGGGTGCTGAATGTCTTCTTAAGTAACCAGCGAATAGCTGCCTAGCTTGATTAAGTACCTTGGCGACGTTATGACGACGCACCATTTTATCAAAGTGCATAGCCATTTCGTTGTAATCCATTTGGTTACGAATAATGAAGTCTCGATGCTGCAAAAGCAGCGTAATGCATAAAAACATAAGGAATGGATTTCCGCCTCCAAATTCAGAAGGTGGAGGTAAAGAATCTCCAGTAGTAAGCTGATCATCGTATGTTCCTGCTGGAATTAGAGCTGTTAATTCTGTAGCTTCTTCACATTGCTCTTGAGTTCCAACAATAGGACTCTCAGGTGCTGCAGTATTTTGATGCCAACTATCTGTGCCTTCACTATCGGAAGCAGAATTAGATCTGAAAAATTTTTGGAAAATTCTCTATAGAACTATTAAATATTTTTTCCTGAATATATTTTAGTGAAATATATTTAAACTAATGCCATACTTAATTTTCAATTCATTTGAACATTGAGTGAGTATTAAAAAGTCTTGCTATTATACAAATCCTTCAAAACAATTGATATTCCGAACAAAGAAAATTAAACGAAAGAGTTACAAAGTTAGTAAATCAAAAAATTTTTACCGGGCAGTGCGCTTCAAAAGTCTTATCGGTGTAACAGATTTCACTCCATTCTGATCCTCCAATATTTCTCCGTCATATTCTATCTCTGTTTGCTCATCGGGTGTGGTTGCAAATAAAGGATCTTTATTTTTTAGTGAATGCAATGGATTCTCCCAAACAAAGACGTCAGCTGCTGGACTACATCCTGCCATCTCTGTTTCAACATCCGTTTCACTATCGGGTTCATCAAACTCGTTTCTATCAGAAGGAATTTCATCAAAACTTTTTTCGTTCGATGATGAAGGACCAAACACTTGCCGATCTAGTGATTCTAATTCTAATCTCAATTCTCTTGTCATCGAAGTTGTCATTGGATAAAAATCTGTCGGGTCATCTGGAGAGCCAGCATCATCTCTAACAACTTTGATTACCCCACTTTCACTAGAAACTCTTCGAAGTTCTCGTTTATCACTCGGACCAACTTTACTCCGATTTAGACTTGTGAAATTGAGAAACTCGTTGAGATTTTTTACAACTCTTGCACATTTTTTTTCACCCTCTGTCGACTCGCTAGTTAGTTTAGTTTCCTTAAATAACTTTTCTACTTTCGCTTCTAGAGAATCAGATGTACGTTTTATTTTTCCGGATAAAGTTTCGTTGATAGAGAGTTTATCGACTGCATTGTTTTTCCGGTTTTTTGTTGATGTAATATTTTCTAAATCAACTTCATGAGAATTAGATGATCTGAAACGATTGAACTATTATAGAAATATACTAATAAATCTAATAAAAATGATCCTAGTCTATTAATAATAGTTTGAATAATTATATTGGTTTGTACCTGTTTTCAGTTGTAGAATCAACTTGTTCATCACTGCTTGGAATTTTTTTTTTCCCACTTGCAATACTTGCAGAGGAGCTTTGTCTCCTTATCGCACAAACTTTCGTATAAGCATTTTCTCTGATGTGCTTGACATTTGGACTTGGTGGTGGTGTAGGAGGTGGAAATGGAACTTCAGCAAGACTTAATTCTCCTTTTGGAGGAGATGCCGGAAGTGCTGCCCATAAAACTTCCAACATCCTTAAAGCATCTTCTAAAGCAAACTCTCTTTTCATTTCAAGTAGTAACCAACGGTAGCAAAATAATAAATCATCCGCTTGATGAGACTTCAAGTAAGCATAAAAATCAGGATCATAATATTGAAGACCTTCAGCTAGGTGAGTAAATTTAGTTGTCATTGCAATTCCATCCATCATGAAATTATCCTTAAGTCTTCTCATAAGAGCACAAAGACAGATGTAAGCTTGAGCTTCATCTTTCATTATAACTAAAATGGGTGATGCTAAATCACTCATTCCCTGGCAATAACTAACACTTGGATGGTTAAGTGCGTAAGTTGTTAGAATATTAAATAAACTAGCAGTATTTTGGTTATCATCAGAACCACCATAAAATTTATGGTGTCTATCAGTTCTTAAAACATCTTTTCTCACCATACTAGTGACATAACTGAGATCTCCAACATTTTGGCCTTTCTGTACAAGTGCCTTCCACCTTTCTCTTAATATTAAATATTCTTGAGCTTTCCTCTTCATATAATCCATCCTTTCACGGCCAGACATTCCTTCTGGATAAACATTTAAAATGTGTTTCCACACAACTTTTCGCAAACTGGGTTCAATTCCACCAAAATAAATGACTGCTCGTAGTTCTTTTGAATGAATAACTTGGCCAATAGGGTCTAGAAACTGTCTAAATTCTGCATCAGTTAATGGTGGTCGTGGTGGCTGAATATTTTGTTGAGAAGATTCTTCTCCCAAATTTCCTAAAGCTCTCTGAACCATATTAAATGTTTTTTCCACTTTATTCATAATTAAACCAGGAAGTTTAGGTGTTTTGTAAGGAAAGCCTGATTCCTGTTGTCTTATTACTAGATCTTGACCATTGGACTCCCAATCACACTCGCAGTCTCCTGATTCCCCGAAGGGTTTCAGGTTTACTTGAAGATATAAGTACGGTTCTGAAGCACTGAAATACAAATTCAAGTAAATATTTGATAAGATTGCACATCCATATTTATTAATTACCTGATAAATGCGGCATCCAAGTCCCAGTCGGAAAGAAGGAATAAGTATGTTTCTGAGCCATAGTCATCAATTGCTCGGTACGAAACCGTAAATTCCCTACAAGATAATATGGAATATAAAGATAACAACTAAATCAACAATTACGTATTTTATTTTCAAAACCACCATTTCAAAATCTCACCCTTTAATGTCGAAGGCTTTAATAAGAATACTTTGAAGTACTTCAATCGAAGTTATTTGTGGATCTACACTGAATTTTCTGTACTCTGGTTGATGCCTTGTTTCACATTTCTAAAATTAAATATTATTATCATTTTACTTATAAAATATGTTTGTTAAACTAATTCTTTAGATAACTGATAATATTTAACAGATAAAAATTTAAGTAATTAAATTAATCATTCTCACCTTAACTTTAACTCTCACAGCTTCACGTGGAGAGCCAAACATTTCAGTCATTTTAACAATTCGTATAACTTCTGATAAAAATATTCTTCCTGTATTCCAATAATCTTATATAATTAGAAATCATAATATAATATTATTTCTGCTTTTCCACGTCCAGGATACCATGAAGGTCATCCCGGAAAGTGTTTTATGAACGATGAACATCAAGATAATTTAATACAAAACTCAAGGTACTTGGTGTCAAAATATCACAATAAATTCCATCAATACTTTGAAATAATACAAGTTTAAAGACACATGGATAATAATAATTCAATTGAAATTTATTGGAGTCATAGAGTCACATTAATTTTTGACAGAGATCAATACAAATGGAGTAAGAATATTAGAAAACACATATGGGAACGAGGTTACACGAGGTAACTTGAAGATAAAGTTAAAATGGATTGATTACTTGACAGAATAGATAAACTTTTGATTATAAATAATTATTATCTGGTATTGCTTCAGAATAACATCACAATTAATTACTTAATTTATTGATTTTGGAGCAAAATTTTTTAGAACACAGAATTGGAATATATTTTACCCGTATGTCCGAGAATGTAAATTTAAATAGCGTAGACTAAAAATTATTGCTTTAATAAAACTATATGCTACTATGTTTGATAGTATTTGTTAATAGATCAATAAATTTCTTTTGATTTTTTTCCTAAAATTCACTGAAATTCACTTCTCTGATATACGAAATTTCTATATTTACAGTTTTCGGACGATTGATTTCTTATGACGACAATGAATAGAATGGTTATTTATCAATTATAAGTAATATTATCGACTGCAATATTATCGACAATCAGTAACATAAAGAACAAAGGATGTATTCCGAAATTACCCACCAATAAATCTTCAATAGATGGCAGAATAAGTATATGTACATTTAAATAGAAATAGCGGAGAATACCATGGAGAATATACAAAGTTTGAGTTAAACCACGTTTGATTATTTTAATAATATATGCAGTTGGTGCGATTCGCTGTGAATATTAGAAATTGGAACATTCCGTTAATTTAATAAATCAAGTTAAAAATTCAAGATGGGTGATCAAATAAGGTAAAAATAAATTTAAGAGAAAGAATTACAGGAACTTGTTCAATATCCTCTTAAACATCCAGACAAATTCTTGAAGTTTGACATGCAGCCATCCAGAGGTGTATTGTTTTATGGACCACCTGGTTGTGGTAAAACATTATTGGCTAAAGCAATTGCCAAAGAATGTCAAGTAAATTTTATTTCTGCCAAAGGATCAAAATTATTGACTATAAGGTTCAGAGAATCTGAAGCTAATATCAGAGATGTATTTGATAAGGCAAGATCAGCTGCACCTTGTTTATTATTCTTTGATAAGTTCGATTTAATTGCTAGATCTCAAAGAGGGTCAGTTGGAGATGGTGGTGAATTAGCTGATCGTGTAATAAAATTTTAACTGAAATGGATGACATGGGTATCAAAAAGAATGTTTTCATTATTGGTGCTCCAAAACGATCGGACATTATTGGTCCTGCTATTCTTCATCCGGGTCGTTTTGATCAATTAATCTATGTTCCACTACCGAATGAAAAATCACGCAAAGCCATCTTTAGAGCTAATTTACAAAAATCTCCTGTAGCATCAGATGTGGACTTATCATACATTGCTAAAGTAACTCGTAGATTTTCTGGTGCCGATTTGACAGAAATTTGTCAACGTGCTTGTAAATTAGCTATTAGACAGTGTATCGAAGTCGAAATACGTAGAGAATTTTTATTATTGTGGAGTTTGTCGAATTCATAGATATACCACTAGTGCCTCCCTCATAAGACATATGGATGATCTTCATATACAAAATGTTTATCAGAAAATTTAACTATAATAATTTTCTTTATTCTTACAATATATTTTTATAATACTAAATTTGCTGAACCTTTCCTCATTAATATTTGATACGTAGTAATATTTTAAAATTAATTAATACACCATATTAATTAGTATCCCATATTAGAAAGAGGATGATTAACTATTTATTTTTTTCAGTACAATATGTATAACAGCAAGCAATACGTAGGTTTGTGATCAGTTATAAAATTTTTTATGTAACAAAAAATCTGTTGGGAGTGTTTTGCCAAGTACATAAAGTTTTATTAAATCCATAAAACTAAAGATTTATTTTTTTAGATGATTGTTCTCACTCCAATAAACATAGAATTTTAAAAGTAGAGTTTTCGTAATTTCTAAATGTTTTAAAGTTTATGAATCCCATTATTAGACCTACCGTGGTATTTTTAACACTTGATCTATCGAATCAATTTACTAAGAATTTAGAAGATTGAAAATAATGATCACAAAAAAATTCAATAACTTGAAGATCGTGTATTAAATTTTGGACTTCTAGAAAAAACTCTTTAACAAATTTACAAAGTGACAATGACAGAATAAATTAATTGATCTGTCTGAACTTTTATTTATTTTGAAAATCACTCTGTTTCTTTAAAATAAATTTATTTGCTTATTTTTTTATACTTTGTACGAGTGTTTTCAATACTCTCAACATCAGATAAATCTTTTCTTTCATTTTTATTTTTTTCTTGTCGAAAAAGTGTTTTCTAGTGCAAAGAACTAGAGTATATTCATTTTTTCGGGATTAGTATATTGATCAATCTAGCAGGAAATCTATAAAAAGATTGAATTGATGAAATTACCAGATCTAATTTGATCACATCGAAGTTAGCTTGTAAGAAATTCATCGAAATCCAGAAATGAAAATGGAGCAATGTGATGAATTTTTTCTTCCATCGTTTTCACGAAATAATGGATATCTTGAGATGAGAAAACACTAATTCACACAGCTGCTTGGGGTATTTCTGTCATAAACAATTAGTCTACATTCATCCTACTATTATACTTGTGGTGAAACTGCTCCAGACATTACGAATCTAAAGATGGAACGATTTCGACGAACAAAACAATCATTAAAACAACTGTTCGCCTTCATTGAACCATAATCAGATTAAAAAAAATTAAATTCTACAAATTCTTAATTATTAACATTGTTATTAAAGACAATAATGATAGTTAATATCTTTGGAAAAGTCTTTTCAATCCAATTAAATACTTGATAAAAAAGATTAAATAAAGTAAATAACGACATTGAAGTATTTATTAGTAAAGATTAATTTGAAAAAAATGACCGAAGAGAAAAAAATATAATCAGATTATCCTTTTTTAATTTATAGTAAATGATGAGAATAAAATAACATCATTAGAGAATAAGGAACGACAGTAAAACAGATCGCATGGCTAAAAAATAATCAAGTATCCACCAAAAAGATTGAAACTAAATGAACGAAAGACCATCGATAAATTCTCATTAAGAACTGTCAAGAATAACGTCAAGAGACGTAAGTCGAATGGAAGAAGAGAAAAAGATATATATAGAAAAGCTAGACTTGAGAGAAAGAAAAGAAGATTGGAACTCGATATGGCACGGATGTCCTACCTCATTCTTCGTATCTTCATACCTTCAGAAATGTGATATTCTCATTTTCTCATCACATTAATTTGCTGTCAGCCTTTCAAAAGTGTCTCAGAGACCAACATTAACAATAGAATCTAATCGATCTTCATTTAATAGCATTTTTATCTAATTTTTATTAGGGTTTTTATTTTTTTATTGTCAATATACAGCAATGACATGTGCAAAATTATTATAAATTGTTGTTTATTGTTAGGTTTTGATGTTGAAAAATAAGAGGAATATTGAATGGTTATTCCAAATTATTTATCTGTATTGACAAAAAATAATATGGATATTGATGATGGTGATGAAACAATGATGCAATTTGTTAAAGAGGTTTTTCCGTTGAATATAACGAATAAAAAAAAAATACTTTCGATAAATATGAATTATGATGAAAGAAAGTAAGTGTTTGTTAGGAAACATCTTTAGCTGATTGGATATATTACAGGAGATTGTAATATGATTAATAAAATAATTTAGTGGTGGTGGTAAACCGAAGTTGTCGCGCTCGAATATTCTCCTCCAGATAGTACATACTCACACACGCATCTCTCGAATTCCACTTGTCAGTTGGATTAGTACGATCAGTTTCATCCCAACGTTTTTCAAAGATACATAAAAAAACGTACTAGTACAAATAGATTCTTTATCATCAAACAAAAGTATTTTTGTTGTTTATTTTTTATTGAATTTTGTTTTAATTGGCTTCATGGACAACAACACTCGAAAGAAAAATTTAAAAAGAGGAAAGAAAAGTAAAAAAAATTATCTTTGTCAAGTTTAATTACTCTACGGTTTATGTAAAAAGTGCTATGGTTTTATTCAAAATATTATTAATTTTGATAGCTTTAATAAATGTCGTTTTAAGTGTAAATCTCTCCAAGTTTAGTACTGTTGGGAAATGTTGTCCACCGGGAAGAGTCTTTTTTAACAGAGAAAATTTCACGTGTGCTGCTCTAGACGATGAAAATTCCCTTGAGCTTCATGATACCAGAAGCAATCACTGGGGAAATGAAGACTTTAGAGGATGTCCAAGTGCAAATTTATCTGTAACAAGTCTAAGTGACATCGATTCAATAATCCCTGGATCTACAGCTTGTATTGATCTTCTCTACTGTGAGCTCAAGTATACGCCATTTATTTTCTTCTGTCAGGATGATAAGGAGAATTTACCGGTTCCTCGATTAACTGCTATCAGGAAATGTTGCCCTTCTGGACAATTTTATGACATCAACTCTCGCAATTGTGTGAACGATTTAACTCCATCAAATATTATAAAAAACATTGATGATCTCCTTCATGATACTGTAGATTTCGTCACCATCTCTTATGGACCACCAATTTGTGATTACGCAATTGTCGATCATGTGGTCAATATTCAGGATGTAAAATTTCTCCAAAATGGTACATTTCAGGTATGTTGATATTTTCATTTCAAATATGTCAACAAACACGAAATGTTTTGAAATAATCATCATTATGTAATAACATTGACCCTTTCACTCTGTCGGACGTTGATTCCCGGTATTATTATTACTCCATAATTTTAGATTTTCGTTGTATGATGGTTAAGCCGTATAATCAACGGGCCTTCTATCTTATCGAGCGTTAAGTTTCTTAGTATTTTATTTTAAAAATTGCACTGACTCGTTCGAAACACTCAAGAAATAAAGAATGACGTGTTAATATTTATTCTAGTCACTCGAAACTCGTAGCTCTTCCTTACAAATAAAACAATAGATTTTTCCTATTTCTATCAATTGCTAGAGAATTTTTAAAGAAACGTATTTTGTTAGAAACGATATATCTACTCTATTATTAAAAATAATGATGGCATTTAAGTGGATTTTAATAACAATTGATTTTTAGAATCAATTATTAATGACAGTATTATTTAAATCGATTGTTTATTCATATAACCACAATAAATGATTCATTATTAATGCTTACAAAAAGATTAAAAGTTAAGGTCAAGTAACTATTTAAATAAGTTTATTTACATACTTAATGAAGTTTTTACTTAATAATTATTTACTCAAGTAAAAGGTATTTATGATGAATATAAGAATCAATTTATCTTTCTTACAGGTGTTAATATCATCAGGAAACGGTCTAGAAAATTTAGTTCTAGACACAAATGATGCTTGCCTCGACTCAGGACCATCTACAGATACTCTGATAATAAGATCTTGCAGTACATCCAACTTTTGTGATGAAAATACATGCATAAGAAAATGCTGCGCTGAAGATGAGGCTTGGATTGAACACAAGTGTCAAAAAGTTTCATTATACAAAGAACCCACTGGGAAATTTCATCAAGAGCTCAAGAAAGTTATTGCCTCACTTTCTCCAGAAAACTCAACAAGGATAAATGTTTTGAATTCAACTAGTTAGTTATACAATATATACATTTTTTATCTATAATAGAATATTTTATTTTAATTTAACTATATAACCTGTTGATAACAAAGTTATTTCACTTTTCTATATGTTTTCTTTCTATTACAGATTATGGACTGATAATTGGCTTACATGAGTGTGAGGATGGGATGTATCCGATATTGCCTAATGAGTCGTGGCACGTCACTCCACAAGGACATGTTTATGTACCGGGTTATAAAGCATATGAACATCATGAGTATTGTATGGATATGCTATATGGCAACCATTATTATAGAGATGGATTGTATCCTTGTGTTTGTTTCAATTCTCAACCAGTACATGAAGCCATTGAACCTGAAAGGTACGGGTATTATTAACAAAGATTAAATTAAAAATCACTATCACAAAAGAACTCGTTAGTTTCATTAATTTATAAATTTCACAACTTTTAAAGTATTGGAACGTTTGACAACTAGGGTAATTCCTGAATAATTTGAACTTTGTTATCAGCATAAGAATCGTTGAAAAACTTGAGAACTTATTACAACAAGAATAATTCTTCCTAACGAAAAGAAAGTTGGAAAACATAGTTCACGAGAGTTGAATAAAATAATTCCATCATTGCTCATATGATTTTGTTCTATAAAATATGACAATTATTATATGATTTAAACGTAAGAGGTGTTGATATATGATTATAATTCATTATCACTTATAACAAATGTGTTTTACAAAACAAAGTGTTCACTAGTTTGAAGAGTTTCCAAATGCATGCTAAACTTATTATATTATTCAGTCAGAATATCTCCAAGTAGTTTCATTGTAATTAAAAAACTCATTTATTCAGATGGAGTGACATAAACTAGATTATATATTAATGAAAGTGAATTATTAATTACGATTTAATTTTATGTCATTTACAAAGAGTAAATAAACTTTAAAGAAGGATTAGTTATCTTGAATTATACATATAGCATACAAAATTCACATTCATTCTTCGGTTCAAGTCATAAAAATAAACTTTTATGTACTTTAAGCTTGAGTTTTAATACAGAAATGAGCTTACCAAAGTTTTGAAATATTATAAAAAATACTTATATTTAATTTAATCAACTCTGTAACTATTTTATAAATAAATTTGACATTATAATTTTAATATGATTAGGATGGAGTACAAAAAGTAATTGGAGAAAATTATTTTGTAGGTTTGGAATAAATGCTGCTTTAGAACTGACAAGTTGTATGTTTCTCCTGTTGACATTTTTGGTGTACCTATGTTTGCCCCTACTGCAAAATCTCCATGGAAAAACTTTAATGTGTCATGTGGCTAGTCTTTTCGTTGCATATGCTTGTCTCGCGACAATTGCCCTGACACCACCGCCTGATGCATACAACGAGGATAAACAACCACGGACTCTGTGTAAATTTCTTGGTTACACGACGTTGTTGGCTTTTCTCGCCTCGTTCTCGTGGCTCAACATTATGTGTTTCGACATTTGGTGGACCTTTGGGTAAGTTAATTAAATTTTTTTCCGTTGAAAGATTTTTTTGCATTACATAAGATAGCCATTAATTTATTAAACAACTATTTTCTCATTAATTCATCTCACCTTCACCTTATTTCAGCATTTTTGAAATATTTTGTAATATATATGCAAAAGAATTCTGCTATTCATATAAACATAAACTAAATTTATCAAGTTATTACAGGGAAAAAATAGATAAAGTATGAATGGCGTTTACTTTTAGTTAAGTTAAATACAGCGTTCTTAAAATCTCATGTATTAACTATAGTCTAAAAAAAAATTTGAGGGATTTGGATCAAACATGCACATATTCATATACATTAAAATGAATACATGCTACACATGAATAAATTAAATGCATGAAAAATCTTTATCTCCTATATTATCTTTCTTACTCTCTTCTTCTTTATTCAACTTGAATCAACGAGCAATCTCTAGAAGAAAATTTTAGTTAGATTTTATTATTTTCATTCGAATTCTTGATCATAAAAACTATTTTTCAAAAAAAGATTGGATTTCATTAATAATTGGAGTAACAGTTGTTTAAATAACTTTAAATGCTTTTAACGAATGAACAAATAGCCCCGAAACTCTTTTCAAAAGAACATTGATGAAAAGTTAAGAGTTTGCAGCTCTTTTCGATGCATTAGTATTTATACTATAAAATTTAATTTCCCGAGTAAAAAGTCCTTTTAAATGTAAACTTCAGTATTGAATTATTGATATTATTTTTTGTCTATTTCAGCTCAATATGATAGCATGAAAAAATAATTGTGTATTGATAAAACTATAAATTCATATATTCAAACAAGAGAATAAGATTTCCATCAATGTTTTTTCGATTTGTTTAGCAATAATTTTTTTTTCGTTCATTTGTTATAAATGGTCAAAGTGAGTCAAATAATTTAAACATCGATACTAAATAACCTAGTGAAAATAATTCAGTCAAATGTTTGCACAATATCGGTTTTGTACGACTGTATATTTAAATAATAACATAGTATGTGAGAAAAATCCAATGACATGAAGAATATCAGGTCACTGTTACTATTGCCAGTTTCAAATTTTGAAATGTATTAATTTTTATTTATTTAGAAATTTATTCATTTAACTTTGCAGTATTTTATATCATGAATAAACTATAAACTGAATTTTGTTTATCTGCACAATATAATTAAACATTTACGAGAGCTTGAAAGACAAGTGGAGAGACAGGAAGACACTCGAGACATACAAATGGTCTCACGAGGAATCAATTTTTTTCCCTTACGCGACACAGTGCCCTAAGAATTGTCTAACAATAATTACAAAATAAAATTAAAGATCATGTCTTTTTAAAAGACATGACCTGACAGTTGCAAAGACAAGCAGAGCTTAAGTAAGAAGTCTTCTAAAAAAATAACAAAAACTTAAGCTTCCAAATATTTTTTTTATCATTTTAAAAAATCAAATAGTTTTTTAGATCATTATATAGAGTTTCTACAAATAAATGTTACATAGATCGATTACGATACAGAGATAAAATTAGCTAAATAATTATACAGGTTGAAATCATTAATGATGAATTTACGTAATACTTTACATACCAGTAAGTATGCATGTAGTAAAAAAACTAATTGGAGTCATTAAAAGTAGCAAGCACACATAAAAGAATATATTTTGAAGGAAAAGACAACACTAGATATGTTTAAAATGTGCCCAAGCTCTTCTTATAGCCATAGGCAATCCTTGTTCTCTCACGAGAGTGTCGTGGTTCGTTAAAATAACGAAAGCACTTCGGTCAAGGCAGCAGCAGGCTTGTGATAAGGAAACACGAGACTGCAAACCGAGTAGTTGACAAAACCGCGAGAGAAAAGGTCTATTGTTTCTATTGCTGTAGACGCAGTAGTTCACAACCTGTACTCCTATACTTCTTCTTTCATCCTCTTTTTTAACCCCTTTTTTTATACATATATTTGTTTCCTCAATCTTTTCCATTCCGTTTTTCTACTTCTGATGGACAATGTGCTTCATCAGCCAAAATGTTTAGAAATTTAGACTGCATATTTTTATTTTTATTGTTATTTTTTCTTTTGAATAACAAAATGTTAAGATTTTAAAATTACTACTCCAACTTGCTGAAGAGTTTAGCGACACTTATAATAATTTTTCATATCCAGTTGTATGTCAAAGGGTTTATTTATTTTACAGAGGATATGGAGGAGCTGCTCACATAGGCGGTAAAAAAAATGCTCAGAAAAAACGCTTTATTATTTACTCCCTGTATGCTTGGGGCTTTTCTTTATTCATTACGTCACTTGCAATCACAGCAGACCATACAGACACTGTTAAACAACATCTGCGCCCTAACATTGCCGTTGATTCATGCTGGTTTGCACGTGAGTATTCCCTTAAAATATATTTTATAGCCTCTGAGTTATTTCCTATCGATTTTGTGACTCGATAGATAGATGAATAATTCAATATTTTCGATTATTACTCGCTTATTCATGAATTTCAATAACTGAATAACTTGATGCCCAGTTCGATATAAATAATTTTTCTCTGTAAGATAATGAAATAAAAATAACAATAAAGAATTTTATTTTTTTCTAGAAACTTGGAATAATCAGGGAGAAATGGTTTATTTTATTGGACCAGTTTCGATTCAATTAGCAACGAATGTTGTCTTTTTTATATTGACATTACGACACTGCAGTCGAGTTAAAGCAGACATTTCCAAAGTCATGATTAGCACCACTGAATATAAAAAACGACGCTTTCAAGCTGACAGATCCAAGTAATTATAAATTATTTTTAATCTAATATTATTTATGCTACCTTTTAATAACTTTAGTTATAATCTGATGGTAATTATTGAGTTCAAAAATCACATGTCAGCTACGATATTAACATATTTCAACCAATTTGATTCAGAATTTTCACATTATTGAGTTAATTACTCAATTGAATATATTAACATTTTTTATAAATGGAGCAATATTTAATTATTATATTTAATTATTTCGACGTGAATTTTATAAAACATGGTATAGTTGTATTTGACACTTTTATTATGCACATTGCCTTGTTAGAAAGCTTGTTTGACCTTTTAAGCTTTACAAAGTTTTTTCAGTTTCCAGGCAACACTAGGAGTGAGAATAAAGTAGGTCTTGTATGTTTTTATATATTTTTATTAACTTTCAGTAATTTTCGTGAATAGACTATGACAGTAAGAAGAAAAAATTGAAAAATTTCGCCGATTTAATACAGATTTCAATTGAATGTATTGACTAATTGAGATTGTGTAATTAATTAATAAAATGTAGGGAAAATAATTTAATTCAATTTAAATTTTTTTAACTGAATATCTGTCATAAATTTGATATTAACAAATTTTAATATTCAGATATTTAATTAATAATGGTTATTCTCATTAATATTTGGTTGATTATGTGTGCTAAATAAAAGCTCAATAATTATAAATATTTTATTAAAAGAAATAATTTTTATTATTACTATTTTCCATTCTTAATTAACAATTAAAATATTGATCAATATTATTATGTATTAAGTTTAACACATTGAAATAGTTTTTCAAAAATTTAAATTTTTTTACAGGCTCATTCTCAACATCAAACTTTTCATCGTTATGGGAATCTCTTGGATATTTGAAATAATTTCATACTTTATGAATCACTATGCTGTTGATCTACGTTGGCGTACACAATTTTTTTATATATCAGATTCTTTTAATTGTCTCCAAGGTTTACTAATATTTATACTTTTTGTATTGAAAATCAAAGTTTATTATGCATTAATGCACCGACTCGGACGTCGTAAAGCAAACAGGCCGACAAGTGTTGCCGGAACTAGTCTCCAGGATCCATTCAAAGTGAAAAAAAGTATCAGCTGTAGCACACTCACGTCAACTTTTGCTATCAGCAACTCACCGTAGTTTCGTGTGAACTTAAAAAAATAAAAATCATTTCTCATGATAAACAACTCATATGAATTCATCGGACATACTGTGCTTATTTCAATAGTAGCTTCAAGCTTGTGAGTTTGAAGTAAATACCTGCATACATTATATATTTTCTCGTTGGCAATTTCCCGCACGGGAAATCACTAGCTCACCCAAAGTATCTCAAGCAATCTCGAATGATCCTCTCACTAATTTTCCTGCTCTCTCATCCGTTATTTCATCATATCCCAAGTACTTTTAAATTTTTCTATGAATCCAGAAAGAGACTAAAGTTTTGTAAACTCTAAACTATCGTTTCATAAAAATTGTACATATTATCATTCTCTAAAAGAACTTACAATCATTGTAAATAATATTTTTATCGAATTTTAGTTTCATTTCATTAATTTTTATAGCAAAAACAAATTTTAATTTTACAAATATATCTACAATAAAATACACAAAATACTTGCTAAGCATATGTACAAATTTTTTAATTATAGTAAATACAATGTTTAAAAAATTGTATAACTTAATGATAATTCAATTATTTCAGTCAAATAAAAAAAATTTATTATAAAATTTCGAAATAATTTAAATTAATTTTAAATTAATTTAAAAAGTATTGAATTACGAAATAATTTAAATGTGTACATAAAATAACATTTTCGTAAATTTTTATGTAATTAATATTTTATAATTTTGTAATATGAATGATTAGTTATTTACACAGTGTACAGATGATTTATATTAAAAATGATTTTATCATAAATATAATTTTTCAATAAATATGTAATTTATGAGTTTTAAACTCTTCCTAAAAAAATTTTATAACATTTTCAAATAGAAAAAATACGCCAATTTATAAATTTTATAAGTAATTTCATGTATATGAAATAACTCGATATTTTTTCCATTCGTTGAATATTTGAACTAAAAATAATTTCTTTATCTGACTGAATTACAATTAATAACGTGCATTTTGTCAAGCTTTTCGCTCTTCAATAGCTGTTTCTTCCAAATCTGGATCTTCATTGATAATTGAAATGTCCCTGATAGAATGTCGTCTCGATCTCCAGCCATCATGAGGCACCACTAATTCTCTTGTTTTAGTAAGAAGCTTCGGACCAGATAATGTAATAATTATAGCACCAGTAGGTGCAGTCAGAAGTATTGAAAGAATGCAAATAGTAAGTGTTGTTTCTGCATAATAAACTTGAGTACTGTCACTTTTATCAACTTGATCAAGAGTTACTGGCCCCAATGCTGCTTGAACTGTAGCTTTAGCCATACATGCCAATGCAATGAAAATTTTTTCTTTAAGATTAAGTCTAGATTTGATTGATATGAAAATTGTTGTAATTATCCGAAGAATAAATGCTGTGAAAAGGAGACCAATACTGATATAAATGGTATTTCCTTCTAATTCATTTAATTTAATTTGTGTTCCTGTTACTCCAAAGAGAATTGGTTCAAAAATCATCCAGAATATTTCAAAAGAAATGGCTACAGGATTCTGAAAGAAGACAAATAAAAATTAATTGAATTTCAGATTTAAATTCTACAATACACTATATTATTTAATTTGTTTTTCAGGCATATTTTTCAACTATTCGACTTTTTTTTATTCACCACAGATAAAATAACTCGAGGATTAAGTAAAGTGGATCATACAGTTTGATGAGTGTAAAAATTTAATTAAAAAAAATAATTTGAAATAATAGAATCGAATAAAATCTGAATATTTCAATTTTATCGTTTGGAAACGTATAATAATTTCTACATGGGTAGCATTTTTATGCTGAAAATTGATCTATCCCTTTAAAGATATAATGAGGTCATAGACGAACCAATAAAATTGCAGATCAAACGCATAATATTCCTCTCTTTTCGTACTTTCATACTTTTATGTGATATCACAGACATGAAAATAGCTAACTGACGTTAAAACCCGTATATTTTATGACTAAAATGTTTGAATACTAGAGAGTTGGAGTTTTCTTGAATTTTAAAATTATAATACAATCATTCGAAAAAGTGAATCAATTGATCTTTAGTAAGTATACCTTTTGAAAAATTTACTTTTTAATAAGTTATTGAACAATCAATTTATAGTCATCAGAATTAATGGATTATAATAAGGAGATTAAGTAATCATCAAACCTTGAGCAAATGTCATCTTCTATGTCTTTATGTAATATCAGATCAGCAGAGTAGAATTAATATTCCAAAGAATTAATTATAAAAAATGTTTTAAATGATGACCTATAAATATACAGATAATATATTCGCCAATTTATGATTATTCCAACACTCTATTAGAGTGGAATGTAGAAAAATAAAACCCAGGTTTAGACAGCACTCCAAATATGAAAACTGTTACAAATTATTTTAAAAACCTCGAAATCTCTAGATGTATTTGAAATATTCTATTTTTATTTTGAGACTCTTTACAACTATTGCCCCGTATATTGACAAGTTGATAAATTACCACTCTTATAATAAAAATGAAATTCAATATTGAAAACAGAATAAAAATCGATTGATTCAATATCTAGTAAACTTAATTTAACTGAAGATGCAAAAAAGAATCATAATCTAACAAGTACATAGCATAATATTCTTCAAATATTCCTGAAAGACAACATGATTGAATTTGATTAATTTTCTTTAGCCAATAATTAGAACAAATAGATACTGACGGTTCTAAGATTTACAGTAAATCTTAGGAAATTTCTAGATAGATATGGTTGACTATCAACATGTAAATAGCTCAAGTCTCATCTCCACAAGCTAATAGCTGTACTTGGCAATGATTATTCGTACGTCCTTTGGAATTAGTGTGCACGAAATCGACTAGTTCCGCTTGACTCGACAGCTCTACTTGAATGTGTAGAAGAGCAACTGACTTATAGATAGGTAACGTTGGAAAAGCATTAGACGAAGAGAAAAATGGAGCAAAAAGCATATTGTAGTACATAAAGTATTATATAGCAGAAGAGTTACTGTTTCCATGTAGTAGTCAGCTTTAATTAATTCTCCTCAACAAGATTGCGGATTGACTATTGAAGTGCTGCATGTTAATTGAATAACTTTACAATAATCAAACATTTGATTGAAAATCACCGTTGTTTTAATAATATTAAATACATTTATAATTATTTTATTCCATAATCGGTTTCTAAACCTTTTCAAATAAAAATATCTTAATGACTTGACCATTTATTTCTCATTCGTAAGTCAATTAATTCATCTATTTTTATTTAAATTTCATTTATTCTGTAGAAAAATCTTTCTGAATGATAAGTCAACATGATTTTTTTATGGATTTCGTTCAAGTTTGTCTTCAAATATTTAAATGTAGATTGAGAAAAGAGTATATTTAATGAGAATATCAATTTTAATTACAAGTTTTTTTTAAAATAAAAAGTTACTTACTATGTTTCAGTACTTTTAAAAAAGTAAGTATATCTATTTAAGTAACTAAACAAAATGAATTTAATTTTATGTAGAGATATATTTTCTGTAAATATTGTAAGAAAAAAAATTTGCTACTGTTTACAAATTTATGAAAAATCTTTAGAAAGTAAATTTAATAAATAAATAAAACTAATTAGAGTATATTTCACAGATTTTTTAAATGAAAATTGTTGAAAAGAGAGAAAAAGAGTAAAATATAAATTTCAATATTCATTTAAATATTCTCTCATTTTTTTTCCTAGTGTGTACTGATAAAATAGACAAAATTATTGCTTCCAGCATCAGAATCGTGTCCAACAGTGCCGAGTAAGCTTCAAGTAGAACTTGAGCCAACTCTTGAGTGTCGGCAGATCGTTATACGCCGTCTTTTCGCCCCTTTTACCTCAGCCTTAATTTTCCCCCTACATCCCTGTGCTTTCTCTCCACCCTTATACACCAGAGTGAGCCTACTCAGAACGTTGACACGCCCGCGAAAAATATACCCTACCACTTCTGGCCCTCGGTTTCGCCTTCGCCAGATTGCTCGACCCTTTGCGGAAAGGGAAACCCAACTATTCCTGGATGATCAAACGCCCACGGAGAAAACCAGCAGAATACGACAAGCCTTTCTGACACGTTTTTTACTTCTTTTTTCATTTACATCTATAGTTATAAAATATGGATATACCTATAGAACAATTTTTTTTGCTTTTATTCATACTTTGGTAGTCCATTTAAAGCATGATGCATGGACTCTAGAAAGCCTATACTCCTTCCGGGATTTCAAAGTAATCTAGACAAGCTTTCAAGTTAAAATACTCACGTCTTCAACATTCCATCCATCCTCCTGCCAGAAGTAACAACTGACGAAGGCTGCTGCTACTACTGCTAGTGGACCAGCACCACCCAACTCAATTGCTTCACTTCCAAAAACAGCTATAAGACCACCACCAAGTAACATGAGTACTCTCATAGGTACCATGAAAGGCTGAAAAATAATATCTTGCTTTAGTTTTGCTGTTCTAGCGGTTAAATTACAAATAACGATCAATATTATACTAATTTTAGATCTATTTTATCAAATATTTATGTCATAAACGAACTGAATGAGATTGAATAATAATAATGCTAATAATTATACACATTTATTTGCATTTAATTATGTAATATCACCATACGTATATTTTTTTCAGAGCTTTAATGAATTTATTGATTAAAAGCTAGCAACTTTTTGTGTTATATTTGTTCATTTGGATGCAATAGATATAATTATCCTGAGATAGTGAACAAATACTGTAAAGCTTTTCATTAAAAATGTATTAATCTTCATTCATTAATAATACATTGGTATTTCTAGAGATACATATAGATTTTGCAGATGTTTTTTTATCATTATGACATTGTAAAATTTTTATATTTGTTGGATTATTTCTAGGCAAGAAAAAGTATATTTGCTAATTCAGAACTCAATCACTGTCAATTTCGTAATAATTGAGCATTTATGATAGATAAGAGGTACTCTATCATTGATTTTTTTGTACGTCAAACGTTTTCGGGTTCATAATATCGATTGATGCTACTCGTTGAACTCTGAGAGTTAAACCAATAGACATTGCTGATTTAAAAAACTATAATAAATAGAATGTTGAAAGAGATACATCATTAATTATTTATTTCAATAAAATATCTATTATACTGACCTATGGAAATAAATTTTATATAATTTTCCTTGATTGATTAAATGTTTGGTTTACTTAAAATTCAGTTACTGCTGTTTTTACATACTGAAGTGAATTTTCGCAATAAAATTTGTTTCTTGTTTTATTTTAAGACCTGGACAGTCTTAATCAGCTGCTAAATGCAGTTTTTTTTTTGTTAATGTAAATAGAATTAAATATGGAACAATATTATTTAATGAAAATATTTTTAAAAGAATCTAAAGTATGACAATAATCGATAAATATTGTTTATTTTCTTTTGTAAAGTAATACGTTAGTATTTTTTGAGTTATTATTTTCCGAACAAAGTTTATCCAATCAATAACTAGATTTTATGGCCTAATAACTTTTATATATCTGGTACTAACATTCATTATATTAAAAGTCGAAATGAGACTTTTAATGAATAATATAAAAATAATTTTCCGCCAATTAGACTTTACGCATTGCCAACGTTTTTTCGTATAAATTATTTTCTATCACAGCATAATTTTTAAAAAATTTGCACTGTAAGTTAACTTCATGGAACGCTAGATGATTAACTTTCATCTCGATATTTATGAATTTCGATTTAATTTTTTTTAATAATAATTTCAAAAAATTAACTGTCAGCCAATTTTAATAGATATTAATTGTCGATTCATTGGAATTGAAATTGAAAACATTCAAACTGATTGACTAATTTTGTGAATAGCAGAATTTTTTTTTATTTTAAATGAAATATGATCATCAATACATGCACATGAAATTGATGTGTTATAAATATATTAATACCATTCAACATAGATTGATGAAAAGTATTGAATTCTGTAGAATGAATTTTGTTGAAGAAATCAATTTTTAAAAAAGAAATACTTCTTTGATTCTAGTGGAAAATATTGCAAGATCAGCTCTGTGTTTGATCAACAAAAAAATTATCAATGGACAGCTTTTTATCATTTAAATTTTGTACCTTTCTTCAGACTATTTACATATCGATAAATCTTTCAAATTTTTTCAAACATGTAAACAATTTATTTTGCTGAAATGATGACATGTCAATGTAGACTTGAAAAACACTTACGTCGCCTTTTTCTGGAATGAATTTGGCAAGACAACCCCAAAGAATTCCGAATCCAAGACCACCAACGATAGCGATTGGACCTTGAAGAATCTGATACCATAGACTATCGTGAGAGAACATAACACTCTTGATAATCCCAAAGATAGCAACTGACACAGCATCATCAATCCCTGAGATGGCGATTATGAGTGTTGGAATTCCCTTTTGAAAATAAAGATAAATGGTATGATTTATCAGTTGGTTGATTTCATAATAAAATGATAAAAAAAGTAGATTATATAACTTGATGTATAATTACTTTAGCAACACCATATCCTTTACTGCGCAGCCTGAAAAGACATGGAACAATAACAGCTGGTGATACTGCTGCTACTACGCTTCCAATTAAAAAACTCCATATCCAGGGTAAATTGAGAAGATACTTCGTCATGACTGCAACCACTATACATTCTACAGTCCAAGGCACCAACCCTATCTTTGGCATCGTTATCTTTTGTCTCTTGAGGGCATTTGGATCCAGGTCGAGGCCAGCACGTACCAATATTATTACTAATGCAATTTTTCTGTAAATTTTTTAATAAATATTAATTTTTATCGACAAATAAAATTAAGAATAATAAATAAACATTATTGAAATAATAAATGCTCATGTTTTATTTTTGTTTTTTTTTTGACAACAATTAAATTATTCAAATTTTAAAACATTGAAGTCATTGAGCAGAACGTAACAAAAAATAAATGTTCCAATAATCATTCTCTGTGTGAAAAAATGTTTATTAAAATATTCATTCCCGCTTGTTAATCTTTATTATTAAAAAAAATGAAAATTGTAAAATACCTAATAAGAATTTTTAGTATATGAAAAAACTAATTAGTGAAGGTAATATTGTATAAGAAAAAATAATGTACCTATTGTGTGCTTATTTTTTTCTTTTTACAGTTAATTTTTATTTTTTTTCCATTCATTATCGCTTGTATTTTTAATCCAGTAAATTCCTCCGCAGGATTTATATAATGAAATTTATAAATTCTAGCAGAATATATTATATTCATTTTTTACACTTTTTTAAATAAATCTCACTAATTCATTAGCTTTATCTGAATTCATGACAATTTTTTTTTTCATAATTCAGAGTAAAAATAAGCTAAAAAAATCGAACCACTATGAATAAATTGTCATTATTTTTGAAGACAATAATTGCAATGCTGATCTAATCATGAATTGTTTCAGTACGTTGTGATGGCTATAGTGACAACAATTAAAGAGAAAATAATTTGAGACGAAAGTCATGATAAAGAGATAGAAGGAAGATTAAGAGAAAGAGAGCTAGTCGGCGTATTACCGCGTGACTCGTCAATTTATTTATTTAAACGACAATCAATTATCGATATCAATGTGCGGAAAACGCTGACAGAGTCACGAGACTATTACACAGTCATATATTTGTTCGGCCTGACAACCGGCTGATGACAATCAATTAACACGCCTGGGCCTCGACCTCCCACTTTTCTTATTTAAGTCACGAGACTTTTGTGTCATGTGCTTTACTAAGATTTCCAGTGGTTGAGTAAGCTTTATAGACAAACATTAAATGTCCATATCACGCCGTTTATCATCATCTTCATCAATCCAAAGACATCTACGTATATAAAATCACTCGACGTTTGATAATCCACGTGTAGGAAGTCTCCTAGCTCTTCAGCCTTTCAATCTATCAGTAAAATTATTCTATACGTACAGAGTGGTTTATAAATTATATATATATGAATGCAATACATTTATATATTCTATGTCTATAGATTATATTTTAACTTTACACACATCCGTCACTAGAGGTATACATGGTCATTGCAGCAGCAATTCATTGCGTAACATTTACAAGTACATTATCACTTAAATACAAGACTACCTTGTCCACTGTGTATTCAACAAGCTTTTACTTTGTTAAATATCATTTTATATTATTATTTTAAATGATTAAAATTCGATAATAAATACAATGTAAAAGTGATGTAAAAGATGTCGAATTGAAATTAACATAAAAATACGAAAATTTGCAGATGTGTGATTAACATATGAAAAGAAATTCTGTTTTTAGTAAATCCATTTTTGTCAATAATGAATGTAAATAAACAACCTGTCTTTATAAAAATTAAATAAAGTGATTTGTCCTTGCATGATTGATTAAAAACTTTCAATTATAATTTTAATGCTTGCAATAAATTTTTTAATGAACATGTTTACCACAGTAACTTGCGATTAATCAAAATTATTTATGTTTCCAACAACCAATGTCAGAACTGATAATTATTGCTAAATAATCATGATCAAATAATTTGTTTTCATTTCAAACCTGTTTCACATATAATATAGATAGTTTGGAGATTTAAAAGTCGTTAACAACACAAGTAACTAGTCATAAAAATTGTTTGGACATGACGCCCAAGAATTAATGACTGACATAAGCTTGTCACGCGGTTCAGTACAGTCCATCTAAATCATTTAAGTAAACATTTTACACATTTTCTGATACACTTCCGTCTCAATTTTAAATACAAAAAATTGCTCTTTCAGATAGTGAAGATTTTGAATAATTTATAAAAATGGAAATTTTATTAATATTTCAAATTCTTTTGTGACATACTATCATGTTATAACAGGATGTTACTTCAATGATAAATCTAATAGTTATTATAATTTTTCAAAGCCACTAGATTTGAAGAATCGTTGAAAGAGTGCACCTAAGAAATCATGACGATAGTAGCGTGATAATCTGATTGAAAACCGAGAAAATAAGATAAAAATAATTTCATGAACTTGAGAAGTCGAGAAAAATTAAGTAGGACAAATAATCTACAACTATAAGATAATTTTATCAGTGACAATAAGAGAGTGAGAGAATTAATCAGAGTCAGGTAGCTCTTGCATTCATCAAAGTAATTGATTCAGTATATTGACATTTACGCTGTATATTTAGCTCTTATTTTACTTGTTATATACAAAGTTAATCGACCTTAAAAGCATTACGAGCATTCAAGTAATAGAATTCAACTACTATACAAGGTGTTTCACTCTCAGAAAAAATTTTAGTTATACAGTTTAGGGACCTAGAAATTCATGTTAAACCTATTTAATACGCATTCTCTTGCTGTAAGTCTTTTCAGGAAATAAAATAGGTGCTTTTTATCGTACTTTACAACAAAAAAATAAAAGAGTAGAAAAGTTCTTGATTGGAATTTTTTATTTTCTGTTGAAGAATCTAATTTAAGTAATTTAAGTAATCCTTTCAAAAACTTTAGAATACTTTACTGATCATTCTGGTAATGCAATAGCAGAGGTTTTATTTTTCTTTTGGTAAATAAATATCTTATCTATCTCACAATAATGTTTTGATAAAAAATCCAATAGAAATCAGATTAACTGTACTTTTATAACCATATCTTCTATAAATTCCATTAAGATTTCTGCGATAATAATTGATTCATGAAGATCTTTATTTTTTTTTGAAAGTAGTACATAATTTCTGGTATAATGATGATTAGTTCGTAATAAAAATATTTTAAAAGTTAAACTTTTGAATGGTTAATTCAAATAAAAACTTACCTCACATTAGCAATGACGCCTGAATAACGTCCTTCTATATAGACTAGACCTGCATTTTGCATAATGAATCCAGTTAGAAGCATGCCAATAAGAGCTGGCAAGGTTGTGAGAGATATCAACCACCCTCCAAAATGTGCAGCGATTGCTAAGCTCGCTAAACCAAATAATGGACCACCTGGTGCTGCGTCACTGCCAATGATACAATAGACGATTCCCCAGATCATAAGACCCAAAATAAAAAGACACATGATCCTGGCAAATTTCCGATAAGATGGACAAAAAGGTTGTGGACATGCTCTTCGCCATCCTTGTGGCTCCCAAGACGGTGTATCTTCTTTTCCATGACACCGAGTACAAAATAAATATAGCCATGATCTACAGAGACACATTCTTTTGTTAAAAAGGTTTTTTAAAAAGGCAAATAAATTTTAAAAAATTGTTTTCACCAATTACTATGTAAGCATATTTATGTTCTTTTTTTTTTAAACAGTATATTATTTATTCTTTGTTGAGATTTAACGAATCCCTAGAATGGTTTAGCAAACAATAAAAAAGTTTTATTCATGTAACAATAAAAGAGTAACAAAGAAGTGAGAATCATATTTTATGAAATATTTTTTTAAATCGTATTTTATAAATAAATTCACAGCTTTTATACGTTTGTTATTATATTGTGAATAAAAATAAGTAATTTGAATACTTTTTTTTTTTACAAATTTTATATCATTTTATGTTTCTCTTTATTAGTCTCCCTTTATTGCATTTAAATGTAAAATATATTTACTTTATTCTGGTCACGTTCATCATATTAAAAAATATAAATATTGAAAGTTCAATAACATGATAAAGACTTTTCACCTTTGAAAAATTTTTTTTTTTAATAGTAACACTCAGTAATTGGAGAAAACTAAAAAATAGTTTCAGCAAATAAAAATAAAAGAAATAAAAAATTAATCGAACCTTTTAAGCTCTTCTGTGTACTCAATTTTATCTCTGATTGAACTAGACAAACTCATTTGTGATTTTTTCCTATTCTGACCATTAGCACGTCCATTTTCGAGATCAAGCTTATTATGTTGGAGATTTTCAACACTTCCATGATGAAGAATAGATTTCTTTCTAATACACTCTGGATTGTGCTCTGAGCTTACACTTATTTGCCTGTGATGTTCAAAGACAGGATTGTCAATACCAATAACTTGATCACTTATCGAGACTCTTCTGCTTTTAGTGTCATCAGGACTTCTGATTATTTTTCCATGTGTTTCTAAGCTAGTGGAATCCATTTTGATAAAATAATTTACTTTTCTCACTAAATAATGTTCGACCGGCGAATAAACAACGCCGAATGACACCACAGGAACTCAAAAACATTAACGAAATCGGTTGTTCTCTTTTTCAACTTTTCTTACACTCCCTCTCCTTGAAATTGATACCTATATTTTCTGATAATTCAGCATCCAATAAGACAGCAGCAGTGTCTACCTTATGATATCATTGGTCTTTGACAAATGAAAAGTGAAAAATTAGAGATGAAATCAGTTAGTCTATCACTCGCGCTTGAACAAGAATCTTTACTGACACTCGTTGACAAGTCAATGACTGATTCAGTCGATGGACAACTCTACTGTCGTTCGCACAGCAGATTCAACTACTTTAGGAGGGGGATTCATTCATTTGTGTACACTAATGTTGACAGATAATTGCTGATTTATCGAAGTACAGGATGGGTGCACCGGATACAGGATTGTTCGCCGCACCCCTTTCAAATAATTTTAAACTTTCTATAAAAGCGCGGAATTTTTTAAGTTAATACTTGTGAAGGAAATCAAGTAAAAAGACAATTAGCTAAAAAAGATCAAATAAATCAACTTGAAAAATTTCAAAAAACTAACCTTGAGAATAATGAATATTGTTTAAAACAGTCTTTAATCATTGTCTTAAATGTCAATTACCAAAAAACTAATTAATTAATAATAATAAAAATAAAATAATGTAATTTTAATTAATGAATTTAAACTTTAAACACTTAGTTTCACCGTGATTTTACATTTTAACATAAAAAAATGAAGGAAAAATTTTCATAGAATGATTCACGACCTACTAGTAATGCCAGCTCTTTGTTCAATTAATGCTCATCCTCGAATATTCTCGGACTAGAACAACTAATTCGTATGAAGAAGGACAGTACGTTAGCTAAGAATATTCGAATTTGTCGACGCTCATATATAACATGATTGCCAGTGTATACACGCCGAGAGACACCGATTCTTCCGACGTACGAGGTCTGAATTATCAAGAGCATGGTCGAATATGTTACTTATACAGCTTATATGTCAGTTTTATCGCTTGCATTGCAATAAATTCTCAAGATTAACCGATTATTTCTACTTATTCAAGAGAGCTTATCTCCAAAATCAGTGGGTAGTGTAGCAATCACGAAATCATTTATGTTATTAAAATTGAAGATCATGGCTATTGGTAAATGAAAATATTTACAGATTTTCTCTACAGCTTAATTTTCACTTTCTATTTTCAATTAACTGTCAAAACTAAATAGACTAATCGTATACTTCAAATATTATTTTACTGATAAAAACTAGAATTTCTTAATAGATTAAAAAAATACAAAAATAATATCTCAGTAATGATGATGATAACAATAGAAAGCATATTCTCAATAGGTAATAACATAGAAAAACCATTTTTAAGTGACATTTTTTAAATACCATCAATAAATCCATTAAATAGACTAGACAGTTGAAGATAAAGAAATCTTGAAATAATTAGGTACTTTTTTGGATAAAAAATAATTGAAATGCAGGTGATGTTGACTCGTGGGGTAATTTCGTAATTTTTTTGTCACTGGGAGCTATAAAAAACAGAGTTGAAAATGAAAAAGCAATTAATTAAATACGATAAATTTCATTCAAGGTAATACCCGGTTACTATTTCGAATAACGAAGCTCACGTAGTCTTCGAGTATGCACAAGCTGTAGCCTGGTAGCAAGGAGAGATACCCCTGATGAATATTAGCAAAACGTTGAGCAATTAATCTGACCCTGAATATATCTTGCCACGAATCAATATAGAAGCAAGTTTTTTTTCCTCCAAGTTATACGTGACATATTACATCTGTACAGGATGTTGTATAGTCAATGAACTCTACCAAAATAATATATCTTGATACATATTCGATTGCAAGAACTACTATGTCACTAAGGTATTTCCATTTAATCGAACGCTGGTTCTCACGTTCAGCTTGATGTCAGCAATATTGCGAAGCGATGTTGGCTCAGCAGCTTTAGTCAAGTTTTATTCTCATCTATCTTTCTTTTTTCTCTATTTTTTTCCATTATTTTTTTTATTTCACACGCCAAAATACGTCATGAAGATTATTTGTATTTAATTTTAGAGTGAGGAAGTGTGATTTGGTAATTACCACTGACAAATATGCGTGACAAATTTGTTAGTCTATTAGTATAGTCATGGTCACGAGTTTTCTACGATAATTTTATAGATTACAGATAAGAAAAATTATCAGCTTATCTATTTAAGAATTGCTGTAAATAATTGAAACAATGATGAGACACATGACCGTAATCAGAGACCGCGTGACTTTTTTTCTATCTCTTTTCATTTCATCATAGATATTTTTTGCCGATATTATTTATCAGGTGTGAGAAGAGATGATTAAGGGAAATCGAGGTTGCAAGACAATATAAAATGGGTGCTGGTAGGTTCTCATGTAGGCATATGTATGAACACGCCTCGTTGTGCTCTGGATAGTCAAGCTAATCCACTTTGTCAGCTTTAACCGGCGTCATTGTCGTTCGCGCCAGTTTCATCGAGATGCTTGATGGTACTAGTGCCCTAGAGAAGCTTTTGCTTTTCTCTTTTTTCCGTTCAAGCAGACTCCGCTACTTCTCTTGCAAAATCATCTAAGAGAATTGATTGAAACAGTTCCCAACTACATTTTTTTGTTCATCAACACCTAAAAAATAACAAAAATCAAAATTAGGAACGTTGAGAAATAAATATAATCAAATAATCATTGGAAAAAAAAAATACAAATAATACTCAAGTCTATAGCGAGGTTGATAAAAAATTGAATTTTTAAATAGAGAAAAAGATTTGAATAAAAGAGAATAATCGAGATGCAGGATAAAGGCAGTACTTTGAAGAGCTCTTTCTCGAATAAGTCTTTAAATAGACTACTTTCATCTCACAAGAAAATTATTATAAAGGTTGAGGAAAAAACAGGTAAAGATGCATACTCTATATGCATTAGCTATTCATGTAAACGAAACATCGTTATATGTTACCTTTTGTAAATTTCTTTCCACATTATATAAAATAAATTGAATATTTAACTAATTGGCGAAATAGTTAAACTTTGAAAAATAAATAAAAAAATAAAAATTTTCCATCAACTAAGAAAACCTACTGACTAAGGAATAAATAAGATACTTGAAGGAATGAATACTTGATGAAATTTATCTTTTCATTTGATCACTGTTGAACTTAAAAACACCATTTTTTAAATGAAAAATATTTAAAAAAGCGAATCAAGGTTTTTCAAGGATGAAACGACTATAAATGCAAACGTTAATTGCATTAATTATTTATTTAACCAAATGTCAACATTTGAAACATTCATAAATTTTTCCATGATGACAATCGATTGATGCATAAAATCGATTGTTATAAACACAATCAGCGATTACAATTTTTGTTACGTATATGGCGCATCCTTCAAACTATTAGGCTAACTGGTAGTGTTTACGAATGGCCCCTCGCACGGGTTTATTTAATCATTTTATTCCATCACTTTATTTAATTACATGTTTTATTTATCTATTTATTCAATTTATGGCGGGTGCCGGTTTCATTGTCAAACTCAGGGATGCTTACTCTTCAATCGTTGAGTCAATATATGTTTATATTCCACTATAAACATCACACATACACTCTTTCTCTCTCTATTTTTCTCTTCAAAGTCATTCATACCATCACATTTTCCCATCTTTCCAATAAAACAATCATCCCAACTACATTTCGATGCATTGTGCGTTGGCATTGTATGACGTACGTCTCATGGGCATTTATCTATGCACATTTAATAGAAACATTTAGTAAGCATCCACCAGTAGAGAAAACAAAATATCGAAGACAACAAATCGGCACTTCCGTTAAAAAATACCACGAGTCCAATTCCTTCATTGAAAAATTCCACATGGCTTTAGTTCAATTAAATACAGTTGTATTCAATTATCTACTTTTAACCTGAGCTATTGATCCCCACAAAAAAATAATACATTTTAGCTATTTATTAATAACATATTCATTTGATATATATAAAAAATAAATATTTCCAATGTATAACAACATGATAAAAGAATTAAAATATCAAAATTTTACTATTGTTAACTTTAATAAATTATTCATAAAATTATTTATGTATATTGTTCAACGATCAATGATAAATAATTCAAAATAGATTCAATAGGAATCAAGGATAATCAATATCATGCTTATTAATTTCAACATATTTTTGTTAGTACCTTGAAAGAATATTATTTTTCAGTGGGAAAGTTTTATGAAATCCCTATCGAGACATATTTTAATTTACTCACACCGATATCTCCTGAATTTGCACACGTTTTTTAGCACTTCCGGGAGTACCTGGTTGTCGTAGAATACCTGAACAAACATTAGGCGCTGGTACTTTTGGTGGTGGTGGTGGATCAGGTAAAAAATCATCTTCATCATCATCTTCAGCAATACCACGATCATGAGCCTCAAGTTGATTATTTTGGGCTGCGACATCAACACACGGTGACGGCGTTCTACTGCGTATGAAACCAGGACTTTTGCTGATTGCGTAAGACGGAGGATCAAGTGACATTCTTTTACCTCCAGGCGGTGGAGAACATTGAAATTCTTGTAGTTGAAGTTCAAGTTCTTCGGCAAGTTTATGTTTATGACTAGAAGGACTTGATGAAATAGAGGAATCCGAGAGTACAAAGGACGACAGTCTTGAATGTTTTCCACTAACACTAATTGCATCAATTCCAGAACATCCGGCTTCAAGAAGTCTCTCTTTCTTTTTATGCTCCGCATAGCCCATGGACATTGATGAAGACGAAGACCCTGCAGCAACAGCAGCGGCAGCTGCCGCATTGCGATCTCTCTGGTGATAAATCCCAGCGAAGATAAGAATGTTCAATAGTAGAAGAAATATACCCACTGCGATAGTAACTGTTAATGCAGTAGTGTAACTTTGGTAGTGATTGGTAGCAAATTTACGAAGAAGATTGTTAGATCCTGGTGATAATTTAGGGTGTGGTTGCTGTGAAGGTCGAATTAATTGTGGAGAAATAGTGCTTATGGGCATGACTGTAATGTTTGGTGAGCATTCAGTACTTTCGATAGGTTTCAACGATATAGATGCTTCAGTAGGTGTCGGTACTGATAATGGAGGAGGTGGAAGTGGTAGTGCCATACTTTGTGGACGCACTGCACCTTCATAGAGACTTGGGCTTTCTGCCAGATGATGATGACGCATACTAATCTCATAGCCTGGACGATGTAACTGCGGCAAAAGATTCAGCCACAAGGACATTTTGTGACCCCGATAATGTGAACGCATTTCTGGTGACCTGCTAACTTCCAGATAAAGTTGATTGATCGAGTCGTAAGAATCCCAAAAGGGTTGACCTTTTATAAAATCCTCGCCCACTCCACCACCATTCGGATCGCTGGAATAAATACAATCGATTTATTCAATAACAATTCAGTATTCAATGTGTCAATAACAAATAAACTTACCCCCTTCGAACGAAATTTGAAAGGTAACGCACAAGCATGCGAGATAGACTCTCTTCTTCAGGAGTATAGTTGGTTGGAGATGAATAGCGATTCGGTTCATTACGTAAAAGTGGAATACCCAATAAATAAGGAAGCTCTTCTCCACGTTGACTAGAATGATCACCTGGTTGAAAGTGAAAGAAGTAACCTCGTCCACCTGATGATGAATGCAATAAAGCTAATCGAAGAAGTGGCGCAGCTACTTGACCATCACCTAATAATGATAAAAGTCCTTCCTTGATGACATTGGGACTTTGTTCATCCTTTTCCCAGTCTGTATATTCATTCTTTAGTGTTGAATATATTTCATGCAGATGATAACGATAAGTGTTCCGTACAAATGTTCTTAATATCCGGTCTCTTCGTGTCGAATTGATGCCATTCTAAAATGAAAATCAATTTCCTCTAAATAACCAAAAGTTGCAATGCACATTTTTGTGATTAGAAGCGTTGATTTAATTAAGAATTTATCAACCATGTTATTCAATATCAATAAAATCAATTTTATGCTATTTTAGTTGAGTGAAAAAAAAATTATTTCTGATTTTTTAATAACCCTGAACAAACATTGAGCCTTAAAAAATAGAGATGAAAAAATATTGTTAATTTATAATAAAATCACACATTTGTATACGACATTATTGATTTTTTTCATGATAAATCATAACTAAAAGAAATTGAATAAAAGTGGATTTTATGAAAAATTGTTTCAACTGAAAAATGTTTCCGTTCCACTTGGGTACATTTTATTATCTATTATACCATGATTTTTAAAATGAGCGAATATTTTCTAGATTTTTCACACTTTTCACAATTTACAAGCTCAACACATAAATGAAAATAAATTCAAACCCATTACGAAATAAATTTAACGTTTAAGGATTAGAATATGGCTCTTTAAATGTATTTTAAAGAGGATATTACGTTGAATGTACGTCGAGAAATTGAATTAAAATGAAGGCAGCTTCAAAAAAAAACTCGAGAAAATTCAAATAAACTGTAAAACTATTTTAAACTTTTTCGATAAATTGATAAAAAAAAAAAATTTGTATAAAAGAAAAAAAATTGAAAAATGTAATAAAAGTAGTCAAAAGTAGGTTTGAAAAATTGAATTCAAATCGTAACTGAATACAAAAAGTTCTACCTTTAAATCATCCTCACTTATATCCAACCATGCCTCACAGGATGTCAATCCTAAAAGAAGATCACGATTTCCTAAAGCAGCAAATTCACTTCCTGGCCCTGGGAAAAGCGGCAAAATACCAGCGGATGTCGTAGTAGGTTGTACAATCTTAACAGATAAAAATAGATGTAGATAAAAAAATGATCAAAAAGAAAAAACTTCAAAAACTCACCTGAAATGAAGCTAATGGTAGTACTGTACCATCAACAAAAGGAGCAAACCCAGAAGTAAATCTCGGAGTATCAAGATGTACGTTAAGTAGTTCTTTGATGTCTCTTAAACGTAAGCAAACAGTAATATCATCGGATTCAACGTCCCCTAAACATCCTGTTTGTTCAGCTACATGTCGCTTGATTGTGATAGGATCTCGTTGTATAGCCCATGGCGATAAAGCAGACCCGCCTAAGAGTATTACTCTCTCGACAAGCTCCTTAGCCATTGGTGAAACTGCTAGAAAGTTAGCAAGTGCTGCACCAGTTCCAAGTCCTAAGATACTTAATCGTTCGGGATCACCACCGAAAGCTTCGACATTCTCTCGAAGCCAATGAAGACCCGCAACGAGATCCATTAAACCGTAGTTACCTTGGGTACTTCCTTTTGTGCCAGTTTTGAGGAAACCTTGACATAAATCATCACACATTCATTTCAATTCATTTTTTAGTTTTAATTAATTAACATATACACATTTATTTTATGTTCATTATGTAATAATAAATTCTCAAAACATTTGATACCAATATTGATATATTTATTTCAATAGAATATGATATAATTTTATTCTCACTCGTGATGAAAATATCATTGAAAATTTTCTATTTAATTGAATAAATCCTCATATGAGGATAATAACAACATAAAATAAGTATTTATGAGAGCAGGTATTAAATTTAAATTATTGCCACATAATAAAGCTTATAAATAGCAGAAATAAAATTAAAAATACTCATTTATTGTACAGAGTAGTTTCTACGCGTACTACTGCAAATGAATATGAATGAAAAAAAAAAATCAATTAAGCGTAATTTATTAAAATGATTGTTTAATTTAGGCGACTAGACAAATTATTAGTCCATGAAGCCTATATTACGGGCAAGATAAGACACGTGAAGGGAGTATTAAGGCCTCTAATTACATACCCAAGATACCTAGACGGAAATTAATTGATACTACGATGAGGCGGCCGTGAGCGGCCAGGGCAGTGCCATCCAAAGGATTTCCTGCTCCCCAGGAGTAAGAGTCTCCGTGGATAAGGAGCAAGGTTGGCAGCAATTCCGTGCTACTGCCTGAAAATTTATGATGCCGTTTCTGAGAATTGCTACATTCGTGTTCACCGGTCGTTAGTTGAAACTAGAACATGATTATGAAGTGATGAGGTAGTAGGAGGAAAGGGAAACGGACCGGGAAAGTGACGAGACATCCACCTGTTGCAGAGAAATCCTGATGGCATCTCTAGTTAAAAGGATTGACCAAAACCGCTACTGTAGAAGAAGATATTCGTAGGATGACCACAGCCAGTTCAAAACTTTGTAGACTAATTCTTCTATCATTGGTTGATTCTTTGCTATATTAATTTTCCTTTGATGATGAAGAAGAAGGAAGCACATGAAGTTGTTGAAGAAAAAGCAGCGTCGATTTGACGCGAGACCACCTCACTCCCGCGGTGCTTGCAGGTTATTGCGGCATCGAATCGTCTACAATGCACTACGGAATTGAAGTGGCAACGCGTTAGATTCAAGGTATTCCATCTTCGTTTGAATATCATCTGGCTGAAGCATTGACTCTTGATGGCCTTTTCTTGAATTCAGTTCTGTCATTCACTCGATATCATTCATTGAGGATTGCATGGACTAAAATGGGTAAAAGGAATATGGGTATAGAAGTGTAGAAGAGAAAGAGAAGAACATAAAAAAGCAGTCACCAAACTCACTGAATGCTTTACTATTCAGCTCCTTTCAACGATATGTCAACTATCTCTTTCTCTTCCTCTTGATATACATACTCATCCATGTATGCGCTCAACAGCATTAGGAGCATTTATTATCAACTAGACTGAACTTCCACATAAATATCAAACAAAAAATAGGAGAATAAGAAAAATAAAAAAAAATAAAACTCACCATGGGGTGGCCGTGGCACGTAGAGGTTGAGGTAAAGGCAATCCTCGCTTTGGTTAGCAAGTAAGGGCGTGATTCTCTCGATGTAAGCGCGCTTACGACGCGACAAATTAGTCTCTGATCCTGGTATCTTCTGCGGGCACGCGGGTGGCAGTGTATCTGCAAGTCTTGTGCCTCGCCATTGGTTTGGGATAATTGGTGGCATATATCGAAGTGCACCAACTGGTGGTGTAGCATATGGCACACCCAGATAAACCTCAACACCTTCCACGGACATGGAGCGTGCAACAATACCTCGCAATGTACCGTAGCGTGTTCTAACTTGTCGGGGACTATATTTAAGTTGCTGTTGACTTCCAGGTGATGCGAGAGCATGACATAGCTGCATTGCATACAGGAAGCCCAAGGCGATGAAGAGTAAAGATGCATGTCGAGTCTTGGCTCTCGGCACTCCTTCTCGTTCCAATATCGGTTTGCGATGTTGTGGCTTCTTTTTTCCCCAGAGAATCGTGCAGGAGGGGCGCGTCCGCATCGCGTCACGCCGCCGCGGGCCGGCCCCTCCGGGCACCGCATCTGTAAGAGCCTCTCCTCCTTCCTGCTTTCTCTCTGGTTGGAAAAGCCTCCACTGTTTTCTCGGATTTCTTTTTCTTCTGTCTTCTTGTACGTTCCGCTGGTGGCGGCACCCGACGCCACGCCACCGCACTTGATGCTCCTCGACGATGATGCTCCTCGACGTTCTGGTCCGCCTCCTTGATTCTTCTTGTTGAATAATGACACTCACGCACGGCCTTTATCTTTATCTGCTGCCACCAGCACCAACGACGATCCCACCGAGACCAACGAGTCGACCTCGTGCTTGTTGTGACTGCTCCGATGAGCCAGCTCAGTTCCATCCTCCGTTAAAGTCCGCCAGAACGACACTTGCTCGGTCCACGGCGACTTCACCGACACTGACACTCGCACCTGCTGCACCGACCACGTCCTATCCGGTCCACTAAAATTCTTCATTAGTCTTTCATTAAAACCATCAACCCTCAACGTTCCCCAGTTTATTATTGTCAATTTACTTTCACTTCGCTCTTTCTTCTCTTCCTCTTCATTGCTCATTATTAAATCTCCTCCTCTCTTGTTGCTTCTTTTTAGATAGAATCCGTCTATCCATCCTCCAGAGTAATGTCACACCAGCAATCTTGAATGATTGACTGACTATCGCGGATCAAGAGATCCCGATGTTGACTGTCTCTGGTCTCTGATCTGATGGTGACCAGTGAGGTCCAGTGACACGATGACGACTAAGCAACCGCGAGGTCTGCACCGATTACTTATACCGCAGCTTCCAATGTAATTTAGCGCGCACTCTCATCAAATATCTGTGTGTCGCGACTGTCCCGGGCTCTACTACTGCTACCGCGAAAACGCTCGCGCTTCATCTCCCTCCGGTTCTCGAGGACGAAGCGACATACAACGGCGCCGACGCCGACACCGGGCTTTACCCCCAGCCATACTCTATCAAGCACCCCCGCAACGATCGATAGCTCCACGGCAACCCTCGGCAACCCCAGTCGTTTCGTCGTTTTTCCCTTTACCCTTCCAACCTCTTGCATCCTTCAAATCTCTCTCACGCGTTCTTCTCTTCCATTCTTCACTCCCTTACCTAACTCACTCGTCGTCATCCTCCCCGTCCTGATGGACTATCTTACTCCCCTCACTCATCCAGTAACGTAAAAAAAAATAGCCACCTACTATTTTTTCTTCGTTTCAATCTCACAAAGAAACAAAGAAGTCGAGACTCTTCAATTCTGGCATGCGTCTACAGCAATTGCTGGCAGTTGGCCAATTTCCTTTTTTCTACTCCATAAGAAATAGAAATTCAGACCAGTCGCAATCTAAAAATTATTAAAACTTTCAATCCATCATCACTATATATCGCTGCAACTAGCTTCAGTAGGAATGATTCGTACCTACCATTTAGTGAAAAACTTTCGCGAAGCCTTTAGTCCTCATCGATCGCAGTGAAAAGCTTCTTGGCATTTCTTGAAGTAATGGACAAATATTTAAGATCCTAAAAGCCGATAGACTAAAAAATTCCCAAGACTTTTTCTTTCAATTCTACCCCTCCCTTACTATATATTTTCTCATGCATCATCATCCTCTTCAGGTAGACGAAAAAAGGATGTTTTTGGCTAATTTTAGATCTACAGGTCCCAAATTATTTCAGTTAGCTGCAACTATTCTTCAAAGAAACATTCAAATTTTCTCTCTCAATAATAACAACCGTAATAGAAGTGAATGTTTAATTAAATCATAAAAAAAACTTTTTCAACTAAAAAAGTGAAATTGGAAAAAAGTCAACTCACACAATGGCAAGGATTTATTTTATTTGCTTTTCATTTTTTATATTACCTACTATTTTATTCGCCGAATCAATGGAAAATGCATCTTCAACCACTACGAATACTGATCTGCAAAATCTTGGATCATGGATGTCTTATGGTAAGCAAGCTTATTATTACTGGCAGCCAGAAATCAATATGATCCGATGTATATTCAGTAAACTCTGGAATCTGACTTATAATCATATTCAAAAGACCAATGAAAAAGTTTCTGTAACTTATGCAGCTGCACCTGTGAAAGAAAATTCTGGAAATAAAATGGAAAAAATATTCAACCAAACGTATAGTGAGATAGATACAAACATAGTGAGCATCAACCCACGAGAGGGTAGAGATGCAGGAGGAAAAAAAGAGCTCGAAAGAGGAAGATTAGCGTCATTATTGGGCGTCACGGGTGAGCGATCTGTTAAGGATTACAACTGTACTATTGTAGCAGGTCGAAAAGTTGACGAATCAAATAAAAATTCTGAGGGAGAAGTTGAAAAAGCAATATTACAAATTATCCTAGATAGTAAACCAGTTGGACCATTGATTGTCAAATCACTTCATTCTATTTTTTACGTTATTCAAATAATTGTTAATTGGATAAGGAAATCATATGTACTATCATGCCTATCGAATTATATTCAAGAAAAGTTTTCTGAATGGTTCTATTTAAATGTATAAAGAATTAATTAATAATAAACTGACTAATGAGTTAATGATATTGATTCATATAATATTTAGCATGTAGTAAACATTGATCAAATAATCTGTTTGATCAGTTTGAAGAGAGATTAATAGACTTGCTTAATTAATTTAGGTATCGAAAGAGATAATTCTCATTTCTAACTCTTATAAATTATATACTTAGAGTAAGTAATTGTAGATTAATAAATATAAGAATATTTTTATATCGTTATAATTTAAATTTAATTTTTTATTATTATTTACCAATAATCTATCAGTTTTTTTCCTCTAAATAAGCTACTTTTAGGATGAAAATTATTTCAAGTGAATAAAAATGAAAGAATGTCGAATAATTAAGTACTTTTTCAACGATTTATTGAAGAATAATTATGATATAATAATAATTTTAATTATAAATTAATTAAGAATTAAGCTAAATATCTTTTTTATATCTAATTAGAGTTTGATATAAATACAATTGATTGTACACTTGATGAAAATTTGTAATTATTGATGTACAAAGTGAAATGAGCGAAAGACATATACACAATGAGCTAATAAATAAAAAATGTCAAACTCAATATTGATTTAATAATAAAATATTTGATTGTGTTTAACTGAAAGAGGGAAAGTAATGAGAAAATAAACCTTGTAAAGAGCTTATCAAATAAATATTGAGTGCAATCGTTTTGAAAGTGAGGTCATAATATAAAGCGAATCAATTTTTCAAGCCACCTGTTGCACCTGTAAAATCGACAGGGATCAACTCCAAGTCCTTAGAGGAAGGATCGTCTTGAGAAAGTCATGTTCTCATAAGATCTACAATTGTTATTATATTTTTTTCAGATTGTCAAGTTGTCTGTACAAAGAAGAAGGCTCAAATGAAAGTGGAAAAAATAGAATACCAGAATGAAAGAAGAAAAAAATAGCAAAAGGGGAGAGAAAAGAAAAAAATCTTCTTCAAGCATTTTGTCAACGTTGGATGATGTTTGCTCAAATTCATAAATCATTCAGATGAAATTTCTATTCTATGAACTGTTGACATAAGTTTAGATAAAAGAGAAGGCTGATCATCTGTAAAAGTCGGCGAATTCTTCTTTATTTCTACGACCCTTTGGGCAACGAAGAAAGGTATTCATCTTCAGAGAGGTAGTTTTCCCTTGGGTTAGTCAAGTTCTCATAAAGAAAATGACTGTATTCAACGCCAGGGCGTTCAATTAAAATCATGAAAGGCTAGATAAACTTTCAAAAACATCAGTATCACGCATCATAATGATAAAAATTAATATTTATCAGGCAATTGCGGCTGAATAAGCATGAAAATCATTCACTCTATTCACTTTTCACTTCCTTTTAATATTTTTTCTACCTATAAAGTAGACACTATTTCAAGTCGTTTGGTTCTCTTTCACAAGTAAAGAGTTGCTTAAACTCACAGAACTCTTGTAAACTTTCCCCATTTTCCTATGCCTCATCCTCCATGAATTCGAGAGTACCTTTATCATGTCCCGAATATTGCAATCATAACTGAAATCTTCGTAATACTTATTTTACAAGTAGCATACTCCATTTAGAACAGTTAATGATCCTTATTAAATGAATTTTAAGGAGACATAACAGAATTTTTCTAACTACTTTAACTCAATATTAAATTTTATTCAAATTTTATGAAAAGTTACTTTAAAATATTTATTTAATCACTAGACTCTAAGTTTGAATGAATCAAGAATAATTTACACCAAGAAAACATTACTTAATTATATGCTCAAAAGTCCTTAAATAACACTCAAAGATGTTCTTAACATTAATTTCAATAATTCTCTTTCCATATTTGAATATTTGAAGGAAAATATTTGCATATTAAACATTATAATCAAAGTATCTCGACCTAACAATTTTATTGTTTTTCTTCTTTTCAGTATTATCAATGATTCTAAAAGGAAAATTTATTTTTGACTTAAATTCATTACTGGAATGTGGCCAAAATTACTAATTCGTATCCGTTAAACCATTTTTACTTAATATAAAAAAAAGTTTATAAGTCGATTATTTTATTTAAAATACTAATGATAAAATCCCTCATCCGAATAATATTTTGGAAGAAAACATATTTCGAGTTTTTTTTTTTACGAGTCTTACATCTTCATTAACGATTTTATCAAACTCTTCATCAACAAGGCCTTTGAAACATATTGATGTTTTCATCAATGAGTTTTTTTCATTATATTTATTACCAAACAATTTTGGAAATAAATTTAATGAATTCACCGAAAAATGTGCATCAAATAGTTGACTTAATTGAAAAAAATTTACACAATAATGAATAGTTTTAATTAATCCTAAATTGCAGGACAAAAACAAGCATTTTCATAAAGTGAATGGTGAAGATACCATTGATAATTCTGATGAAGGGACTACTACTGATGATCCAGATATTTTAATCAAGAACTATAGTGATAGTGAAAAGAGTGATAATTTGAAGATTTAATTAACACAAGGTCCGACTTTGAACTTATCTGGTTTAAGGTTCAACGCATACTAATTTGTCACTTTCCTCACATTCCAATTTCATAGAATCGAAAAAAAAAACTTTTAAATAAACTCATTTATTATGAAAACATTTATTAATCTTGAATGCTGCAAATTTGACGTTACTAATCATCGTATTGTTAAATAAAACAATTCGAAAATTTGTATAATAAACATAATAAAAAATAATTGTTCTGTACTAGACACTAGTTACACTTATTATACCAGCGTATACCAAACGAATAAACAAATACATAAAATGCGAAATTAAAAACAATCCATGCTTAGAAATGATTGTTCAATGACAGCTTGAGAACTCATTAAATTGAATATTATACTTTTTACAATAGCTATTGTGGAATTAATAAAAACCACCTGTTGTGCTGAATTCCTGAATCAAGCTCAACTTATTTTAAGCTTCATTGAGTGAATTTGAATGTTCACTTCGGATAATCAAGTGCCAGAGTAGTCGTGTGATATTATTTTACGGCTTGTTAATATCAATTAACTACGATTACGCGTTGAATTTCCACGTAAGTAAATGTATTATAAAAAAATACTGTGACATTATAATAATAACAATAATTCTTCACCATTATTGTTATTATTATTTTTTTTTGTAATAATTGAAATTGTTACACTAACTATATTATCCATCGGATGTTGTTTTTGTCGTAATCCAAGCAGACTCGATAACAGATAATCCTCGTATATAGCTCTTACCAGTAACAACAACTTCCGTAAACAAAACTAGAGGTGGCTTCAAACCGTGAAGGGTCGATGATGGATGAATAGCAACAGGATGTTTCGTAGAAAGCTACAAATTCGAAAAGAACAGAAGAAGAATAGTATATCATTTATTCTGAATTCTGGATATCAGATTTTATGATTGAATAATTCAAAAGAAAGTTCGAAAGATGTAAAAAAGAAATATGGTATTCAATGCCTTGAAAATTGATTAATTTATTAAATAACCATCTATTTTATTGAATTTAAGAATTTATTTTTGATTATTATTATAAAAAAATATAATAATAAAAAAATTTTAATACTTACTGTTATATATGTGTTATCCCTCTGTAATTCGGCTAAATTATCTGTAAGACCTTCCAAAAGACATTTCCTCAAAGATGCGGTATCTGCCCCACAACTGGACTTCTCAACATTAGCTCTCTCTGCTAATCTACTTAACTGTGACCTGACTTCTGTTGCGTATTCTAAATTCCGGTGGTGAAGAAAGTTCTCCTGGCACCAAACCTTTTTCTGGGTAGCATTTGTAAAACCCCGATAAACATTAAGTAATGTTACGTGGTCGCCTTCAGGTGATGCAAAGCTAAAAAAGTTTCAAGTGAATTATTTTATTGGGGGAAAACATCGATGAAAGTTTAGCTAACTTTCTGGAATTTTTTGCTTAAAAAAGTTTATGTGGTGAGATCGAAATTTTTTATACTTTTTTTTTTACAAATTCTTACGATTTAATGAGGGTAATGAAAATAAATAATTACTTAGCTCGCGCTGCTAGAGCTTGATCTCTTTTTGCTGGTCGTTCGACAAATACAGATTCACCAGAGAGTAGAGCAATTACAGTAAGCGCTTCATCAAGACATCGATGTTCAACGGAAGCAAGAAGCACCTTAGTAAATCGAGGGTCTAACGGAAAGAGAGACATCGTTCTTCCAAGCGTCGTTAATTGAGGAGGAGAACCTGTTAATTTTTAATTCAATCATTAATCAATTCTCTCAAGGATATTAATTATTGACTTCATTTTCTGAATAAGTCCTTAGCAATGGGGCTTTTATTGATTTATCATTTATTACGTAATATTATATTATTACCTTTAACCGCCTCCAGTCTTTCTAAGCACGAAACAGCTACTTTAACTGAGTCTTTTGGAGGCTTATCCATAAATTCAAACGTCGTAATATCGATTCCAATAGCTAATAGTTGTAAAGCTACACCAGCTAATGAACATCTTTGTATTTCAGGTATTGGCATTTCCTTCATCAATGCAAATTCCTCTTTTGTAAATGTCCTGTAGCATTTTCCAGCTGATTCCCGACCTGCTCTGCCTGTTCTTTGCCACGCTTGAGCCTTAGATACTTTTTCAACTTTTAAAACATCTAATCCTGTTGTTGAATGATGAGTTCTAATTTTTACAACACCTGTATCAATAATATGACGAATTCCTGTAATTTAGTATACTCAAATTAATTTATAAGTTCAATTAGTTTCTATCATTAATTTTATTCATCAATTTATGTTTTTACCTGAAATTGTGACAGAAGTTTCTGCAACATTTGTTGATAAGACTAATTTTCTCATTCCCGCTGGCGAAGCCTTAAAAGCTTCTAATTGCTGATGAGTTGGAAGTGCTGAGTACAGCGGAAATACCTTCAGGTTTGGATATCCTTGACCGTCCAATTGTTTTGCTACTTGTCGTGCAGCTGTGACGGCAGCTTCTATCTCTTCTTGGCCCGTTAAAAAAACTAAAATATCTTCACTGAAATAATTCGATAATTCATCTTTCAAAATAATTGAAGTGATACAATAATAATTAATTATATTAGCTATAAGCTATTAATTTTTCCGTTATTTACTTGATTTATTCAAGAAGCAAAATTAAATTATAAAACAAGATAAAATTGAATAAACAATTCTTACTTTGCTGGAGCTTCTCGATGTATTTTAAAAGCGGTAGCTAAAGCAGCAAGTGCATAATCGTCATTAGATTTGATAGAATGATAAATTTTTACAGGATGTTGACGACCTTCAACATAAACAACTTGTGCTTGGAAGTATTTGACAAACTTGTCAACATCCATTGTAGCAGACATAATTAAAAGTTTTAAAGGTGGAAGATTTTTATGTTTGCGAATATTTTGTGCTCGTCTTGTAACACCAAGAAGTACGTCTGTTTGAACAGATCTTTCATGGACTTCATCAAGAATAATAATGGAATAATCAGAGAGATTTTCATCAGTCATTGCTTCTCGAACCATCATTCCATCTGTTAAATATTTTATTCTTGTTTGTGGACTTGTGACGTCTTCGAATCGCACAGAGTATCCAACAAGTTTGCCTAATTGAGTCCCTTGTTCTAGGGCAACTTGACCAGCAACGCTAACCGCAGCTACTCGACGAGGTTGCGTGACACCAATACATCCTGATGAACCAGCTAGTCCACTAGATAGTAAGAATTGAGGTATTTGTGTTGTCTTTCCACTTCCAGTTTCGCCAATTATAATCAGACTATTGTTGCTTCGTATTTCTTCCAATAATCTTTTAAAGTTTAATATTTCAAAATTAGAATATTTTCTTATCTATTTAATTACAAAAGGTTTTATACAAAAGTATTTCTCGAAGTTTCATTATTGAAAAAAATAATTTTATCAGATCATGCTACATTAAATAAAAAATAATTAGCAATAAATTTTTTTTAATACTCAATTTCCAGCTTTAAATAGTTATTATTGATAAAAATAAGTATTTTTAAATTTACAATCTATGACAAATGCTTTATGGTACGCGCTTATCTCTACGTTGGTAATGAAGAAAGTTACAAGGTCGATAAATTATTTAATATCGGTCATAACGTTAATTGTTTTATCATTACAAAAAACAGTCTTCATCAAACGATTCAAAGGAATACGTTGAGGTTATATTTTTAAATTATCTGAATTCTTGTAATAATAACTTCGTATAAGCACATACATCAAAATACTAATCGTTACCTTTTTCGTAGCCTATAAACTGGCAATGATTTTCTCTGTTGTTGAATATTCATTGATATCTTATCGATAATTTCTCCATTGTTATGATCAGAACCATGCTGTTCAGTTTCTCCAAATACTACAGTCGTCGGTTTTTTAGGAGTTAATTTCGAAAAATTGGAATTACCTATAATGTTATACTTTGAATCACCACTGTCATGTACTCCCATATTTTAAAATCGTTAAAATATCTAAAATCAAATTGGTACACTAACAGAAACCTTTTTAAATATTCAACTTCATGGATTTCATTACACACGTGTTGAGTGACATTGATACAAACAGCTGTTGCATGTTTTTGATGTAGAATCAACCTCGCATGCCCTCTTTAATGAAAAATGAGAAACTCTTTTTTTTTCTCATAAAAAACCTTAGACTGTACTCTTTATCTTCTGCTATTTTATCTAACAATATAAATAATTAGAAAGAAGTTCACTTCACTTTATAATTATTTAATTAAAAAATTTTTTCATAAATGAACAATTTTTATTGTAACACTTTTTACTGATTTAGAAGTGATTATTTTTTTCTCTAGATAATATTGGCAGTCCTGTAAAATAACACTAACTATATATATAATTGACATCTGTCAGTGTGTCTAACCAATCGAAGAGCGTATATAAATAGGAGTAGACGTGGATAATAAATTTATTGTCGATTAACGAGCATTTATACTTAAAAAAGTGTGATTAAACAATCTTCTAATTATTCAATATTCTATTGATTGTTAAATTTTATAAGTTATTCAAACTGAATATAATTTTTATCAAGATTTACTCATTACAATTGTAATCTAAATAAACATGTAAACATACATCCCGCGCATGTATAAGTTGTGCTAATGCATTGTAGTGTGAGTAAATCGTCAGGGAGGTCAAGTTGGAGATGTAGATGTGAAATCATGTGTTATATATTTTACAATTCAGCAGAAACGTGATTTTTATCAACCTAAAACCAACTTGCTAATAATTAAAAAATTTTTAATAACAATGAAAGTAGGACAATAAATTATATTTATGTTTTTATGAAATCGGATAGAATAATTTTTTGTGCTTCCTACAGTGAAATTTAATATTAAGTGGAATAATTCAATATTGATATTAATTATTCGATAAAAAATGAATTCTTGAATCAATTTAAAGTATATATTTTAAAAAAATAAAAATTTTATAAAATTTTTATAATAATATATTGGTTAGAAGTAGAAAAAGTTAGAGTATTGACACGATGCATAGTGAAAATTGCCCCTCTATGAATTTTCGAGAGGGATCTGAAGCACTTTCAGTTCATTCAACAGTTAATTCTTCAATTTTAGAAGAAGATCTTGCTTTAAGTTCATCTATAAATGGTAAATAATCTCAAATATACTTACTTAACGAGACACTTATAATTTCATTCACATTATACTTGAATTTAATTTATTTCCAGTCAACTAATACATTGCGTAATGTTTCTTTTTAGCAACTACGGATAAGACAAATGAAGACACAACGACAAAATTTGTTTTTTACGAACCCGGGCCACAAAAGGTGGTTTACTTGAATGAAGAGACAATGGATTGTAATTATTCTGAAACTACAGAAACTCCAAAGAAGGTTAAAAACTTTAACAATGCAAATAATGACGTATCCAGTCCCGAGCTGTTTAACAGTGACGATGAAGATAATACTAATACAACATCCAGACCATTTAGACGAATTTTATCTCAACCTTTACAACCACCAATTGTTACACCTCGAGAAGTTACACAAGAAGAACGAATCACACAATCAGATAGTTATTTATTACATAGAATAAATAAATTTTTAACAGGAGTACCACCTCCTCCACGGTTAACAATATGTCAAAATGATTGTTCAGATTTTTTAACATATATCAAACAAAATAAGAATTTATTTTGGGTTGATCCATGGAAAAATGACAAAGCTCCAAGTGAAGATGCAGCTATTAATAATGTACAAAAAACAAATGATGAAGTTAATATTAAATATCCTTCACCAAGGGCTAGAAGTTTAAGAAATTTAACCAATGCTTTTGACGCTTGTGATAATTCTAGTAGTTCAGCTTTAGCAATTAAGTCAGAAGCGTCTAGTGATGATTTTAGTCAAAGTTTGAATAAATTAATATTAAATAATACTGAACCAAATATGGTGGAAAGTATGACTGGAAGTGAATTAAGTTTATCAAGCACATCAACAAATACTGCTTCAATAAGTACAGAAATCGAATTAAATTATAAAGATACAAAGTCCGTAACCTTCAACGAAAAACCAAAAAGACATTTAGCTATCTACCAGACAGCTAGCGAAACTGAAATTGAATCGATATCTTGGCCGGCAGCTTATAAACATAGAGCACAAGGTATTTATTATAACAGAAATAAATATATAGAAGAATTTGAAAATTTGACATTGAAATTATGTGCGAGATATATACATAATGAAACTCAATCTACATGTACCTCATGGTTCGTAAAGCAAATCCCAACAAGCACGAAGAAAAAAAGCCTTTTAGGTAAAAGTCCTGGAAAAAGATTAAGCCATTTAGCGAGAAGAAGAAGGACATTTTCTAGTGCAAATTTACAAGGGATGGCAGAAAAGAAACAGCTTGTTCTCAATTTGAAGAAACCTATGATTAGAAAAGGAAAAAGTCCTCGTGGAAAAAGTCCAAGAGGTAAAAATTCACGTGGAAAAAGTCCAAGAAGTTCGACTAAAAAAAAATTATGTAGAAGGTTGCTGATGAATAGTCCAAGCCCTTGTAAATCTAAATTGGAAACTTCCAAGCGAGCGTTATTTCAAAGTCCTACAAATGTTCGAGCTGGACCGAGTAAATTGAGTCAAATGCCTTCATTGAGTGATTCTCAGAAAATAAAAAGAGCATTATTTCCAACCCCTTCGAAGAAAAATGATAATATCAACGACGAGATGAAAAAAAGGAAATGTGAAGAAGAACTTGAAGGGCCGAGATCGAAAAAACCCAAAAGTTTATCATTTGATTGTCCATATAATTTAGAAAATAATAAAGATTCATGGACAGAAAAAAATTCTGCAGTAACTGTGATTAAAAGAAGTGAATCTTTATCACAGCCAGTTAAAACTGAACTTAGTGAAGTTAATAGAAAGGTAAGATGATGGAAACTTTTAAATAGTCTTCTTTACTCTGTTTCACTAATTATCCATGCAAAAGATGAACAAAAATTTATTCTAGTAACTTATAATTGTAAGTTTTTTTTTAATGAACCCAACATATAACTTTTTCAAAAGAAATTTAGTTTAATGAGATACGAAATAATTGCAATCAAACTTTTAAAAAATTTTTTTTTTTCGAATGGTTCATAGTTTTGAAGTTATCTAAAGAAGATAATGACAAAAACTTTTTTTTTTCAGAAATTGTTATGGGCTGTTAACGAAGCTCTACGATCCAAAGGAATTACATTGACTCATCCAAAGTTTAAACAATATGCGATGGAATTGGCACGAACAGTGAGAAGATGTATGCCAGACTTAGAGAATAAACATGCAGTAAAAAGGCCTGGCAGTACAAGTGATCGTATGTTAAAACTAGCTAAGCATTACGTACTCCTCATCAATGATGGAAAATGCGAATAGATAGTGAAAATAATTTACCTGGTGATGTGAATTTTTTGATAACGGTATTGTAATAATAAAATGTAATTAGCTTAATTATTTTTATTAAACAATGGTTTTATTTTATAATATATTTTTGAATGTGGTCAATGAAAATTAGACCATTCAAAGGACTTGTTAAAGGACGATTTTTGAGTGATAACTCGTTAAGACCTCATCATTGTACGTTTAACTTTGTAAGTGAAAAAAATAACTGTACTACTACATCTATTTTTATTAGCAATAAAATAGTATATTTTTTGCAAATTATAAATAATTGATAATAAAAAGGCGGCACCTCAGAAAAAATACAAATTTTTATGACTAATTTTTTTATCCTCATCTTATCTTTAAAACAACAATTTACACTTATGACAGATACATTAGATACACCTTAGATATAATTTTATATTATTTTACTGAGTTTTTTATTTATCTCAAATAATAAAAGAAGTTGAGTACAAAATTAAAACAAAAGTCTAACTCTACAATACACGATATAATATTAATGTGATTTTTTTAAATTTTTTATCGTGCAAAAATGTGCACGAAACTTATAATTAAATAAAAACTTTACTCGTTTTATAAATTAACAAAAAAATATTTTGAACATTATCTTTTGTTCCTTAAATAATGATAATAATAATTCTTTTTAAGTAAACCTCTCCTTATTTATCTACTAAATTACCTCTTCCAAGCAATTCATCCAAGATTTTCGTCAGTTCTTTGTTTTCTTTTACTTTTTGTTCGATCATTTCTGTTAAAGAATTGCTTTTTAGTTCCTCCTTCCTTAACATTGCTCGTAGTTTTAAAATTTCTGATTCATGCTGTTTATATATTGCATTTAATTCTTCATTTGCTCTAAAAGAAATCATGATAATTAATTAATTAAAACATAAAATTTATTATTTATATTTAAAACGTGAATTAAAATACTTACTTATCAAGTCGTGCTGCCGCATGAATTTTAACTTGCTCGTACCGATGTTCTAAAGCTTTAATAGTTGCTACATTTTCAGCAATACTCTCTTTAAGGGCAATTTCATTATTTTTTGACGTTGTACAAACAACTTTTAATCGTTCATATTTTGCATGAACGTCATTAAAAGCTGCTTCAGAAGCAGCCAAATGATTTTTAACTTCTTGAAGTTCTTCTAAAAGCGCTGTTTTTTCTGCATCTTGATTTTTCCGATCTTTTTCTCTCTCCGCTACCAATCGACTTATCGATTTTTCATACTCATCAACAACGACACTATTAAATATATAAAATTAGTATAAAAAAATAAAAAATTCGGAAAATGAATTAAAACAACAATTACTTTATTATCAACCCACTTACTTTATCTGATTCTTATGTTTTATTTCTTTAGCTATCTGCTTTTGTAATTGATTAATTGTTTCTTGGAGATCTTCTTTTTGTTTCTGATAATTTTTATTTTCTTCCTTTTCTTTTTCTAATTGTTCTTCCAACTGTAAAACTGTCGCTTTAACTAATTCTAACTCTTTTGCCATGGCAGAGTCAACGACAGGAACAGTATTCGAAGTATTTTTTTCAGGAGATTCCTGTTAAAAAAATTTAATTAAAAAATCTTATAATTATTTTCAGTTCTCTTGAATAAATGTAGAAGTTTTTTAATATTGAAAACTTACGATTTTCTCAGATTCTTCATTCTTTTGAATACCCGGAGTCATAGGACTATAAAAAAGTAATCTATCAATAGCCGCAATGGCAGGATTACGCTTAGGCGTTCCAATATTAGGCACGGATATGTCTTTTTCGCCATTCCGTTCATCATTTGATGGCGTAGCCGCGCCATTACCTTGAGGTAACATACTGGTGTTTGACACCAGTGGATCAAATTTTTGGTAGAGAGAATCTCTAAGTCTATCACTCAAATTTTTTTGTTCTGTTTTTGTTAACAGGAAATCAAAATTCGTAGGATCACGGAAAACTGAAACCAAAAAAAAATATGACAATTAATTATTTATCATCGGTTACCTATAAGCTTGATTGGTATTACTTTTATAATTTTACAATTGAATTATGATGAATAAAAATATTAAGAGTAAAAATCTTTATCATTCAATTAAATTCCTATTATTAATTATTTCACATAAGTATTAACTATTATTTAAAGAACGCCAATAAACGTAAAAATTTTAGATAAATTTTATCTATTTTTATTTGAATAACTTACGATCGTTTGATGCAGAAACGAATTGCTCAGGTTCATCAATAAGTTCTATTGATGTATTATCAATAGTATCATTAGCAATACTTTGTGATTGAGCTTCTAGCTTTTCAAATTCACTAGGAATATTCAACGTAGAATTTTGTGCATCAAAGAATTGAGATTCAGATGCTTCACGATTCTTCAAACACTGTTCTACCTCTGAATTCTGTTTTAAAGCTATACAATTTAAACTTGTACTTTGACGCTGCGGTGTGAATTCACCGTAATCTTGAGGTAAATTTAAATTCTCTGTGTGCAAAGCTACGGAACTAGGTTCTATTTTTTCAACCTCTTTTACTTCTTCAGAATTATCAGATTCTTTTTGATTGCCTTCTAATTCCGAAGAAAAATCAATATTTGAATCTAACACAATAGTGGAATCTAAATCACAATCTCCAGTTTCAATCTCTTCTTTATTTTCACTAAACAATTTATTTTCTTCAACTAGCTCTGATTCTTTTTTCACTGAAAGGTTTACCTTATCATCAATATCCTTTGGTGCTTGTTGTACTACTGAAATATCAGGCAAACGTTTCCCTTCAAGAGTTTCTTTTTCTGTTGAATTCTCACAAACTTTATTTTTTTCGACTGGTTCGATCACATAAGTAATCGATTCATTTACAGTCTGATTGCTCTTTCCTAGAGTGCTCTCTAAGCAAGATGATACGTTAGTCGAAGAGATTGCTTCATTCGAGCGCTCAAAAATAGTACTGAGATTATGATTTACCTGGATAGGTTCAATAGTAATAGTTTGATTATTTATATTTTCTTGTATCTTAGGAGCTTTCACAGGAAATGGTACTTTAAATTCACCATCAACATTAGCTGAATCATTAGTAGTTACTGTTGAAAAATTTGTTGTTTCAGATATAGGTTCATTCGCTGTTAGATCAGTAGAAATTTCTGCTGCTGACGATTCTATCAATTGATGTTTTGAGACCGATAAATGAATCGATTCGTTACTTAATTTTGACTGCAAAAAAGTTTCACTTGCTGTTTCATACTCGACAGAGTTATTTACTGGGCTGTTCTGTAAAACATCACTACTGTGAAAACTCTTCTGCAATGTATCAAGCTCTGTATTACGATTTAAACTAGGACTTGGAGGATTAGATGCAGCATAGGTCGTATTACAATTCTTTTCCAAGAACTGAGTAGCATCATTAATACTTGGAGAAACTCTTCCTGATCTTGCAAGATCAAAAGTTTGATCCAATTGTAATTCGTCTGTAGCTGAAGTGAATGTTGCGTCAGCAAATGAATGATCTCCACCTGCTACTATAGGATTTGTGTTGTCTAAGCGGATTTTCTCACAAGCTGATATTAATTCATCCAGTCCAGGGACTTCTAGATTAGTGTAGGAATCGTTTGATCTTGCTGGGCTGTCCAAACAAATTCCACTGCTACTCTTGGTGCTGAGTGTAGATGTCACACTTAAGAAACTACTTGCTGAAGATAAACTATTCTCTGTAGTTTTACGTCCGGGTGGATATGCTTCAGCATCAGCGAATTCTCGAGCAAATTTCACTTTAACTTCGTGCTCTGGACTAGCCTTGAGGATGGTTTCGTTCCCACTCTGTGAATAAAAATAAAAGACATTAGTAATTTTAAATATGAATAGACTTTAATTATAGAAAAGAATAGTATAAATAGAATTTTTATTTTTCATTGTTGTCGTTCTTAATATATAAAGAATATATATCTTTAAGAATTTATATCTTTATGAAGATGCCTAGTAAAAATTCAAATTTAAAAAGGTAAGATTTCATTTGAATTTTATTAAAAGAAAGTAATTTATGATACATGACTAATTGATAAATGGATCATCGGAATTATTGAAAACAAATTACTGAATATTAGTTAATAGTTTTAACTAAAAACAAAGGAATAGAAACAAAATATTGGACAGGTTCCAAAATGCCTAGAAAATGTTTATTTTAACTTTGTATTTCATTATTGACACTTGCTCTATCAAAAAAATACATTAAGAACAATATTACAATATAAACAAATATATTCCCAAACTTGGAAATACCTAACATTACTTTCTAGATCATCTTCGAAAAAGTTGAAAATGATTAATTAATTAAGTTCTATAGACAAATAATTTAAATTCATAGGTGTTGATGTTCAACAAAATATTTAAAAGTCTAATTGATTCATGAACATCTATTTTAGTTTATCTAATCAAATATTGACACGTATACCTTCGGTACAAATAAGTCTGATGGAGGTTCTGGTGATGTTGAAGCAGAAGTATTGGGTGAATGACGATTCAATAATCGATTGATCAAATCCATGACCAGAATTAATGTTAATAACTGAGTATAAAATTTATTATTCAAGTTTGATACTTTTTCACAACAATACGATAATATTTTAATGTATTTCTTGACTCTACACTCGGTAAACTGAAAACTATTATTTTTTCCAAGGTAAAAACAGTCAGCTGACGCTAGAAATCTGCGGTCCTGCCAATTGCGCAATCATCTAGCTGCTAGCTAATTATAAAAATATCGAGAGCAAGACAGTGGATGTTATATTTACAATAAGACAACGAAAACCATATCATACCTACTCAGTAATTTCTCTGTAAGCCTGCAGTTAAAAATTATAACAATGTCGGTCCGCAGTCACACGAGATAGTTTTAAATTATTTTTATATTTTTTAATTGTTCTTTATAAAATAAATGTAAATGTAATATGTCGCGTCTCGCACGCATGATGATGACATGTTTATGTGTCAGGCAGTGAGTTTCGCGCGTAAATCAGCACACGTGTAATGGACACACAGGTGAGTCAGTTTCAAATAATTACTGAATGAAAGGAAGATCAGAAAGAAAAAGTCGTTAAGAGAAAGTATAAATATCAAATTGATGAAAAACCTTTGCAGTGATTGCATGATGAATAACAATTAAGATAACACAAAATATGGAACTACTGATGTTAGATTCTTGTTTGTTGTTTATGTACTTATTTACAAGAATTATTGAAAATCATTAAATAAAAACTATTTTAATAAAATTGACTTATAAGGAGCTACCTTTCGAAAGAAATTCCCCATGGCTTCACAGTCCTAACTGAACTGTCAAGATGTTAAATCCCCGACAAATTCTGTTCCATATTTACATCCAATATACATTGGGTTCACCCCACATCTGTTTCCATCCTTTTAATATTTTTAAAAAAAACCAACAACGTTTATAGGTGCATTCAACTTTCATTGAGTCATTTCCAGACAAAATAAATTTTCCTTTTTTTCATTTTTAGATTTTGTAAAACTCAACTCGTCGATATAGATAAATCTTTATTTTACTAGTAAGTCAAAATTCAAAATTTTTACTCAAAAAAATGAAAAAATTTAATTTAAATTATCAATTATTGATAACTTATTTTATTTTATGATAATAAAAATTATTCATTTTATTTTGTTTTAACGATATCAGTTGACTAAACATTAAACTGCATTATTTGATCAAGATAAAATACTTGACCTTAAAAATAAAAATTGATCATCTACATGTACAACAATCATTAAAGTTCAATTAAATTTAAGAAGCGTGACATTTTTTATTTAATCAATGTTTAAAAATTTATTTTTATCCTACTAACTTTCTATCTAAAAAATATAAATGAGAGTAGGTGGAACTGAGAGATAATAAAGATAAAAATATGGTAGAAAGAAAAAGTCTGCAATGCTGATAATTATGCAATTACATTAATATTCCTTAATTTACGATGTAATTCCCCATCATCATGTGGGCTGAATTTAAGTGGAGCGTAGTGCATTTGACAAGGACAAAGAAATCTTGGTGATCATGAGAGAATCTCTATAAGGAGCGTCCGTGACAGCTACGGAGACAGCATGACTCATTCCCATCTGGATAAGACTACGAAACCTTGTGTATTTTCAACTTTTTTTTGTTTTACGTGAACTATCTTTTATTTTTTCCTCTTTATTTTCTGACGTCTCATAAGCTTTTTTAGAATGAAAAACATCAACAGGGGCTAAGATTGTTTTGTAAAAATAATTGAAAAAGCTTCAAGTACTTTCAATATTAAAACTTTGACGTAAAGTTTAAGTCGATTTTCTTGCCTACACGTTTTCAACACATATCTATACATAGATTATGTTCTCACACATACACATTCACACGGAAATGCGGAAAATGAAGAGAAGACAGCTCACCTCTTTTTTTCCAAAATACTATATAATTCCACGGTCTTGGTAATTTATGGCTTGAAAACAATTGTCACGTAGACGTCTAACGAAAGCTTTGGAAGCTTGATAGACTGACAGATTGTCTTTATTTTAATGGAATTTAAGTTGGCCCATTTCTTAATGATAGAATCATTGTACGGGATTAACACTTGCCGCAACACCAACTGTACTATCGGATCGCGCACACTCCGAACAACGACTTGACATCATACTCGATGGTGATCACCAACTATGGAAGTTGCATGGAAGTGGAAACAAGGTAAAAAACGACGGAAAGAGCGGTTATCTAACAAAGTGGCGCTATCTTTAGGTTAGTTATTGACTTTATAAACAAAAAGATAAGTTATGTTGTGTATGGTATACCCAATTAAAAAACCTACAGATTCCATTGGAAGAGAATTTTCAGCTGAAACACGTGCTACGAATTTCAACGCTCCAAACGTGAACCACGTAGTGTAGGACATTAACCTCTAAGAGGTTTTTTTATTGAGATGACAAGTAGTCAAAATTGATGCCAAATTCATACTAATACATTAGGAAAACCTTGTAAGTGTTTGATAACTAATGGAAGTTAAAAAAAATCACATAATGTATTTTTATATTTATTCAGCCGGCACGTGTAGGGAACTTATTTTTAGACACAGACAAGCGATTCATTGGACACTTTTGACTTCTGTCAGATGTTAAATAGAGCTTACAAAGAAATAATGATTAATTTAAATAAAAGCAAAGCAATATAGACATACATAAAAACAAAACCTTTTTTTGTTGATTTAGTTCTTACATTATTATTGTCTGCTTAAATATTCTTCATGAATTTATTACGTGATCAATAATTGATCTTATAATCTCAATAATGTATTTACAAACATTAATTACCTTATTTGCTACTTTTAAAGGTGGTGAATTGTGAAGAGATGCAGTTATTTCTCGTAAAATTACTCTTGTTCCTTCTTTTGCACCAATAGGGCTAGCTGATATTTTTGTTGGAGTTGACATGATTATTTTGATATTTCAAAACCTTATTATTGCACTTAATGAGACAAATTAAAAAAATACGAATGGATCTTTAGCACTCTCAATTGTAAATCATTAAAAGCTAACAAATCAAATATCACTTATTAAATGGATGTTTTTAGATTTGTACGTTTCAAATTTTCACTTTTCACATGCTCAACATGGACTTCCTAACTTTTCTACATCAATTTAAACGATTTCACCGGTTTTAACAGGGAAATAACTGGTAAACACTTGGAAGTCTAACTACGGATGCTGCTTGTAACGGCTTTCTTTTCATTTCACACTTAAATGCAAACAAACAGACCAATCAGAAGAGAGATTACTGCTTCAAGGTTCACATTAGATAGAGCTACTTTCATATTTCTGCAAGTTGTGAAACAAAAAAAAAACAAAAATTTCTTAAAAAACAGTGTTTTATATAAATACGACTTGAAAATAGATTATGATGAATTGTATCTAATGAATTTGAATATCAAAAATATTTATATTGATGTATTTTTTAAATTTCTGTTAATGTATAAGCTAATTTTGAATAAATATCATTCTTATCAGACTTTCTAGGGACTTTAATGTTGTTTCAATATTAGCTGTTGATAATAAAGATTTTAGGCATGCATTTTTTCAATTTGTCGTTTGTTTGTTTTATCGATAAAAAGATTTGGCGGGAGATCTCTAAGACAACGATTCGGGACGTCATCAGCACAAAGTAAGGGTTGAAAAAGGTCAAAAATCATGACTTAAAAGCATCAAACATGGCGTCGATATCTATTTCAATGTCTTATACAAAGATAAAACATTCAGAAAACATTAAAAAATTTATTTTTTGATGAAAATTTTTATTGTCAATTGTTTCTTACAAATGGGTACAAATTGTTACTCGTATCGTAAATGCATAGTGGTTTTTCTCCTTTAAAACGAGAGATGTTTGAGATATTTTAATTATTTTTAATGTTTGTGATGTTTTTTTCAATTATAACATGTAACACACATTAATATATCCATCATCGCTATCTTAAAAAAAAATATTTACATTTGTTAACACTTTTTTTCATCATTCATCACACTTTACACACTCAATAGTTACTATTAGAAAATTAAGTAAGATACATAATTATTAAGAATACTATTTACATGTTTTTCGTTCATTCATTTATTAAAAACAAGACTTTTAATTAAGGCACTGAATTGTTTCTATTGTTTTTTATCTCTTTTAAATATTCATTAGTACCAACAATATCAAATTTTCAAAGCGTTTTTCTTTCTGTATGCTACTTGCCAAATCAGCGTCAATAAAAATTGAATCATTCTTGAAGATGTAATATATGCATACTTGATCACAGAATATTTTTTTCTATAACAATCAATAAAATTAACATCTTTAAATTATTTAATCAATTATTTATCAATCTTGTTTTTAACCTTCTACTATTTATAAAAATTAAACTATTGACAAAATACAATATTTAAATGCTTCGCCTTAATAGCAATTAAGTCTTGTAAAAAATTAATTATCTAAATGTTTTTTATAAAAAATTATTTAACTCTATATTAATAACAATTCATATTAAATTGATGATAACTATGAAAATAATATTAATAATAATAATAATTATAATATTATTTATAATAATTATGATAACATTTCTATCACTGATAAAGTCTCCCAAAATTTCCATATCTTTTGGAAGAATGGAGTTTTAAAAATGTGTTCACGAAAAACAACTCAAGGCACTGTGGTAAAGTTGAATTCCAAAATATTCAGCGAATAAAATTAAAATTTATGTATAAGGTTCAAGTGAAAGCGGTAACCGTTGAGGCGTCACTGAATTTTTATGACTACTTGATGGAGGAGTTAAAATCCCACTCTGATCAGGGCTTCCAGGGAGTAATTCGCAGCTTGAATTCTGATCAACTGTATCAAGCTTTTCATTTTCACTATTACTTATTCTTTGCTGAGCTTTTTCAAGCATTGTTAAATCTACTACATGTGTTTGAATACGATATGTTTCATCTAACACAATATTAGGTACTAAAGCTCTCAATCCAGAACCAGAATGAACATCTACTGGAACGACGGCTGATCTTAAAAGCAATTGGGAACCTTCTTCGTTAACAGTTGAAGCAAAAGCAGATAACCACTTAGCACATGGAGCCAATTGCTCCCAGGTAAGCTTTGATACTCTTAAAGCACATTCTCTGCCTTGGGTGTGATAAATAGCTGCTGCAGCTAAATGACTATAAGGATATTTCAAACTACTTTCATCAAGAGTAGCAAGGTCTAGAAGCTGAGCAGCTTGAGAGTATTGTAAGCCACTGTATTGCGGGTATATAAAAGCATTGGGTTTACCCCAATCTCCAGACTCAAGTTGCATGAATACATTCAGCCAACCTGGCGGCGTCACTGGCGACAAATTCCAACCTAGTCCTTTTAGCACCACAAGCTCTTTACCTAGAATTTCTTCCACTGTACAAGCACCATCTGTCACATAAGCGAAGTCTGATATTTTTGGAGCGTAAATTTCTTCCACCTATAAGAAAGATAAACAAAAATTAATTTAAATATTTATTTCAATGTGTATTAAAAAATTCAATGTATTATAATTTTTTCACAACTTCATTTTTCATTTTTGCAATAAACTTATTAATTGAATTAAAAATTATTATAATTTAAAATATTGATTGCAAAAACAATACAATTATATAATTAATAAATGTTTTCTTCATAGGAAATATTACCTTAGCTGCTATGAATAGACAAGTGATTCCAATAAGTTGTAATTGATTTTTTGGAACATTTTGATGTGTTGATAAATATCGGTCGATATAATCCATTGCTAAATAATAGGTTTCTCTATGTAGTTTGTAAACTTCACAGACTTCAATAAGCCAATCGAGAAGAATAGCTCGCATACGTGGCTGTAGTGTCGGATGCCTTTGAAACATTTGTGGATCCCTTTGAGTCAAAGTCTTTTGATCACCAACACATAACATCGACCAAACTTGAGATCCATCAGCCCAAGGAAATGAAGGCAAAGGATTATGTTTACTACTATTTGATGCTGAAGGAGTTAAAAAGCAGGTAGCTGTTCGTAATTCAGACCACGTTGATGGTTCTCTATGTTCTTTTGATGCAGAATTTTGATGTTGAGGTGTTTTTGAATCATCAGCTATATGAGATCCATTGCAAGCGTCATTATAAACATTAGGAGATACTGATATAACTTTTGTGGGTGGGTAAATATTTTCTGTATCTTCTGATGGCTCAGTACTTCTCCGTTTACGTTTCAGAGTTTGACTCTTCATTCCTTGAAGGTAGGACTGCAATTGCTTTCCTTGTAAACTATATTGAAAAACAAAAAAATTTCATAATTATTAAATATACATAATATAAATGAAAAAAAGAATTAAAATAAATAATAAGATTCTGTACCAGAAAAAATGTATACATTGATAGAGTTATGTGAGTGAATCATGATGTAATTCACAGTGAAAATATTTTGTCAGAAACAATTTTTAAATTATATTTTAACGATTTATATGTAATCATGTTACACTAAACTTTAATGGAAATGATATAAAGTGCATATATTAAAACTAGTTTAGAATAAAATGGATAGAAAATGCACAAACTATGCGTTAGAAATTTTAGTCGTGCACGCCCTCAGGAGGTATAAAACAGGTTAGAATAAAAAAAATTTTTGCAGAATTTTTTTTTTTCATTTTTTTTTAGAAATTACATATTAGTAGTATTAACAAAAAAATATTATTAAATAAATGAAGAAAATATTACTAAGGAAAAATTATAAATTTTCTTCAATAAAGATAATCTTGATCACTCACCTTGCTTGTGGCATCTTGATGCTGGTTTGATGACGTGTAATAGTAATAAATTGTCAACCAAATTTAATTTTTATTTTTTCAGCGGATAGCTTGAGTCTTTTTGAGATAATTCACCAATTATTAGATGTTTTCTCCAACTATTATTAATATCACAAGGGAAAATATTAAAAGGTGTGCGTTGCTTCGACTCACAAGATCGCCATAATGTTCATCAGCCCGCGACCAATTTTGACCAGTTTTATTTAATCAAAAAATTTCTTGGAAAAATTTGTAAATTTTCACGAGTTCTTAGCAATCTTTAGAATCTTTAAAAAAATTATTTAACACTTTTTAAACCAGTTTTTTCTATTAAAATAATAATATTGTTGGAAGCGAGCGCGGGAGACCAGCGCGCGAAATGATGACCAACCCCTCAGTGCAATCCGGTACTGAGACGCCCTCTATACACTCGACATAACCTCGAAAAAATCCGCTTATTTTGTATGTTTTCACTTAAACAAGATTAATTATATTCTCCTAAATGTTCTCCAATGTATAATGTTGAAGTTTAATGCACAAAATCAATTAACAACGTCCAAAAACGTAAGAGTTCATGTGTGCCCACGATGGATTTTGATGCCAATAAATAACGAATATTTTACACTTATTTACACATTTCAATTACTCCAAAATCAATTTTAATATATTTTAAGTTAATTCTACTATCCAAAAAATCGATTTGATTGAATAGTTTAACTGAAAATGAATTAAAATTCACTGAAAACTAGACAGCAAATGACGTGACGCACTCAATGCATCCTCATTTAGGGTTAACTTCTACGTAAATACACAACAATACTGATTTATTTCAACTCCACTACTAATCAATATTGTTTACATTAGATTAAAAGTCAGTAAAGCACTTAATGAACACAATTGTGATGTAAACATTACTGGAATCCAGAGAGAAAACATCAACTTTGGCGTTTCGCGGGAACACTAACGCAACAAGCACCGGTTGTGCATTTGTGGCGCTTTTGAGTAAAAGGTGATTGGTCGACGCTTATGGCACAGCTGGCGCTCAGCTGATCACTCTTTAAACAGTTTTCATGAACTATGTGTTAGTGTATGTATGCATAGAATGAGGTTAGTGTGTGAGTATACACGCGGGAAACGTACGCGCGTAAAATCGCCCCTCAGCCCGCCAAGCTTTAGGCAATTGAGAAGGACATTATGCCACGTAATTTGCAAACAAACTTGTTGATATATAAATTATACATTTTTAAAGGACAGATGAAATTCATTCAACTATAATGTCATTTTAATTCCATGAATTGAAAATCCATTTACTAATGTAATTTAGATGTAATAATAACGAAAATTTGGAAAAACCGTTTATTTATGAAGAAAAAAGGAGGGAATTGATAGAGACTCGTTCGTTTGTGTTTGTCTATAGGATTACTATATACGGTATAGAAAAATCGTGTTAACGTCACAATATTTTGACTCTTAGAATATATTGAAGAGCAAATATTGTCAATGAAAAATAGTCAATTTAAGCCAATAATCGTGTATACTTTTACTAGATAACATTTTTGGAGTTAATAGCAGACTTATCGGAAATAAAAAATTAAAAATCATTAATTCAATGATGCATTTTGTTTGAATATGTTATCTTTGCATATTAAATACATTACGTGAGTTTTCATAAAAATTTATGGCTAAATTTTATTTAATCAACATACATTTAATACATGATTAAGTACTGTAATATACAGTGTATATATCTGCAACTGTCGTTTATTAGAAATGAAAATAGACCTGGATAAAATCATTAGGGAAGACGACCTTTCGGAGTATAACGTACCAAGTTATCTATAGAGTTTCTTAGCTTATAATTTTACCTTCAAAGGTAGTCACTGTCATTACATTGTATCTAAAATTTTATTTGTTCATCTACCTGCACTTAAGTCTCACTTAATCATGATTTATGGTTCAATACTACGAAATGACTATTCGTTGTGTCAATATTAAACACCATGCTTTTATTCGTCAATCGAAATGTATGAAATAATGTTCATTTTAAGAAAAATCAGCAACAATTGAATTATAAAATTGAATTTTTTTATTTTGAAAATAATTGTTGATATTCAAAATTAAAAAAAAAATTTAATTATTCAAAAAGTGGCATTTAAATGGGTGAAATCTACTTGTTGGTTATCTCTGTTGATAATATAGGAATTTTTTTATTTATTTACCAACAGTTAATAGTTGTTTAAATTGTCAAAAAATTTAGTAGTAGGGATGTTAAGGTTATAGTTTGAGGGGTAGTATTCTAATGATTGAAGCATTCGTTAGAATTTTTGTAGTGGGAGATATGAAGTTTGACGAAAAGTAAGCATAGTGGGAGTGCGTTAGTATACTCTTCAGGTAGTATCGGTCAAAATGTTTCCGATATAGCTTTTCCCACTTTGTAACAATTTTTAATTACTTTATGACATATTGTATACCTAGTGTAAATATGATACGTTGCACTCAGAAGAGCGGTATACCTGGAACGTATTTCAAAAATATGTTATTGACCATTTAGTATAAATTTAATTTATAATGACAAAACCAAGCCTTTGCTCATAAGATGTTTGAAATGGATTCTAATGCTGAAGTGTCATCTTCAAGTAAACGAATTATGACGGTATGTAAATAATTATAAACAATTATGATTAAACCTGCATTATGAAACTCAATCGTTATCAGTGTATGAACAATTCTATTGTTACAAATATTACTCTATTACAATAGAAAATAAGCACACAATTTTTCAATGTAATTATTAATAATATACTGCAGTGGTGCCACGTAGACAAAACGGTACTTTCAGCATATTTCAACTTAAAACTTCAAAGTATAGAATTTTTTTGCACGAACGTTTTAAGTTCAAATTTATGTTGTAAATTTTCACATATAAGTATAAGTTTAATTAAACAATTTAAATTGATAAATTTTTGAATGAATATTAAAGTTTAAAAATACATAGTTCATTCAAAAATTAATATAAAATTATTTTTTAACTTTATTTTATTTAGCAATTGTTGGTGCAAGTATTAACACGTTTTTTGAAATGGTAAAAAATTTAAACTATTTAATAATTATATTAATAGAAATATTTGTTATATAAATTAAAATTGATTACGTTGTTGTAGTAATTTTTTAAAATTATTTACAAAATAAAATAATTTTTTCAGGCTTGTACAAACGTATCAATTCAAGCACACAATGTATCTCGAGCGAAAAGAGGTCACAAACTCAGCAACGTTGGAGGCTTCAGAGGCTGTACCGTCTGGTTGACTGGCTTATCAGGTGCTGGAAAAACTTCAATAGCTTTTCAAGTTGAAGCGATTTTAGTAGAACGAGGAATTGCCGCATATGGTTTAGATGGAGACAACATTAGAACTGGATTGAATTGCAATCTTGGTTTCAGTCCTGAAGATAGAAAAGAAAACATCCGACGAGTTGCTGAAGTTGCAAAATTATTTGCAGATAGTGGACAAATTTGCTTATGCAGTTTTGTATCACCTTTTGAACAAGATAGACAGATGGCGAGAAAAATCCATAAAGATTTTGATCTACCTTTTTTCGAAATTTTCGTTGACACTCCTCTAAATGTTTGTGAGGCAAGAGATACTAAAGGATTATATAAAAAGGCCAGACAAGGTGTTATTAGAGGATTTACTGGTATAGATCAAATTTATGAACGTCCAGTCAAGCCAGATTTAGTTGTAACAACTGAAAATTGCACTCTAGAAGAGTCTGCATCTCAAGTAATTAATTTTTTGGAGAATCAAAAAATTATTCCTACAATTTCAAAACAATCATGGTTAATTCGAGAGCTTTTTGTACCAGAATATCGTATAAATGATGCTAAAGCTGAAGCAAATTCATTAAAAAGTATAGAAATAAGTGAAATTGATGTGCAATGGCTTCAGATTTTAGCAGAAGGATGGGCCGCACCTCTAACAGGATTTATGAGGGAAGACCAGTATCTTCAAACGCAGCATTTGAAATGCCTTATCGACGAGAATGGTAAAGAAATAAATCAGTCGATTCCTATTGTCCTTCCAGTACATTCCGAAGATAAATGCAGGGTAGAAGGTGATTCAGCTGTTACTTTAAAGTATAAAAACCAAGCATTAGCTATTTTAAGAAAACCTGAATTTTATCCACATAGAAAAGAAGAAAGATGTGCTAGGCAATTTGGTACTACTGATATCAGACATCCGTGTATCAAAATTATTTATCAATCTGGAGATTGGTTAATGGGAGGTGATGTAGAAGTACTAGAGAAAATTAAATGGAATGATGGTTTAGATCATTATCGTTTAACTCCAAATGAAATACAAATGAAATGTAAAGAAATGAAAGCTGATGTTGTTTTTGCATTCCAACTTAGAAATCCTATTCATAATGGACATGCCCTTCTCATGCAGGATACGAGAAGGAGATTGGTAGAAGAGCATGGATTTAAAAATCCAGTATTATTATTACATCCTCTGGGAGGATGGACCAAAGATGATGATGTTCCTCTATCCATTAGAATTCTTCAACATAAAGCAGTGCTTGAAGAGAATGTCTTAGATACTAATTCTACTCTTTTAGCTATTTTTCCGAGTCCGATGTTGTATGCAGGTCCGGTAGAAGTAAGTTATTAACACGAATTTTTTTATTTTAACAACTAAAATTAATTTTAAAAACTTATTTTGTGGTTTAGGTGCAATGGCATGCAAAAGCTCGAATGAATGCAGGAGCTAATTTTTATATTGTTGGAAGAGATCCAGCTGGAATTCCTCATCCGAATAAAGATGTTACACCAGACGGGAATTTGTACGATCCTACACATGGTGCTAGGGTTTTAACAATAGCTAGAGGCTTAGATAACTTGGAAATTCTTCCTTTTAAAGTCGCTGCTTATGATACTAAGCACCAAAAAATGGCGTATTTTGATCCTAAAAGACAGCAGGACTTCGACTTTATTTCAGGAACAAGAATGCGAGGTAAATATTTTATTGGAGTAATCTTTTTATTATCATTATTGAAATAATAATAGACAGATAATTAATAATTTTCAATAATAGATCTAGCAAGAAAAGGACAAGAACCACCTAACGGATTCATGGCTCCAAAAGCATGGCAAATTTTAGTCAACTATTATCGTAATCTTGACGAAAATATGAAAGATGTAAAAATGTGATACGCGTACAGTTTTATTGTCAAAGCTTTAATTTTAATACTGATTAACTTTTAACATCAATTTTGATCATTGATCCAAAATTTTAAATTAATTATGACTACCACAAGCAATATATCTTTTTAATCTTTAGTTCAAACTAACCAGTCAATATTATGAATCATGGTCTAAATGTAATTTTATGTACATACATGTATACATATGTATGATGTTAATTTTATAATCTTATTTTCATAAATTATTATTTTTATAATATATCAAAACGGGTCCTTAAATAAAATTTTATCATGTTTTATTACAAGCACTATGTACTTAGAAAAATAAAGCAATTACTTTTATTATCAATGAACAATTATTGCTCACAAGACTAGCTACGTAATAAAACATCAGTTTATTTATACTTTACGGATATCAGAAATGTTTATTAATACTTTTTTTTAAAAATGGATTTATTTATTAGTGCAATTCTGCAGGAACAGTAATCACGTTATTTTTTTTGAGAATAAGTTTATGACCTCGAATGACTTTCATAAGCATGAAGTTCATAGTTTAAAAAAATATTTATGTTGATAACTTGAATATTAAAGATAACATTATTTCTATTAAAAACGTTAAGTCTAGATATATAAAATAAATTATAATAAATAATTGATATCCAAATCAAAAATTCTGTTGAAACTCATAGAAGTATGTGTTTTTTTTTATTTTTCTTACAACTTTCGTATGATGAAGGAGTGTTTTATGCATTGGAATCTTCAGTCATCCCTTCCATTTATATTTGTCTCCAGCAGCGGTACGGATTCTATATGTGAAATATAACAGCAACTTCCAGTGATTTCATGCGCATGAATAATTTTTCAATTCAAACATCAGTATATATCATCCAATACCAATAACGCAATAAAATAATTTATAGAACAATCAATCAAAAATGTCAAGCTATTCAAATACTAACAATTCTTTAATCAAACAGCCATTTGAGTATTATATGATAAATATGCCAAAATTGTTTAATCGATTTTAAAATTATTTCTTAAAAAAGTATATAAAATTAACTATAAATTTTTGAGTTTAAACTGAAGAATTAATCAAATTGATAAATAATTTTATTAATTGTTATATTTTTTCATTTCAAGACGATCAAAAAGTTAAAATTTATTATTTAATAATAATTGACAATTTAAAAATTACAATATCGATTTATTTTAGTAATGATTCCAATAATATAAAATGATGACAATGCGTTATGGCCTTTGTCCGCTTGTCACCTGTTTGTCTGGTTGCTCGTGATCTAAAAAAAAACAAGATGAGCGAGAGAGAGATCGTGAGAACCGGTAGAGAGGTCCGGTAGTTTCGTCGTTACCGATCAAGTCCCCTTGTCTTGGTTTGCGGGTGGAGAACCGTTGGTATTTTGCAGGGTTCAGATTCAGGGACGCATCTATTTCTCCAAAATTAATTCAAACAAACCTATTACTCGACATGAAGAAATCAATCTCACTCCAAACTTTCTATTTGCTTACTTTTTCATTTTTCTCTATGACTAGACACCTCTCTACTTTTTATGTGTCAATTTATCTAACTAAAAATCATCAATTAAATTGTTCATGATGTATAAAATAAGCTATAGATTTAGAAAATCTAATAAATAAGTATTAAATATATGAAAAATTGTGTGGCTGAATGAAGGATTGAATTTGCAGATCGGAGACATAACATGGAGAATCATGAGAAGATGGATGTGATGGTAGAGGAGAGGGTGCGGCGTGTAATAAAACCGGCCCTGGATTTCTGGAAATCGTCAGTGGTCCGGGGCCATTAAACGCGTTATATGTCTTGCAATTTGATCCTGCAGCACTCAGTGCGCCGATCAGTGAGTAATTTACGCGAATTCTTCAGCATCGTTGAGAACTCTGGCAAAGTAAGTCATACGTATTTTGACTGAGACACCGGGCTAGTACATGTAGCTTCCAGTCACGACAATCAACGTGATCTATTTAAAAGGCAATCGATCAGCAAATCTATCATCGGTGGCAACTAGTTCGTGCACTCTCCAGTGCACAATTCAAAAAAGGACATTGAAAAAATTGCCTCTGAAATTTCTGTAAGTTTTGGTTATTCTTTTGAAATAAATTTTATTGTCGCGGCAATAATTTATTCAAAAAACGACATTTGAGTTCGATACACGTTATCAAATTATTTTTTGTATTATTTTTGTTGAGCACATTTAATTATTCAGAATCACATGTTATTCTAATAAATTTCTGTTTTAGAGTAAATGTTTACTAGTTATTGAAAGGGATGCAGGGCATCATGCCAATAAAAGCTAAAGCAAGGGTGGAAAATATGGGAGTATCAGGAGATCTTGTTGATGCACGAGCTAAACAAGTACTTAGAGAAGCTGTCGATGCCGTTGTTAATAGTTTTGCTAAACATACTCAAGGCTATGGTAGAGGTACATCTTCATTTTCAATTATTTTTTACATATTCATAATGGCTTTCATATTTAGATTCATGACAAGTTGGAAATAATCAAATGTGTAAATTTAACTATAAAAATACTTTTTTTACAGTCAATGTAGTAGAAGCACTTCAAGAATTTTGGCAAATGAAACAGAGTAGAGGTACAGAATTACGAAATGGAGCATTAGTCATTTATGAGTCAGTTCCTGGAGCAACTCCTCCGTATGTTTGCTATGTTACATTACCTGGTGGTTCTTGTTTTGGAAGCTTTCAAAACTGTCCAACAAAAGCTGAAGCTAGAAGATCAGCTGCTAAAATAGCTCTTATGAATTCGGTATTCAATGAACATCCATCAAGAAAAATCACAGATGATTTCATTGAAAAAGCTGTGGCTGAAGCTAGAGAAAGCTTCAACAAACCTGCTTCAAGTGCAAGTAGTAGCCAATCACAGGTAATTAAACTACTAAGATTTATCAATTATTTATGAAAAATAAGAATTGTTGTTGATTAATTTTGTATTTTGATTCTAGAATAGTGGAGATGAAAAAGAAGATCCTAATACGGGAATAGGAGCATTTCGCTTTATGTTAGAATGTAATCGCGGTAGAACAATGTTAGAATTCCAAGAATTGATGACTGTTTTCCAATTACTTCATTGGAATGGATCTTTGAAGGCTATGAGAGAAAGACAGTGCAGTAGACAAGAAGTTGTTGCTCATTACAGTCATCGAACTCTTGATGACGATATGCGTACTCAAATGGCTTTAGACTGGGTTGCAAGAGAGCATGAAAATGGTGGTGGTGTTGTAGCTATGGAACTTGCTCTTGCTGAGAGAGAATTAGAGACTGCTAGGCTTGCTGGTCGTGAACTAAGATTCCCAAAAGAGAAGAAAGATATTCTCATGCTTGCTCATGCTCAGATTTGCTCCCAATAATTTTAATTAAACGAAAGTAATTTTATGCCTTTCATATTTCTTGCGGAACACTTATCTGATATATCTAAATTGACTATAACTTTAGTTTGAATAGAATTACCAAGATTTTTGTTAAACAATAATCAAATTATTTTTTTAACAGTATAGATTGTGGGGTTTAATTGTATATATTTAAATATATATAAATATGTGTGAAATTTAATCGTTAAGCATGGGAATCTTTGTTTTTATAATATTGTTACAATATTATTATTGATTGGGCATTTTTTAATGAAATTCGCGAGTTTATAATAACTTTTAATTGCCCAAATGACATATAACCATAGCAATGTTACAGATTAAATCAAATTAATATTTATAGCTATATTATATTCTAGTATGATCAAAATAATTCCAACATGATTTATAATGAAACTTATTTATTTGATGATAATTTCTGTTTGATTTGAAAAATTTTTCAAAAATCATATCTCGCGAATGCTATGTGATAAAGATCTAGTTTATTAATCATTTTTTTAAGTTTAATGTTACTGTAATATACACAATAAACCGAATGTTTTTATTTTTTATTTTTTACAGATGAATCTAAGTTAAGAATAGAAACATGAATGATCAAATATTATATAGACATAAAAATGTAACTTTTACAAAGAAATTATACTACCTTTTATTTGGAAAATTATGATTTATCTTAGTATAAGATAGAATAGTTTATAACAATGTTTATTAAATATGTTATTTTTATTATGATATTTTTAATTATATTAAATATTAACAATCAACATCACTATCTATTTTTTTCAAATTAAAAAAATCATAAAAAATCATTATGTTACCACGTTCTGTATCACCTCGAACATAATTAAACTGTCGTTTCAGTCATTGATGATTTTTCCTCTTCATCTGTTTCTTGTAAAGGGTGTTCTAAAATTTTATCAATTATACCAAATTCTTTTGCGTCCACTGGAGACATAAATTTGTCTCTTTCCATGCTACTTTCTGTAAAAAAAAAAAGATTGTCAAATATAATTTATGGATCAAAAAATACTATTTTTCATTACCAATTTTATGCAATGTTTGCTTGGTATGTTTGACATAGAGGTCATTAATTTGTTTCTTCAATTTTATTATTTCTTCTGCTTGGATTTGAATGTCTGTTGCTTGGCCTTGAACTCCACCTGATGGTTGATGAATCATAATCCTTGCATTTGGAAGAGAATGTCTCATTCCAGGAGCACCAGCAGCTAATAATAAACTTGCCATTGAACAGGCTTGACCTACACACCAAGTTGCTATGGGTGGAAGTACATATTGCATCGTGTCATAGATTCCAAGCCCTGCAGTAACACTTCCTCCAGGAGAATTAATGTACAAGTGGATAGGTTTTTTACTACTTTCTGATTGGAGAAATAACAACTGGGCTACTACTAAAGATGAGACATCATCAGAGATCTTAAAGTCGAGAACAATGATAACATATTTTAATAGTAAGTAAAATCATTTTTACTGTTAAAAAATATTGCGTCATGCTTACAGGACCCATCAAACAAATAATTCTTTCTTTCAATAATCTAGAATAAATATCATAAGCTCGTTCTCCACGACCAGTTTGTTCTACAACCATGGGTATTAAGTTTAAATTTCGAGAAATGATTGTTCTTGTATGGTTCTGTAACAAATAATAGTAAAATAACATCCTTATTTGACAATTATTATTTTTTGACCTAAATAATATGGATATTTAAGTTATTTCTTTGAAAAATACTTACAGTTGTATTTAAAATACCAAACACTTTCCTTAGTAACATCTTAAAAAGGTTATGTTAATTACTAAATATTGAGTATACTAACGTTGATATTTTATTCTAAATTGACTGTTTATTTTTTTGCATTAACAATATAGTATTTAGTTAATTTCAAGTGTAACAAAGGTTATTGTTTCGCAAATATTTAATGTCAAATATTTTGAAACATTCAACAGAAAGTCGATAAGGTAGAAAATTATTATAAGTTAGTCATATGGGTTACAAGACAAAAGGCGGAATATTTCATCAGTAATTCCTTAGAATTTAATTAATCAACTAGGAGTTAATTCTTTTCATACAGAACTCCTCTGAGAGTCATCTTTCTGGTTTTTTTACAAAAAAATATGGCCTTTAGGGGTTATAAGCCCCTGCTCAGCCAATTTTATATGTATAGAAGTGTACAAATCTAAGTTATATTTATTAGTAACCCAATTATATCTTGAAAATATGTGTAATACTGAAAGTTACACGTAAAATTCTTATCAAATTATCTTTTATTTGTTGATTCAATTAATTTCTTACAGAGAAAATAGATTAGCGTAGATTAATTTTTAAAAAAAGCTATTCACTAGATGGCGCTAAAGTGAAATTTTCTAATTCGTTCAATTCAAATTTTCAAAAGTACTGTTAGTGCCATCTTTTAAAAATAGAAGACAATAGCGGTATGACAAAGAAAGATCGGAAAGGAAATGCGCAGTTATTCAGTTTCCCTCTAAAAAAGTAACGTAGAGGGTTAAAACAATTCGTTCGTGAACTTTACTTGTTTATTCGTGATGTAATTAAACTTTTCAAAATGACAAATACGGACATCATAAGCCAAGGAATCATTAAAAAAATTTTCCTGAAAGATTTTATGTAAGTTATATTATCATGTCATAGAAATAGTTTTAATAAATAATTAACTACAAAAAAAACGAAAAATTAACAAATAAAATTTTTTACTAGTACATATGATGAGATAGTTTTCTTGCCTGGAAGATACTTCAATGTTGTCATAGGACCAAATGGTACCGGTAAGTCTACACTCGTAGCAGGAATAGCCTTAGGGCTAGGAGGATGTCCTAAAGATCTTGGTAGAATTGGTGAAATTTCTCAATACATAAAAGGTCAATGTGAAAAAGCATTGATTGAAATTGAACTTGAAAATGGACCGAACGAAACTGTCAAAATCAGTCGCATGTTCAATACAAGGAACAGGTCTACATGGATGATTAATGGAAAAACTGTTACTGAAGCTGAAGCTCAAGATTTGATTGCAAAATTCAATATTCAGGTAATTTCATTGCTTGAAAGTTTATAAAGATAATGAATTATTTATATATCATAATCTTAAAATTATGTCTTTGTTAAATAGGTGAACAATCTTTGTCAATTTATACCGCAAGAAAAAATTAATGATTTCGCAAAAATGAGCCCACAGGAGCTGCTATTAAATACAGAAAAGTCTGTAGGAGATCCAAAAGTATATGATTACCACATGCAATTAATAAGAAATAAGCAAAAACAAGAAGAAATATCTAACGAAATTGGTCAGAAAAAAACTGTGCTTGAATCTGATACTCAAAAATATCAACAATTAGATGAAATTGCTTCACAATATAGAGAAAGAAAAGCAATTATGAAAAAAATAAAAAATTTGGGACAAAAAAAAGCTTGGGTACTGTATGATATGACAAGAACAGAACTGATTAATTTGAAACATCAAAGCAATGGTCTTAAGAGTCAAATATCTGATCTAAAATCGACTTTGGATCCCATTTTAAGTCAAATGAATGAAAAAGGCAAAAAAATAAAAGAATTAGAAACTTCTGTTCAATCTTACAATCTACAAATTAAAAATTGTGAAACTAAATTATTAAAAAATATTGAAACTATTGAGAGTCTTCATCTTAATGTAATAAATATAAAGAAAAATTGCAAAGAAGAACTAAAAATGGAAGAAAGTCGAGATAAATCTATTAAACTTGAAGAAACACATAAAAGTAAATTAGAAAATGACATGCAGCTATTGATGGAAGAAATCGGTACTGAAGAATCAGTTCATAAAAAATTACAAGTAATCAATGATAAAATAAACAACGAAAGAAAAAAAATGGATGAAATTAATAACGAAGCTGTATTTTATAGAGAAAAGTTGAATCTTGTAGCACGTAAAATACATCAACTAGAAGGAGAATTAAAGCAGCTTAGCGATGTTCAGTCGAAACGTTTAGATTTACTTCGTTCTATGAATTCACATGCTTATGAAGCAGTTATGTGGCTTCGAAATAATAGAGATAAATTTCGAAGTGTCATTTATGAACCTATGATTTTACATATCGATATTAAAGAACTTAAATATGGTAAATTTTTTGAAAAGATAATTCCTAGACGAGATTTGGAAGCTTTCGTTTGTGAAGATAAACAAGATATGAATCTTTTATTAAGATATTTACGCGATCAGCAAAATCTAGTAGTCAATGTAGTCCATTCTGATTCAACTGAATCATTAAGTACTGTACCCAGGATACCACTCAATAATCTTACACGATACGGATTCTATTCTTATGCAATTTCTTTTATTTCTGCTCCTGACTTAATTATGAAGTATCTAATAAAAACATACCATATTCACAATATTCCATTTGGTACAGCTGCTGTAGACGATAACATTGATGCAGTGCCTACTGAGTTATTCTCTTTTTTCAGTCCTAATTATCATTATAATGTTCGAGTATCTAGGTATACTAAAGACAAATCCACACAAATTAATCCTTTGCCAAATCATGTACGAATGTTTTCTATTGTTGTGGATCATAACAAAATTGCGGAAAATACTCAATTATTAGAACAAAGACGAAATGAGCATGCACAACATGAATCGAAATTAAGAGAGACTGAAACAAAGTTGATGGAATATAACGATAAAATGGAATCGCTTCGTAAGTCAAGAAAAGATTTAGATACTAAGAGTAAACAAATTCAGATGCTTAATAGTCAAATCAAAAGGAAAACTAATGAAATTATACAGCTTCAAAATCAACGAAGGAGTTTTGAAGATATTAAAAATGCTGCAAATAATGCAATACTAAGTGTTTTGAAAAAACAAACAGAACTGTATAAAGAATGTGCTGGAGAGCATAAAAAAGCGATTGACATTATTAAACAATCGAAAACTAACAATTTTTTATTGAAATTAGCAGAACGTGAGTTAAAAAAAATTTCTGATAGTTCGAGACAATATAAAGACCAACTACAGGAAGTGGAGAATGAATTCAGAACATTGGCCAGGCAAATAGAACCAATGCAAGTTGAGATTAAAAGATTGCTTGGTGAAGCTATACGTTCCACAGACAATGTCAGTTCTAGCGATAGAGCAGCATTTGCTAAATATGAAAGAATCTTTGCTAAATTACCTCCGACAATTGAGGAGATAGACGAAGCTATTCAGTCAGCTAAAGCTCGACTTTTCTGTGCAGGTGACACTCATCACGGCGAAGAAATCCTTGAAGAATGTGAATTAGTTAAACGAAAAATTGAATCACTTAAAGTAGAGATAGAAAAATTAGAAGAAACATTAGCGAAAAATAAAAGAGATACAGAGGAGTTACGTGATCAGTGGTTACCACTAATTGAAAAGCTTACTCGTACGATTAATGGCAAGTTTTCAAATGGTTTCCAATCAATTGGATGTGTCGGTGAAATACAACTCAAACATAATGGAAATCCGATGGATTTTGATCAATATGAATATAAAATTTACGTTAAATTTCGAGATGTTGATGATTTACAAGAGTTCAATATAAACCGTCAAAGTGGTGGTGAACGAGCTTTTACAACTGCTGTTTACATGCTGTCTCTTCAAGAGATGTGTCGAGTGCCATTTAGAGTTGCTGATGAAATAAATCAGGGTATGGATGCTATTTATGAAAGGAAAATATTTGATAAACTTGTTGAGCTTACGTCAACAGCACATGGATCACAATATTTTTTGATTACTCCCAAGTTACTTCCTAATTTACAATACAACGAAAATGTAAGAGTTCATGTTGTTCACAATGGGCCATATATTATTCCATATGATAGATTCAATCTACAAGATTATTGTGCGAAATTGGAAAGGAATTAATTATCTTTAACTATATATTGTATTATATTTTTGTTCTTTATCATTTTTATTTGATTGTTTTTAATTATGATCTCGTTAAAACTGACAAAGTCAGTGTACGCATTTCCAATACATGCAATATAATTTATCTTTGAGTATTGCATTGACTATTATCTTACTTTCGATTTATTATTATTAAAAAAAATTTCTCAAGTATTATTCTATGAAAATAGCTTTGCTTGATTCTGTTTATTTTATGAGCCAGACAAAAATATTGTAGAAAAAATAAGCAAAATAATTACTATCAAGAGTTTTAATCAAAAATATTTTTATAAAGCGTTCTTCATGTGTTTTATTATTGAATAAAAGTTCATAATTTATATAAATATTTTGTTCTAGTTTATTTTTTTATTTTTTTCCCTTCTTCTTTTTCTTTTTTTGTGCCTCTGGCCAAGGAAACCCACGACTATTCAATACATCCATTATATTATGACAAGTGTAATATGCATTTTCCATTACTTCTTCATTAAAAATATCCATAGTAAATCTAGATTTTCCTCCACTCCTTTTAGTTTTTTTCGAACTCTTACCTCCATTGTTTCCTCCTTTTGCTGTTTTACCATTTCCATTTTTCTTTTTGCCTTTTCCTTTAGTAGGCATAATTTTGAAAAAAATCTGTAATAAGGAAATTAACAACAATGAAATCAATCAATTCTTGCTTTTTTTATATAATGAAGATGTCTACTCACTGTCAATAATTGTTTTCTTTTATCTTTGAATAATAAAAGTGAGTAGTTATTGCTGATAATAATTTTTAGTGTTTTATCAATAATCAGATTCTGAATTAAGTCACTTGGAGCTATCGCGCGCTTATGAATTGATGTTGCGTAAAAGTTTATTGCGCACATTTGTTAGTGTGTGTGCGTGTAAGGTTAAGGGAAGCTCACCAACATTAACAAACGTGTGTATGAGAGCGAAGCCGCTTTCGTAGTATGATAGTTTACCGGTTAATTTATTGAAACAAAAACAAATATTATCATGAAGCTAGTAAGGTAATTACAAAAGTATCTTTGAAAATAATTATATTTTTTAAATAAAATATGCTATAAAAATTAAGAATTTTTGTATGTAACACTAACAAAATAATTCGTTGATACCAAACATAACCTTACTTCAGTAAAATCGTAATAAAAATCACATTTTTACGTTCAGTAATTAATTTTTTCAGATTTTTGATGAAACTTAGTCATGAAACAGTTACAATTCAACTGAAAAATGGTACACAAGTTCATGGAACAATTACAGGTATGTAAACATAACCTAAAAATTTTCATACCACCTATTAACTATGTACAAAAAAATTAATTTTTTTCTTTATTGTATATTTTTATTTTCATAAAATCAACTCATCGTTAATATAATTCTTAGAATCTCTAAAATATAAACATTTGTTTAAAATAGTTATTTTTTTACAGGTGTAGATGTGGCTATGAACACCCATCTCAAAACAGTAAAAATGACTATAAAGAATCGAGACCCTGTCCACTTAGATACATTGAGTTTACGAGGGAATAACATTAGGTATTATGAACTTCCGGAATCACTACCTCTTGAGACGTTACTCATAGATGATACTCCAAAAGCGAAAGCAAAGAAGAAAGAAGCTGCAAGAGGTGCTGCACGAGGACGAGGTCGTGGAGGACGTGGAGCACGCGGAGGTCGTGGTGGGCGTGGACGAGGAAGAGGTCGACGATAGTATTAAGGCTACAGTAATTATCTTTACCATAACTTTTTATATAAAATTAAGATTGACGTTAATCCGCTATCTTTTATGCAATTTGTATATCCGAATATCCATGAGTCATAAAAATTTCTTAATTTAAATGAATTACAAACATTGATACAATTGTCTTTACCAAAATCGAAAAAAACATTACATAATCAATTAAGAATCTGTTGGTATTAAAACATAATTCATTAAACGGAATTAATAATCAATAAATTGAAAATTTATAATTTACAAGTGATTGAATTTTTTTATTTCTTTCATTTTAATCAGTAGATAAATACTGATGTTTTCTATTGGTATAAAGAATAACATAAAATATGATTTAAAAGAAAAATGTTGCTGATTTAGTTGAAACTGCATCATAAATGAATGTATTGTGTATTGGTTTATATTGACGTGTAATAAACTTAATTGTCTCCTGAGCTGCAAGTCCACCGAGAAAAGCTGATACTGAATGCAATTCAGCACCACCAAATCTACAAAATTCATGTATGTAATCATCTTTAGCCAACGGACCACATCCCCATTCACCAAGTAATTTAGAAATACACGCTTTGAGCTTAACAATATCGGGTTCTACGTGGTCATCAAATTCACCAGGATATGAGTTGTATTCACTTTGAAACTTTTGGATACCTCTGAGAACTACATAGTATACCATCATACTCTCTGGATTTTCTAAACTTTCAATAATATTGTTAGTGTTCATAGTTTTCGGGTCATATTCATCAACAATTGGTGTTCCTCGTTGGATGTGAATGCTTGAAGCATAACGACAAAATAATTTTACATCTATTTCTGATATGGAATCTGATGAACGTCCTAGTTGTCGTAATAAACGAAGAGTATGACGCCAAACTGCTTCAACATCGGTTACTGCTTGTTTGTGATAACTAAAACAAAAAATTGGTTTGTTATTCAAGACAATATATGTTATTTTTTTAGTTTTACAGTTCACTCTTACATTTGCGAAAGTGTGATATATTTTTGACTATCAGCAGTCATATCTGGAAGTGAACCCATGACTGGTAATAATCCTAATCCTTCATTTTCCCTAAAGTCACGAATTGCTCTAGCAATTATCCAAAATGAATTACTCTAGAAGTATAGGACACCGTCATAATTTTTTATTTTATTTCATAAGTAAGAGTTTTATTATTTAATTTTGTAAGGAATATTAACAGCTCGCTTACCTTAGCTGTTAAATTTATACACCGATCATCATTTAGAATTTCTATCACATTGTTGGGTACTATAGTAGCACCAATTGAAGTATTTACAGCTCTTATAGCTTCTTCGAAATTTTCTTCTTCTATTGGATGACCATTTTCATCTATTCGAATTCCTGATCTTATCATTTCACTGAATTGTCGTTTTTCTTGATAATTTTTCGGCATTTCACCCTTTTCTTTTAGCCATTGATGTAAATATTTATATAAAATAACAACATAGGGTGTGTGAGAATGATCTTTTAGATCTAATTCATCCAAATTGATTGAATCTAAATAATCCTTGAGAGAAGGAAATGGAGCATCTAATCTCAAATCTGGCATTTCATAGTCTGGATGAGTTTCTATAATATTATGTTCTTGTACTTGAACTCTCATATATCCAATAAAACCAATACTCTGACAAACAATTAGAGGTATATTTAATTCCCATAACTTTTTTGATAAAAGAATTAAAGGTCTGAAAAGCATAATAAAATTTTATTCATCTGATATAAATATCATTGAAGTTTAAAGTTTAGATAAGTGTAAGCTTAACTTACTTTTCAGTAAGCGCAGTAGCAACAACAACAGAAAAATTATCAAAAAACTCAGGACTATTATATAAAATTTGTTCAGGTCCTTCATCAATATAATCTCCTCTTACATCCGGATTTAATTCCAATAACATTTGTGTTGCTACTTGTGCTCTAGATTTGCCAACACTTTCAGCATCTAGAAAAAAACTGATTGTTGTGTTCAATAAAAATTGTTTAACTTAAATTGGATAAATAATTTCATTATTTTATAATATCCAAGTCCAAAAAATTCGCTTACTTCGCGCCAATGTCTTCTTGAGTTATCTTTTTGCCATCAACAATAGTGAAAGCTCCTATTCCTGGCAAAACAAGAGATTTCAGAATCTCAGTACCTAATCCAGTAGCATTTATAAGACAAATATGAGCCGCTTCTAGTGCTGCTTGACCATGATCACCCCATAATCTATAAAATACATTTAATTCTCAAGTTGTTTATAAAAAATATCATTTAACAGATACATGAGGTAAATGATTTTACCTTAGTTGTCTATCATATTTTCTACTTTTTTCAGACTGCTCTGGAGACTTTGGAGCCGGTGAGGCCATTTCTAATTAAAAAGTAAGTATTATAATAAAATAATTTGCTAAATTTTTCTATATTACAGTTTTTTATTTTTTTATAAAGACTACACCATAGTTTAATCATACTTAAATTATTTTATCGTTAAATCTGATATAATTTATAGGTTTATCAATAGAGAAATAAGAAAATATCTAACCTTATTTCATCTATAAACTTTTTTTAGTTTTTTTAAAAGCTTTTTTTAAAAAATAGGTTACAAAACATTAGATAAAATATATGAAATATTTCAATTATTAGTAAATGATTTTTAATGATCAATTGATTCGTAAGAATAGTATTGAATGCAATTTTTTAATTTTGTTCCTAACCTCTTTTATAGTTCGTTTTTCGGAGTCTAGAGGTCTCAGGGTTCATGTTTATGTCGTGAGTCACAGAGTTGTGTACACGTATCAGCTCACGAGATTGTTGAATTTTTTTGGTTTGACCAGTTCTTCATTAGGCTTCAATATGGATGGTGCAGCAAGTGAAGTGTTGACTAAAGTTAACGAAAGTTTAGTTGACAATGCAAATTCGTCGTCAACTAGAATACCTTCTACGCCAGAAGGAATGGCTTTGGCCTACAGTAGTCTTATTGTAATGGCAGTATTACCGATTTTCCTTGGTAGTTACCGGTCTGTTAAACATCTTAAGGAACAAAAGGTTAGACATATGTTTTGATCTATACCTAATACGTAATCAACTCAGTTTACGTGGCATTAGATACTACACACGTGTTTTATGTGTCTAAATTAACTTTTCGATTTTCTCAGATAATTCCTTAAGGTAATATCTTCGTAATTTTCACAGGAAGCTTTCAAAGCTGGAGGTGAGAAGCCAGAGACGATGACACAGAAAGATGCGTGCATGTTTCCTCTAGTTTCCAGTGCTGCATTATTCGGATTATACTTATTCTTTCAAGTAATAAACAGTTGTAATTTTAACTTCTTTTTATTCATTTAAAAGTACATTACTATTAATAATTAACAAAATGTTTGTGCTAGGTATTTTCGAAAGAGTACATTAATCTCGTACTGACTGGATATTTCTTTTTCCTTGGCATCTTAGCTCTTTGCCATTTGACAAGGTAAGAAATTAATAAATAATATTAAATTAATATTTATTGTGTCGAAACAAAGCTAACTAAACTTTGACTGTTGAGAATTAAAAAAAACGACTTAGATGAGAGAATGCACATATTATAGAAGAACCATGATCAGAGGAAACAGATGTGTATAGAAGTTCAATAAATTTTGGGCCACATCGGCCCATTTGAAATTTTAGGAGATATGGGTATACGCACCCAATGTATAGAATTGGGATGCAGGTATAAACATTTCTGCACAGCTGCTCCCATTTGCATGGTTCTTTTATGTTATCTTTCTTCTCTGTTTATATTACAAAAGTTTCAATGTTAGTCTAGACTCTAGAGGCTATTTTATTTCATTTACTATGAAAACCATAGGCATATATTTTACGTCTAGAAGCACTATTTTTTAGTTGAGTCTTAGAACGCCCAGCTTAAAAAAACAACATCAGTGTTGTTCAAAAAATCAATTTGTTTTCAGCCCTGTTATATCTTCGTTGGTGCCTGCTATGATTCCTAAAACTCCATATCATATAAAATTTACCAAAGGAGAAGGAGACGATGCCAATGCTGTGATAGATTATAAATTCAATCTTCATGATATTGTATGTTTAGTCTGTTGTTCAATGGTTGGAGCCTGGTATTTATTAAAAAAAGTAAGTAAAATAATTTAATTACTTGATATAAGAAATGATTCGTTATTATGTTTATCATGATAAGTATATAAAATTATAATTTTAGCATTGGATTGCAAACAATCTCTTTGGAATTGCTTTCGCAATTAATGCTGTTGAATTGCTGCACCTGAATAACATTGTGACTGGATGTATTTTACTTGGAGGACTATTTATTTACGATATATTCTGGGTTTTTGGCACTAACGTCATGGTAGTTGTTGCAAAATCATTTGAAGCTCCAATCAAACTTGTTTTCCCTCAAGATTTATTGGAGCGAGGATTCAATGCCAGAAATTTTGCAATGTTGGGTTTAGGAGACATCGTAGTTCCAGGGACCTTTATTGCAATGTTGCTCAGATATGATCACAGTTTAAAACGAAAGTCTAATACATACTTTTATTCTACTTTCTTAGCGTATTTCTTAGGATTATTAGCTACAATGTTGATTATGCATTTATTTAATCATGCTCAACCAGCTCTTCTATACTTGGTACCTGCATGTATAGGAACGCCTTTGTTAGTAGCGTTAATTAAAGGAGATATGACATCTCTTTTCCATTATGAAGACCATCCAACAACACCTGAAACTGAAAATTCTGAAAAGCTAGAAAAATCTAAAAGAAAAGGAAAAGTTCAAGGAAAACGAAATGAAGAACTTGAAGAAGTTGATTCAAAAAAAGATAAATAGTTGTTGAAAAAAGATAGCTAGTCTTAGTTGAAAAAAATTGGAGCGAGAATTTTTAAAGGATTTGTTTATGAATTACCATTAATTGCGCCACAGGATTTACTTAATGGTCAATGCAAGGTGTAATAGACGTGAATCTGAACCCATTTACCTGTTCAATTTTCACCATTTAATTGCTTCCTTTTTCTTTTTTTGATGAGTACCTTTTTTAGAATGTAATCGGAATAATTTTTTTAATCCGAGTAAACAACACAAAGACAATATTTTTATTATAAAAAATTGATAAATACATTGAAAGAGATTTGACGATTCTGACGATTTTTCTCCTCAGATACCATTATGCAAAAAAAGTCACAAATAATGTTATAAAAATACTTTGACAGACCATAAATATAGATAATAATCAATAAATATTCATCAAACTTCAATATATTTGTCACGAATCAATAGCTCTGTGAAAAGTGATTGTAATTGTCAATTAAATGATAAACATATAATTCCTTTTTGTTCGTTCGACAATAAAAGTGACAAAGTGGTATCGATTACTTATTTTTAGTTATGAATTTACAACTTTCGATAATTTTTCATTCATTGATATTAATTTTCGTGTATTAATATCAACTGTTTGACATTATTTTTACTAACTAGTGCGAATAACAATTAAACCGAATTATTGTATTGTATATTGTTAATCTTCAATACTGTACAAAAGCACTAAATTATAACATTTTATATTATTATAATATAAGTTGAAAATGCGTTGGTTAATCAATTTGTTATTAAACAATTTTCTATGCTGCTTTATCTTCATTTCTTTAATATACTTTGTATAATGGTAAATTATTTAGTTTATATTTAATCAAATATTCCGACGTATTTACTTCAATAATTATTGCTATTGTTATAATTATACAATATAGTAAAATGAATATAACGCACAATTGTTTATTTCGAACGATGGTATAAGGCATTTATATAAACATAATTAAGTTACTGATGTACTTTTGCGTCATGTGAAGTAATAAATTAAACCCAATGCGACAAAACAGTTGATATTTTTCATTTTTTCAAAATATAAATAAAAAGAACAACTATCCATTCAATGAAGCTTTAGTAAGATAATAGATTACTGAATAAAATTTATTCAGAAGTTATTTAATTGTAGGAATAATCATAAATGCTTGGTACGTAAATATAGAAATGATATTTATTGAAATATCTAATGCGAAATTTGACAATATTTACGAAAAAAGAAAAGAATACAATTAGAAAGTAACCATCGTAAAAAAATCACCCTCGAGCAGCTTTTTCAACTGCTAAATTTTCAGCTGTTATTGGTGGTAGATCAACAACACCATCCTTCGTGACTTTCTGTACTTTGAAGTTAGGCAAATTAACAATCAAACGTTTATGAACTTCAGTAACACATTTTTTCATTAATGAATAAGCTTCATCTTCAGTCATGCCTGCATTATAAAATTTTATGTCATTCTGAATAATAATGGTGTTCAGATATTTTTAAAATAAAATGATGATAGAGGAATTACTTACTTGGTTTATAATATCTATCCAAAATAGAGAGGGAAAAGAAACCACCATAACCGTGACAAGCATAAGGAGCTTTTACGTAAGAAGCTAGATAATCAATGAAGTAAAGTTCAGGCCCAGTTTCTAGATCGTAACCTGCCATCAAAATATTGACAAAGTATGGTGTCCTAGATCGCAAATAATCAGCTAATTTCCTTCTAGTAAAAATTGCTGCTGCTTTTGGTGAGAGTTCATATCCATTTCTCATTTTATATAACTGAATATTTTTACTGATATACTCTGAAAATTGGATCGAATCTCCTTGTTCCCCTGATACAGCCATTACCAATTTGTCGGAGATTTTGTGAATTTTATGTTCATCTATAATTAAATAAACATTAATTACTACCAACATATCTTATCATCTATTACACAAATAAATGTATTCCATCATTCAGAAATGAAAGTTGTCGTGTTTATAATAGTAACATAAAACTTGTACGTAGTAGTTATGATAAATTAATCTGATTTTTTTATTACTATTAGAAATTCTAGTAAAATTGATTGAAAATACATGATGAATGAAAAATTATTACAAAGAATGATTGGCAAAAAAATTTATTTTACCGGTTTTCATAACCATAATTGACTGAGCTGTTGTCATATCAGCAGCAACAAGTACGAAATCATTAAATTGTATTCCAATTAAACACTCCATGATTGAAAAATTATTTTTTATGAAATCAATGTACAAAGAATGAATTCCTGTATAACCCTATTTAACATCCACACACGCAAAACCGCCTGTCATTAAAAGACAGCCATCTTGAATTTTTTGGAGTCGACATCTCGCAAATACAATCGATGAATCGATTCTCGCAATTTACTGCTCTCTATCATATAATTTTTGTACTAGTCGGAACGAAATTTCAATATGGCAACCGTAGTAACGTCTGTACGTGTCGATGTGTCGGAAATGTTTTGAATTCGTTGTCTAATCGTGACGACCGGTCGACAATTCGCACATAGGTTAGTAGGGTTAATTTGTGAGACAATAATTTCATTTATCTGGTCCCCGTCTCTCTCACAATTAAACCCTCAACATTTATCTCACACTTATCCAATCCCTTACTTACATCCTTACAGTGTTAAGATTATTATTATTACAACTAAAAGATAAATATTATTTTATTGCAAATATTTTTTGCAATATTGCAAAACTAATTGATTAAAATTAATATTTTCTATACTTAAATGACGTTACAAGTTTCATTTTCATTTATCAATGTTTTCATTTCATCTTATATTTTCGGCGTTCGTCGAAATGTGATTGTCTGCTTCATTTAAGTATCTTTTTACACATTTGCACAGTAGTAAAGTTAAAGAATTGCGTCACAAAAGTAGTGACGCACGTTTACTATCATCTTTGATTTTTCACACCTACATATATATATTTTTATGCTTGTATATCATATGAATTCATGATCACGAGAGCAAATGTATTTAGTTTTGCAAGATAATGATAATAATAACTTGAAAGAAATCATCCAAAAATAATGTTACTAAAGTAAGAATAAAATAATAATATTCACAAACATGGTGAATAATAATATATTGATGAATTAAGATTATTTGTAAAAGATACTACTATCTTATTTATAGAGAAATCTTATTGTAAATATTTATAATAACCGATTAATAATGAACCAAATTTTGTGCAAAAAAAGTATGAGTTTATTTGTAAGCTTTCAAAAAATGTTGATTATGTGGAATTCAATAAATAAATGGAAGTATCAACAATTATCAACAACTGTCAGCATGTCGGTGAGTAAAAGTTTGAAGTTTCTTTATTATATTGATTGTAATATGCAATATTTTTGTTCACAACTGTATAACATATTTTATCGCTGAACACGTTTATATTTTTTTTGCTTTTCCAATAGTTTGCAGCGATAAAAACGAATATTTATGTGCTTTGTTTAGTTTTGAAGGAGTATCAGGGTTAATATTTATAGCAGCACATGATGAAAAAGTAAATATTTATGGGATTATCCTCAGAATACCCTTGAACAATTTATTCATCAGAGTAGGTAAACAATATATGTAAGAATATCAATATTGTTATCATCAGTAATCAATTATTTGCTCGAACAACAGATAGCTAATCAAAGGTGAAAGTGTAACTAATGAAGGTAATTAATACAACAATCAATTCATAACTTTAACAATAGCAAATGTTTTATTCATTCAGGTTTAATTAAAAGGAAAGCTTTTTCTAAAAATAACCTATTTGTAGATGATAGTTATTTATTCAATCAAATTGGCATAAATTATAGCCACTAAAAAGTATTTGATGAAATATAAATATTTATAGAATTAATTCGATATAAAATGTCAAAAACTTTTCTTATTACAAACTGACTTTATTCGTTTATTGAATTAAATTTTTTTTATCAATATTATTAATAACTATTTAAAATCTATACTTTTTTTTAATTGACTTTGTTGAAAATATATTATCATCGCAGAATATCGTAAGAGGAATTAATTAAAAATATCTTATTAAACTTTTTATGACTACTTGTTATAATTATAGAGATGTTTTATTATGTTATTAGTTATTAATGAAAGGTAATATTGTAACTAATACTAGTAATTTTAACGTGAGGTTAGGGAGCTCTTTATCTACTGCGCAATCACATTAATTTGATAAAAATCGTTAAAAAACCTATAATATATATTATTGAATAATAATAACTAATTTAAATTCTTTTGTACTTAAATTGTTTCTATATTTGATATCATCGATTAGAGTTATAACGATTCCAATTTTGAAGAGTTTATATTGGTGCGTAACAATAGCTCCTCGTTCAGAGGTATCAAAATTAACTTACATTATTGGCTCAAAGCTATACAAGTTTATATTTATGGAAACATGTGGATTAATTACGCTAATCTTACATATCTTATTTATAGATATTTTTTCTTAACAAAAAAGTAATTGTTGATTATAAAAATAATAAAAAAAATATTTATTGCCAACATAAGAATTTATCAATGTAAACATAGAATTATCATTATAATTTATTATTGTTTTTTTCTATTTATGTAAAAAACGGTATTGTAATCGTTATTTAGATCGAAAAATGAGTTATTACAGAATCTTGATTTTTCAAGGTCTTTAGATTATGTTTAGATAATTTCAAAAAAAATATTCATGTATGCTCTAAGCACACTTAGTACATAATTTATTGTGAAACAGAGGCATAAAATTTAATTGATTTGAATTTAAACTTTTTGTTATTACTTTTAGTTCATTAGATTTATTTACTGAAATTTATTATAATTATTATTCAATTTATCCAATAAGTTGCTTTGAAATGGAAAATTTAATTTTTTTACATTCAATGTGAACGTTTTATTTTAACTGATAAGTAATCAAATTTTTAACTGAATTAATTAAATAGTTGATTACATTTCATAAAAAAATGGATTTTTAATATAGCTCAATTGTTTTTAAGATCTTACTGATTATTTCAATTAAGTTGTTTTAAATAATTGTTTTTTTTATTAAAAAATTATTCTTGATACTCGTAATAATGCTTCGTTATTATTAATTTTTAAAGAGGAAATTTCACTTATTATTAATAACGAATGCTTCATTAGAATTATTGGCTAATTCAAATAAACTTCATAAATTATATTCTTGTTTTTGATTAAATTCTCAAATTATTATTACATTATTTTATACTCATCATAATTTTACTCTGAACATATACTTATATAAAATTTATGTTATTTATTCCTGATAAAAAAAAAATAATAAAGGCTCTAATTAAGTTTTTTTCATGAGAAAATAAAAATATTTACAGCTCTTGTATGCTCAACATAGGCTATGTATTTTATATCTAGATTTTGTAAATTATGTTGGGAACATACCCTAAAAACTATAGTGATTAAACATACTCTAGTTCATTCCTATTATTATACACGAGCTAAAACACCTGATTCAATTACTTAAATAGCTGTTAGATCTTTATAATTTTGATCAAGCTGAGTATCAGGCACACACTCTAGAACCTTATAAAATTTCGGCTCTTACCTAGTTAAAAGGCGTTTAGATACTACCTAGCCAAGTTTTCCCTGTCACTCTTGCTATTTTGTGTGCTTTAAAACAAAAATAACGAGTTAATTATTCTTCAAAGTAGCACTTTTCTTGGCTATTGTGAAAATTCTGTAATGATTCTAATTGACAATCATTTTAGATTGTCACAAATAATTACTATCAATGCTATTTACTTCTATTAATTTTATGTTTAATTTGTCATTAATATATTATTTAATTTTTTATTTAAAAAATATTCTACACTATAACGATTGCTTCATTATATGAATTTTTTAACTTCTATTTATCATGTTTTTATAACGATCACATATTGACGTTCAATATTTATTTAAAAAAAACTTTAAAAGTCCTATTTATTATTATTTTTTTTTAATTGAATAAATATTTTTTCATTTACAACTTGATACCAAATTTGTTGAAAGGGTTGATTTAGAGAGATACTTCAATGAATTTATAAAAAACATCAAAAGCTAAATTGTGTTAAAGTTAACAAAAGTTTTCATCAATTATACATATTTAAAAGTATTGAATAATTTAACTATATTTGATATTAATAAACTCAGCACATTCTTTTGATTGTATTATCGATTATATTAAATTAACTTCAAATATAAATCAATATAGAACAATAAAACTGACCAAGTTTGAAGAATATCTTGAACTTTTATTAATTAAAAATTTATTCGAATGATAAAGTATGAAAACATATTTTCAGCAAGAGCTTTTTTACCTCAGTAGTTAAGGTAAACTGACAAATAGTGTATTATTATTTATAGAATTATTTTTAAACATTTATCAAGTTTCAGAACAACAGAAGATAGATTTTGATAAAGTTCAATCGCTGGTAATGCAGGAGCCAGTGAGCAAGTGAAGTTTACTATAATATCAGCTGTATCAATATTTTCATGAATTATTTAAAGAATTGTGATTTTAATATTTGATTAACGCTGGTATAAATATTAACCTGAATTATAGTGTTCAATTAAATCATTTCTTTTAGAATGGATTATATCTGTAAATACAATTAGAATCAGACTTCAATTCTACTAATGATGAATAAAGCCTCAACATAAGAAGCTTATTCGTTGATGAAATAATTTTATATTCTTTTTTATTACCATTGATGATGACCTTCTATGAACGTTTTAAATCTACAGTTCGAGGAGGTCTTCTCATCATCAAAGATTAATCTATTCTGCCACATTAGTCACTCGAGTAATATTAAGTGTTATTAGCTGTCAGATACAGGTCTATCAATTTATTCAATTTAAAGTGCTTCCAAGTTGAAATCGTAGTTGAACGATTAATTACAGTTGTCACTGTATGTAGTCAGCAAACATATGTCAATTTTAATAAAACAAGACAAGTTATACGAACACAAAATGGGGTATTCTCAATCTTTTACTAACTAACCTTCGTAGATGAATTTTTTCTCTTTTTGTTAGTGATGCTTTTTCCTTTTATTAATGCTCTGATTTCCTTTTTTCCAGATGTCCATTTATTGCGTCAATTATGCAGCTCATGTCTTGGTAAGTTTTTGATTTATTTTTATTTGAGTCATTTCATATTTCTCTAGAACAATGGAAACAATTGTAATGATAATGCACAAGTTTTTATTTTAATTGTTTTATTTCAAAAATTATTCTATAGATTTCAATGTAAGACAGAAATAATTTTATAAAGTTTTGATAAAAAACTAACATCATTCACAAAATATATATATATATACATATATATATATATATATATGTATTATTGAAATATAATCAAAATGAATCTAATTATAAAATATTAAGATAAAAAGTGGAGAAATAAAATATGACCTCATTCTGTAATTTATTAAGATAAATTTTATCTTAATATTTAATTATCCTTGAAAAAAAATTTTCTCAAATATTTATTCAATATTTAAATGACCTTTTTAACAAAATATTTATAGTCAATGAAATTTAATCCTTTCAGAAATTTCCTGTTTTAAGGATAAACATTAAATGTGGCTGTTTTCAAGTTATAAATTATTTTTTAACTTTTTTTTTAGTCAAGTTTGAATGAGCATGAATTTAATTAATAAAACTTCACTGAGAACATCCACACTCAATTAATACAAATTTGCAAAAATTCCTTTTGATTCATTTTATGATCATTATAATGATTACTATACTTGATGATTGAAATTTTCTAATAAATTTTCATCATTGAAAAAAAAATCTCAATTTTTTTATATCAAATACAATACTATCATATATTTATCGATGCAGTATTACTTTACACATATTGACTGTTTGTGGACCAAAAGAGCTTGACTCAAAATAATTGAAAGCGTAAATTCACACAAAAGTTCAGATTCATCGATACATCTATTTTTATATATTCATATATATTTATATACTTTTTTTTTATCTATAATATTTCCACTTGTACACTGAATTAAATGTGCATATCCATGCATTTATGCATACCCTCAAATCATCTGTAAAATTTTAATTCTGCATCTCAGGGTGGGAAGGTAAAAAATGCCTGCATGTACATATTTTCTACACGCGATTATGGGTTTGTAGATGAATATCTCAGAGTTTTTTATTCTTCTTTCTCGTGTGGTAAACTCTCTACCACTGTAGTTACCTTTTTTGCGATATGCAAACTGAGAGAGAAGGAGAACGAAAGAGAATGAGGAGAAGGTCCCTTAGGTAAGCGGGAAGACGAGTTAGTAGAGGTAGAATAACCTGGAGAGGAGAAGTAAAGGGTCTGCGCGAGTCCGGAAAGATCAATAATACACCACCATATGACCTAGCTTTGCCTTCAAACTCGTGGCAACTGCTGCCACCACTTTTTTTTTATTTTCACGCACGCATTACTCTTCTTGACGTTAATGTTGTGCTACATTCACTCATTTGTATTATGATATTAAGAAATTAGGGAAATTAACACAAACATACCTGAATTGTCTCCAGAGACTAATTGAATGCACTCACGAGAATTACAGATGCGTCTTTATATATCTACTTCACATGTATCGTGACCATTAGAACAATGTTTTATTCATGAATCATTCGAACATAGTTAACTTCTCAAAAAGAACTTCGCACACTATATAAATTCCTTATCGACAAAGAATGTTACTATTTTTAATCTGTCGATAAGATTTGCAATAAGATTTCATATCATTATTTATGTTTATATTTTTTTTCTATTTTTATTATTTTTTCTCTATATCCAGTAAATGCTTTTCTTCTTTCATTTTATTTTAGGTCACTATGTAACTGGTTAAGGGGGTTTTTTAAGAGACCAAAGTCAATACAATATGTCACATTTTTAATATATTTCTTCTTTTTAGACACAAGAAAATAAAAATTTTCTACAATTATTATGAAGTAGATTGGATAATATGTTAAATAAGTTTAAAAACTTTTTTGTGTTTCATAAAATTGATAGCTCTGATATAATTAATTAACATGCTGTTCATGCTCGTTAAAAGTGTAAATGATCTTAGTGTTTTTTATTTACATGATAAATATTCAATTTTTTCTTTCTTTACAAAAAAAGTAAGTGGAATTATTGCAAAAATAATATTCTTGTTTTATTAATGATCATTTGTTAGTATTAAGCCATGAATAATAATCATAAGTTATACAGTAAAGCTTCTCAAAAATTTTCTCTAGGGTTAATACATAATTATGCAACACAGTCCAATTAACCGTTCATACTTGAATGTAAAAGAAACTTGTTTTTTCTTAATTACGATTTTTCAACAGAAGTTATACGTAAATTTATTTTAATTACTTGCAAAAATTATTATTGATTTTTACATCTATCATTAATTACCTTTCATTAATTAATTTTTATTTCACAGTTATTTTTATTTTAACAAATAAATTTAATAATAAATCAGGAAAAATCTATTAAATATAACATATTATTGTATTTTTGACAGTTAAGTATAATTTAAAGAAGAATCTAATAAAAAAACAAATTATATTTATGAGCTATTGTTTATTGAAAGATAAAAAAATTCTTAGAGTGCTTATAAGGTTTATAAATTTAATACTGTTCGATCAATATTTATGTTTTTTTATAAAAATTCGTATACTATTTATTGCGTATCTATAAAAAAAGAAACGATGATAAAATAGAAACCATGATGGAAAGTTTGCACAAGAAAAACCGATATGCTTGCTATTGAATTTTCACCAATAAAAACTATAACATGTAAACGTGTTGGTTTATGCATTTTTTTTACTTTTTAACATTCGTTTTCATCAATCTCTATTAATCATTTCTAACAAAAATTAAAATTTTTTTCTTTTTATCACGATATTTTAACAATATATATATACATTTTTTAATTCTTGAATTTTATCAACGATAAGATAAAAATAAAACTTAACAATTAACTATAATTTCCCCGATGTATCAGAAGAAAAATGTTGCGTATTATTTAAAGTTTAATTTTGAATAAGAAAGATAGTTTTAACGACGAATAAAGAAAAAGAAAGAAGAATGAATGGAATCCCTTTGCAATTTTTTATGTGTTATCACAATGGAAAATAATAGACAAAGGTATTGAATGCTTTGCATACTTCCTCATTTACTGAACAGTACAGCCATGTAAAATACGATCTTATAAAGGCTGCAATATATATATATATATATTAAAACCAACCATATAACATATTGCGAAAAATAGACAACAGAAAAAAAACTATTACTTAATGACGCTAATTTCCGCAAAGGGATTACTGAAGACAAACTGAACAGTTTAGTAAGAAGAAAAAATACGAAAACGAGAGTGATTAAAGAGCTTACATTCCGTGCATTTTTCCCTTAAGAAAGACTTTGAAATAGTTTTCAAATCCTTTTACTTTATTATTGATAGAAATCTGCCCTTTAAAAGCATATTCTATAGTAATAAAAAAAATTTGAATTTTTATATTTTTTTAAAAGTTTAGAATTAAATAAAAATCTTTCTTCAAATATAAATGATTTAAAATGTTAATCTTTAAATAAAATGTCTATTTTTGGCAAATTCTTAATATAAGTTTATGCCCTAAAAGTCACGTTTCTCTTGGCTTCGTCAGAATCAAGATATCCTAAATACGAGACCCGATTTACTATCCTGGGTATTAATCAAGTTAGGTAAAGTACAATTTCTCTAACTGGTAGCATACAACTTCGTAGGTATGACCTCTACGAGTAGTTTTGAGTAGATAAGAACTCTAAGGATTTTATAGTCATATGGACCCTACGATGAAGCAGAGGATTGTTTTTTTTTCTTCAAGGAGGGTTGGTAGAATTCGCAATTATTAAAAACTTATTTCTAGTCTTACTATTGAATGAGGAAATGTTTTAGTGTAACACAATATAATGAAACAATGTTGCTTATTTTTTATCTTGTGTGAGTTTAGGAAAATTTGTTCATCATTTTTGCATATATTTATATGAGTCAGCAATATATTCATGAAAGTTTGTATTTAGTATACTTTAATCACTTTACTTGGAATATAATAATAATACATGGTATAAAATTATTCATTATTATGATCAATATTGTTGTTATGTGTTCAAATATTCTAGACTATGACGGACAGAAAACAAGAATTAATTTGTGTAGCTTTAATAACTTGAGCTAAAATAACTTTGATACATAATTATTTTCGTGTAAAAAAAAATTGTTTAGCAAAGGTTCATCTTATGTTTACTATAATGAGTATTTTCTTTGTGAGAAAATGATGGATACATAAACACGTATGTAGTAAAATTAAATACGTTGAAAAATAATAACTAAATAATTTAGTTTACACAAAAAATGTCATTGTTTATAAAATATTTTCCTGAAATTATTATCTATTAAAATTTATATGAGTTCGAATTTTTTAAACAATAATAATAATACTATGTTATTTTGTAATTATTCAAATTTTTTGCTGTTAAGGGCTTGTACTATTAAATGTGTTGGGTAACTTTTTAATAATCAATCTTTGCTGAACAATTTTTTTTATGACTTGTTGATTATTTATATCAAGATAAAAATTTATTTTAACAGAAATGAAATTTCATTCTCAATTTATTACATATAAACGCAAAATTTTTATGTTTTATACTCAATTTATTTTTTATAGTATTCTTAATTTACCTTTAGAAAAATTATTTTTTCGTCATGCCTGCGCGGAAAGTTCACTTTTCCATTGGAGAGGGGTTGAACTTTCCACTCAGGTATGACGAAAAATTATATTCAGCCCTAAGGAGGACAATTAGACAAGCTTAAACCACGTGTTTACCCCCCTCGCCTTCGGCTCGGGTTGTAATTTTACACGTGGTTTGAGCTAGTCTACTTTTCCTCCCTAGGTGTGAAATATACTATTAAATATGTTCAATTCATTTATTGAATTTGCATTATTAAGTATATAATAATTCAATCATAAAGATATAAATCAGGGATAATTTTTTTTTATTAAATACTCGTTCAATATTCATTTCTTTTTTTAAATTATTGATTAAAATATTAATTCTTCATCATTAATTATTTACAAAC